TTAAAGTATATTGTTCATTCTTGATCATTGTTCAGAGGTCTTCATTAAAGTATATTGTCCATTCTTGATCATTGTTCAGAGGTCTTCATTAAAGTATATTGTCCATTCTTGATCATTGTTCAGAGGTCTTCATTAAAGTATATTGTCCATTCTTGATCATTGTTCAGAGGTCTTCATTAAAGTATATTGTTCATTCTTGATCATCGTTCAGAGGTCTTCATGAAAGTATATTGTTCATTCTTGATCATTGTTCAGAGGTCTTCGTTAAAGTATATTGTCCATTCTTGATCATCGTTCAGAGGTCTTCATGAAAGTATATTGTTCATTCTTAATCATTGTTCAGAGGTTTTCGTTAAAGTATATTGTCCATTCTTGATCATCGTTCAGTGGTCTTCATGAAAGTATATTGTTCATTCTTGATCATCGTTCAGAGGTCTTCATTAAAGTATATTGTTCATTCTTGATCATCGTTCAGAGGTCTTCATGAAAGTATATTGTTCATTCTTGATCATTGTTCAGAGGATTTCATTAAAGTACGTATATTGTCCATTCTTGATCAGAAGGTTTCTACATAGGATAATTGAAGCCAATGTCAGTTCACACTATACTTCCATAAATGAAAAACATTGATAACATACTTACATTGAACATTTTATTCACTCGTAATGTTGTTCAAGGGAAGAAGGAACTGGTCGACAACAGCCACAATTCTCTTCAACCGCTGTGAACAACAACCAGTTTCTTTAATTGTGGAGTCTACGATCATGGTAAATACACCAACATTTGTTTGTTGTTTCTCAATCTCATTTGATGACTATTTGTCGTTTAAGAGAAGAACGTCATGTCTAAAATCAAGCATAGAGGAAACAAAAGTTACTAAGACGGAAACTTTATGGAAAGGCCACACTGCACTTTGCATTAATGAACATCACATGCAGTGTCCCAATTCAATGTTTACTCAATGCAAAAGAACATGAAACAAGACATTTACCTGAACATTTTTTCAAAGCACTCCAAGAGATATTTCACTATTGAATAATTTCCACTTCGGCTAACTGTTCTTCGTGCAACTACCGACTTTCACGTTCAAACGGCACGTTCTGAGTCTTAGACTATGGCCCAAGTTTTACGAATGTGTTGTATTCAGATTGGTCAGTGACTAGGTGTGTTGCAAAAGTGTTGTGTTGTTATTGGTCATTTACTAGGTGTGTCGTCAATTGTACATTGTGAAATCAGCTGAAATTTAGAATTTGCATGATCATCACTTAGAATTAATCCCCATAGAGCGGTAAATGCAATTTAATACAATATAAATAAAAACGTATACTTCAGCTACAGCAAATAGCAAATCCCAAACATTTAAGTCTCCTTGGGGAACAACTACAAGTTAACATTTGATTTCTTTTAATTAGCATTCTACAAGGTGTACATAAAAACGACGTTTAGCAATTAAACTATTGTAAAATTTCAAAGCCCGATCACTGTGCTAATCTCACTTGTGCATTACATTTCCAATGGAGGAAAATCTTTTGTTCTTGAATCAACGTAGCTAACAATGTTCCATGCACCTTTGGGCTTGGCATAGTGACAGACATTGAAATTATACAAAGATCTTCAGTGGTAAATGAAGGCTGACTAGCTAGTTTTGCACACATCAAAGGAATGAATCGGATAGAAAAATATTATTACAATGTATTTTTTATTTTTTATTCAACTGCAGCCAGCATTATATGTTGTCCCTTTTAAAGAATTTTCAATCTCCATGCAACAATAAATTTTCATGGCAACTTTTGTTCCGAATCTTTCCACATTCCCTTTTTTGTATGATAAAAATTAAAAAAGTTGAGCACCTTCAAACGTTTGATTTCCAGGCCGGCTGCCAAAATTTTATCTACTAGGTCCCAGTCTTCACCATCCCATGTAATGATAGTTGCCCCTTATGGGACACCCCGAAGCTTGGAGGAGCTAGTTGTTAGTTCAATAAACAAGTTTAGGCGACAGCTCTCGTGCTTTTTGTATTTCTTTACTACACCCCAGGCATACCTAAATCGTTCCACGTCCATGCCATCAATTCTAAAAGTAGATAATAATCTAGAGTAATGATATAAATCTCTTTTTAACCCATAAGATTTATAGATTTTAAATGGAAAAAAATTTATTCCATGTTTGTTCTTATAAATGTACTGTTTTGAGTATCAATGTAGTCTTTTTGCAAAATAACAAAATTACACATCATACAATAAAAGTTTTCCTGTAAAATAGGGTGAGGTTTTCCCTTCTGGTGGCTTAAATGCCAAGATTTGATTTTATTTTGATTATTGATACCTTACATTATACATACGAAGTACATACCTATCCCAGTCTCACTTGCACAGTGCTATAGGTCCATACCCATCGTGCTCCCAGTGCCTATTGGGATGATTCAAAGTATAACAACAGTCCAGACGAATCAAGAGTGCATTAAATGTGGTTGTTTCTCTGAATACAATGCTAAAAAACAACACATACCAAACATTAAATGAAAGATATTTCAGTATTTTTTCATTACATTACATTGTCTGTCATTGTTTAACTATATTTTAAGTTAAAGTAACGACAGTGTTTGTTCTGTTTATTATTCTTATTATTCATGATAACATGCAAATGACCAATACCAAACAAAATCAACCTTGTACTATCTAATTTTTATTCAACTGTTAATAATCTAGGTTTTGACACTAGTTAAAAACTCTCTAAACTTTATGTCAACTGATGACTGTTACTGTTCTTCCTTTCTTCACTTAAAAAATAAACCATGTTTACTGTGTTTGCAAACGAAGGAGACCTTTTGAAGAACTTGCACCTGGTCGACATTCGGCCTCAGCTTTGAACTGATCTGTTCTCAAGTTCTCGTAAAAGGTTTCCATAAGCCTGTGCGAATACAGTAAGTCAGTAAACACTCTTTAATTCTTCAATATGATATATATTGCAGCATGCATAGTAGGTGAGCATTTCTACATGCTAAGAATTCCATAAGCTACAATCAAAATTATAGCTTTGGCACTTTAATTTTTAATTCATTATTGTTTTACCTAACGTTCGTTTATCATAACTAATCTCACCTTACGTATATGATCAACAATAATGACAGGCATGGACAAGTGTAAATCACACACAAATACAATATCATTTGGATTTGTCACCACAGTCATAGCATACTGTAAACCAATTGATTTATGAAATTTAGACTTCATGTGGAGCAATACATATCGGCGTATTCCACTCTTTTCCAAAGCATGTTTGATATCGATATCTTTAGTGTGAAAATGGATAATGATAACTTTTAGGAATTCATCTTTGGTTTCTTGATATATCTCTTCAAGAATATTAATAAAATGTTGCACCCATTGTCCCTGCCTACCATCAACTGTCAACACAATATTTACAGTAGCATTATGTTACATTTATAGCCCACTGGTGAACAAATGCCACTTATCTAAATTTTTGTCAACTTGTCTACTTTTTTTGTCTACATTTTTGTGTCTAACATAGTGAAGCATCACTAAGAAAACAAATTAACTAGAACACGAAGGATGCTATTTGAAAAATTACAAGCAAATATATGTTATTATTTTGAGCAGTTTAATGTATGTTTTTCTTGACGTCAACACGTTAACTAAAAAATAGTATAAAATGACATTTTTAAAACAAATTTCGTGAAAAAACTAAATATTATTATTACTATGTAAAAATTGATATTTATATTATTATTACAGAATGCATCGAGTCTTACAGTCTCAATCAAAGACATCACGCAAAAGATTCTCTAAGATTTTGGCTTCTTTAACTATCTCTCCTTTATTCACTCCTCCGTCTTTAATTAATCAACGTTATTGTTACGGCAAAACAACAGCAACACCACCTTTTCTTGGATCAGATTTTGCGAATAGGTATCCCGATTTATTTCTATAAATTCCTTGAACGACAGAGAATCTCCGTGATCCTTTCATTTTGTGTCCCAGATCCTTCAAGCCAATGAAAACAGACTCTGGAATATTGTCATGAATATAATTTTTCTCATTGTAAACTGTATTAGGAAACAGTTGATGATGCAAGCATTTTTCTTTTAAACTGAATTACAAAATAATAATACGATAAATCACATCTTAAGATTATTACGGGAGACTCGACTGTATGTCGACTTCTTATGTACCATTTTCCGTATGACATACGTATAAGGAGATCAAGTACATTGATTTCTTATGTACCATCCACATTATAACATAAGTATAAAGAGATCAAATACATTGATTTCTACTGCCTCGATTTTCTCACACCGTTCTGAGAATCATCTGATTGCCATATAAAGATTTGTGCTGTTTTATTTACAACAAACTATAATGGATTGAAAAATGAAATAGACTTAAAGTCAAGCAACAAAGAAAGACTTTTGTTCACATCATTATAAAGCAGTAATAAAAAGATTCAACTCACCCAAAAAATGCAATCTTATATTTCTCCATTTGATCAAACTGTGAGCAAACCAATGTGATAGAGGTTTGCATATCAACACATAACGAAATCTCAGAGAGATAACGCAGTCCTACGTAAACTATAATTTGCAATCAACAGTTTGTCAGTCAGTCAGTCTGTAAGTCAGCAGCATTTACCTGTTTGTTGTCAAGATGCTAGAATGACAAATAATATTGGTTTGATGACGATACATAGTGAAATAAAATCATACAGTAATGACGATACATAGTGAAATAAAATCAAACAGTAATGACGATACATAGTGAAATAAAATCAAACAGTAATGACGATACATAGTGAAATAAAATCAAACAGTAATGACGATACATAGTCAAATAAAATCAAACAGTAATGACGATACATAGTGAAATAAAATCAAACAGTAATGACGATACATAGTGAAATAAAATCAAACAGTAATGACGATACATAGTGAAATAAAATCATACAGTAATGACGATACATAGTGAAATAAAATCAAACAGTAATGACGATACATAGTCAAATAAAATCAAACAGTAATGACGATACATAGTCAAATAAAATCATACAGTAATGACGATACATAGTCAAATAAAATCAAACAGTAATGACGATACATAGTGAAATAAAATCAAACAGTAATGACGATACATAGTGAAATAAAATCATACAGTAATGACGATACATAGTCAAATAAATCATACAGTAATGACGATACATAGTGAAATAAAATCAAACAGTAATGACGATACATAGTCAAATAAAATCAAACAGTAATGACGATACATAGTCAAATAAAATCATACAGTAATGACGATACATAGTCAAATAAAATCAAACAGTAATGACGATACATATTCAAATAAATTCATACAGTAATGACGATACATACTCAAATAAATTCATACAGTAATGACGATACATAGTCAAATAAATTCATACAGTAATGACGATACATAGTCAAATAAAATCACACAGTAGTGATGGTACCGTGATTTACTATGAAACGATTCACATTTTAGAGATAAGAAAATTGACATGGAAAAACGGTTAAAAAATCTTCAATTACGTCTCTTCAGTTGTGTTCTAGTGACCATCAGAATCAGGAACAAACCCAAAAGGCACACAGCAAAATTCATTCAATGATTCGTTAAAGACAAATCAATCACAGAGAACAATATGGTTCTAAAGTGCTTATTCCAAATTTTTAGGCAAACTGCATGTATATACAACTTGAAGTTTGTACAAATGATTGCACACACAAACATTTTACGAAAGTTACAAAATACAAACCGTAAACAAAGGATTTTTCAAATGCAAGTTATGTCCAATAGGCAATTTAACCGACTTTATTTTTTATAATTGGGTAAAAAAGGACTTTTCCACAATCTCGAAAACTCATTTAAGTATTCATTTGCCAGCGTTTTTTCTTCCTTAATTTGGGCTTCTAATTTTGTAAGATATCGATCGACTGAGGTCTTTTGACAGCTTTCAAGATTGGCCCTTTCGTTCACAATAGATTGTTCGTTATCATGGCAAAGAATACGACCAGACATATTGTCTAACATAACAGCACGATCTAATGCTTGCGTTCTAACATCTATCTTTACAGTGCCGATGGCAGTGTTTGAGGAAGTCGTCAATACCGGAGAAGACATTGACTTTTTTAGAATGTTTTCTTTTGATACAGGAATATTGTGAATGGGATTTAAAATATAACTGCGAGCACTTTTTTTACAATTTTTTTCTGAATGTTGCTCTTCAATTTCAGCGTCTTCCGTTTCAAGGAGGCGAGTTTCTGCTTTGGCATGAGTATGTGACGTGTTATTTACAGTATGTTCAATGGAAGGCCTAGATGATAAATCCTTCTCATGAGGAATTTGGTCGCCATCACTGGTGAAAAACTTTCCAAAATTCACTCCCCTTTCGGTTTTCACATCATTCTTGGGGAAATCATTACCTGTACATATCCGTAACAGAAGATCGTCCATAAGTTGTTTACATATTCTATCGTTATAGCAATCACTAGCACTCTTGCAATTCTGCACGTTGGTGAGATCATCGAAGTCATTCAAATAAATTCCATTCAATTTAGTATTGTTCGAAGTCATTAAGATGATGGGTTTCTCTTTTGTTTTCTCAACACCTTTATCATCAAGAAAATCAGTTTCATTATATGTGCGAATATCCACAGTTAAATCCTTTGGCATATCGGAAAAAGATACGGACGAATCCAATTCGTTAGTAAGAGCTTCATGGCCCAAGTTCAGACGAGCTGCAGTTTGTCGACCATCATTGGAAATTGCGTATGCCTCAGAAGCTACTTCCACAACCTCATTGCTAACGCTTTCAACATCAGTTTTTCGTTGCAAAGCCTTTTGAATGATAAAATTACGTTCACTTAAATTTCGTTTTGGCAGAGTGTAGGTTGTAGAAGTTAGGTTGCTATAGTTAGTATTGGCGAAACTTTCAAGGGTATATTGAGTGAGTGGGGATGCTTGTTTCAAACTTGGATTATCAGTAGTTAAATCACCGAATAATTTATCTACACTAGAACATATTTTATCATTGAAAACATTTTCTTTTACCTTGGTGTTGTTTTGGTTACAGGCTTTTCCCATTTTATTGTAGGAGCTCGAAGGACATTTTGACACGACGTGAAGATTAGGATAAATGTTTGATGGTTGCTCGGCTAAGCTTATATACTTGCTGCAAGATATGTCTTCATAAGTAACTTTATTCTCCGTCACGTTAACTAATTCGCGATTTTCAATATCACATAGAGCACACACTTCGCCCGCAGTTTTATTCTCCTTAGAAACATCAAGATTGAGAGGAACGTCATCAAACAGAACAAAAAACGGTTCACAATCTAACCCTAAGTTATGCACTTCTGGAGACGTTTTTCTTTCAAACCTCCCTATCCTTCTTAAATTTTTTTCAATTTTTCTCAGGGTACTGTTCACAATTGCAACATCAGTGAGAAAATTTTCATTTGATGAAGATGTCAAAGCCAAAGAAGATTCATCAAAATGTTCACCCATTAAAAGTTCCTCACTCAAGTGTGAATGACCAGACAATCTTGGTAAAGTGTAAGCATCTTTTGCAACATTGAACTTCTGGATTTTTTCGTCTTGGCAAGACAACAAAATGCCTTCACCGTGCCATGTAGCCTGTTAAATATACAAAATTGTATATAAATATATATATAATAATGGGAGAATATTCCTGGATAAAAGAGCGCCCAATATCTTATATACTACAAGAGCGTAAGATAAAATAAAATGGACAAGTTTTTGCTGTCGCTACTCGGAGTTTCACACCGTAGGGCGATCTTCAGGCAACTGACACACGCGTTTGATATTTTACTCATCTGACACGAATGACAAATGTTGTTCTAAACTTCCGCGCACACTAGGAAATTTTGTCGATCACACTTGTCCCGAATAACAAGCACGAAACAGGCTTGTCGGGATAAAATTGTAGTTTTTGTGTATTTTCTTATTATTATCAATATTTATGCTCTGCTCTTACGCATCGAGCAGTGTACTTACGGAGATTCAAATAAACAAAACTTCCTATATATATATATATATATATATATTACATTCTGTATCCATTAGTCAAAAATTCACCTCACACCATCAGAAATGCCACCACTTTCCTCGCAAGTATTAAAAACGTTAAACTACGATCAGACGAAATCATGATATCCTACGACGTGACATCACTCTTCACATCCATACCACTAGACATCGCCAAACAAATTACAAACGAACTACTCACAAACGACAAAACTTGGCAAGCTACAACACTACTAGAGAAAAATGACATCCTAGACTTACTCAACATTTGCCTCTCCACTGAATTCGCCTTCCAAAACACATACTACAGACAAATTTTAGGCACACCAATGGGATCATCACTATCCACGTTCCTCGCAGAAGCCGTCATGCAACACCTCGAAACACAATCAGTCACAAACAACACAAACATCAGACTATGGGAAAGATACGTCGACGACATCTTTGCCATAGTCAAGAAAGACAAAACTGAACAAATTCTACACACCATAAACAATACCACAAAGAACATAACCTTCACTAAAGACGAAGAGCACGACAAACAACTTACCTTCCTCGACATTCTACTAACCAGAACAGATGACGGTACACTAAACACGCAGGTATACCGCAAAACCACCCACACAGACCAAATACTCGATTTCAACAGCAATCACCCAACACAACACAAAATAAGCTGCATTCGAACACTTTTTAACAGGATAAACACTCATCGTAACACAGAAGAAGCCATGAAAACAGAACGCAACTACGTTTACTCCGCATTATTAAAAACAATTACCCTAGAAACTTCATAAACAAAACTATAAACCCAAAAAACCTACACAAAAACTTAAGTCATGTTTCACCAAACATAAAGACAAAACAACAATTCATGATACAACTGACGCGATCTGCTTGATACCATGTAAAAGCAATACATAGGACAAACATCAAAGAAAATCGAAACAAGACTCACAGAACACAAAAACGCCATAAAACGACGAGATCCGAACTCACTACCGGCAGAACATACCCACGGAAACAACCACACATTCTACTGGACGGAAACTAAAGTACTCGAACGCGCACAGACTAAACAATGGACTAAACACGTACGCAAATTTAAAGAAGCTTGGTACAGTAAAGACAACGACACAATAAACAGACATATTGACATACCCATCATATACTCACAACTAAAGAAAAAGGACAGAAAAACTACAAACAACACCAAAACTTCAACATTACACTCTAATAATATCAACACCGATCATATTAACAACACACCAAAAAACCCATGGCAACGCAATCCACCCCATGCAATCACATTAATCCACCCGCTAATCCAATTAAACGCTCTAAACGTCTACAAGCTAAAAGCACATGTAAGTAGTAATTTCCTCATTCTGATGAAGGCTCGAAGCAACGAGTCGAAAGCTCAATGAATATTAAACATAATAAATCTTATCAGGGTAATTCCACTGTTAGAGATAATTCCATAACACCAAAAAATAAATTGTTCTTGTTTGTGGTGTCATATTTAATGTCGATAGTTGGGTTAATACAAAAAAATTATTCAAAACTTTCCAGCTCTTTCACTCCTTTTTGTATTTATTTTATGGATAAACATCTTGGCCATACACTTTCTTTAACTTGCATTAAAAACGATCATTCATTTCAACCCAAAACTTGCAGTATGGGAACAACAAAAACAGTTTCGGAAAAATGCGTTGTCAAAATGTTTTCAAAAAGAACATAATTACAAGAAAAGTAAGGATTTCATTTACATCGACATCATCTCGAGGCAACAATGAGAATACGATGGAGCTAAATGAGCTAGGGGCAATATTATGGATAAGACTATACCATTGAACATTACTGTTAGTCCGGCAGATTTGTGACAGAATTGTGAGATTTGGGTTAAAAATACCAAACTTGGCCCATTTTTAAATTTTGGCATACTGAATAAAACTAGCTATGGACCCCCGCGAGATTACGCTTGTAAACAGCGTAAAACGCTTCCTAAATTATGACGTCATATGACGTAACTAAATAATTTCCAAAATCATTGTTTTAAGGTTTAAAAGCATTAAATTTTGCACAGTTGTGATTTTGACATGCTAAACAAAACTACCGGTGTGATTGTATTTCACTGTTTTTACAACAGTGAAGATCGCCCTTTACTAATGCATTACATGATGTCACTAAAGGATTTCAGACTTGTTATACGTCTAATGCAGAGACGTATTCACTGCATAAAGTGCAAAAAGTAATGGTGAGTAATATTAACACAACGTGAAAACATTTGGAAGCTTTCGGGAGAGTGGTCCACAGAGTTGCACATTATAAAGGTGCTGAATGTTCTGTTGACGTACCCCAAACATAGCCATCTTCGTATACAGTTCTCTTAACAAGTGTAACAGAGCATATTTTGTTGGTGGAATACATTTGACAGATCTACCTTTCAGGGTGAATAGATCTTTGCGGGGTTTGGTAATGGTCGTACACGAGCTTGTGCGATCGTGCATTAATATAACAAAACGCTCAATTTGCGGAAGTGCAATTTAAACAGCGTGAAGAGAAGGGCGTGTGCTCATTAGCTTAAACAATCAGACTGATCGAACAATCAGGACCCATACGTCGTGAAATTTCATGGATTGGAAGATAACGCATATCTTTTCCAGCGCCAAACACCACCCAAAAACTCGTCTAATTGGTGTTCTGGAAAGAATGCCACACAAATGACAACAGCATCCGTGTCTACTGTCCTGAATAAGATGACGGAATAATGCACTGCAACATCAGCTGGATGGAAGACAAGCCTGGTGACGATCTTTTCATGACTACATGGTGATAAAGTTGAAAGATCACAAGCACCATTGCATAATACTTCTTTGTCCTTAGTTGTTAATTCTTGTCCTTCTTCAGCAGTTAAACGCACCACTTCATCTGATAAGTAACTGAATAGCTCTGCTTTGTTATTTTTATCACAAAGAAAAGTTGCCAGTTTTTCAAGTGTCTGGTTGCACTCGCCGTTTGATGCCTTTCCCCTTTTTTTCTCTGGTTGACGCTTTTAGGCTGTGCTGAATGTAACGATCCCATATTACGTCTACTCTTCGGGCACTTCAAAGCTGGTGTTTTACATAAGGAACAAAAACCTGGCTGCAGTATTCTTGGAAAGTGTTAGAAGCACAATGTAAAAGCATGTTGAAAAATTGCAGCACCATCAATTATGACAGCCTGTGCATTTGGAGATTCAGTTTTACAATTTCGTTCTACTGGACTTTCTAGACATGTCAGCAAGTCAGATTTTTTTGGTGACCTCAGTTTTCCGAAGTGCAAGAGAGATAGAGAAAATCCTAGATTTTTATGACTTTATTCAGGTCACCATTGCGAACTTGACAAGAGACGTACAATCTTGAAAACAAAGCATTGTGAAGAGACGATGATTGGCTATATTCCTATAAGCTCCTGCGATGCTTCAAAATCAAGGATAACTCCAAAACGTTCTGGGCCCGATCCATCCATCTCAATAGCTTTATCATGTCTTCCGTCAGTCCAACTGCGCCTCCGTCACCTTTAACAATCTTGCTGTTTTGTTCGTGGGCCTGGTCAATTGGAATTTCTGAAAAGAGGCGTTTGTTCTTATTCACCGTAAAGTTACCCTTGTTGAGTTGCGATGAGACTAATGGAAGTAACCACTTAGTGTTTGCCAGGTCACCAACATGAACAGCCAACCATCTAGCATAATTTGTGAGGTCAAGTGCAAAAAACACGGAACTAAAGACCAACAAGATTCCTTGTAAAGCTGGAAGTAGTTCTCAACAGTGGTGTAGCAAGCCCGCAGGTTTTGGTCCTGCTATGTAAATTTTAGAACATTAAAATAATTCATTTCTTTAGCAATCTATTGTTTTTACAGGGAGTGAACACGGAAAAATTAACATAACAGGACTAAATTTGCGGGCTGGCTACACCACTGGTTCTCAAGAAATGACCTTACAAATTCCAAGATAGCAAGTTCGTAATCCAGTGTCAATGATTAATAATGAAACTGTGGAACTTATTTCGTCTGTTTCGTTTAGCATATGAAAACCTACCGGTGTGCCAAAATTGGTAGAAACTCAAAACATGCAAATTTTGATGATTAACTAGTGATGCAGCATTTTATAAACAGCGGTTTTTACTTTTCACACGTATAATCAAACTTATATCTACAGTCTGTTTTGTTTTGGAAGTGAAAATCCACAACTGTATCTGGTTTTGTGCTTTTAAACCTTAAAACAGCAATTTTGGAAATTTTTTAGTGACGTCACTGTACGTCATAATTTAGCAAGCGCGTTTTTATGTTTACAGGCGCAATCACACTGGGGTCCATTGCCAGTTTTATACAGCATGTCAAAATCTACAAATGGGCCAAGTTTGGCGCTTTTAACACAAAAACCCACAATTCTTCCAAACAAAGGCACAAATCCGCCGGACTAAGAAAGATGTACCCCTTATAATAAAACAGGTCGATCCTTCGACTATTAGGATATGTTCGTATTTTACTGATTCAAAGTTGTAATGGACTTTTAATAAAATTATGAAAGGTACAAACGCGAATAACAACAAACAAAGAATGACGAAAGTGCCTAATCATGAAAAAAATTGACTTTGGGCATTATATGTTTTAATAAACGAGTACAATTCATTTTTTGGAACGTTTTCCTATTACTATTTGCTGCCGGCAAAACGTTTCAACCAAATAGAGTCCATCATTTCAAACATAGTAAAAACTATTTTTGTCTTTTGTGGGGTGACCAACATTTCCTGTTTAATTTATGAGATAATAACGTTTTCTCAGCAAAAGTCTGCTTTTTAGTATTGCCTACCATTTGAGTAAAACATTACCGAGAAAAAGCGTGTTTTTTTACGTTGAATAATCTCTTTTAAATTCCATCATTAACACAAGAATTTTATTAAATGTGGAGTTACTAGCAAATAAGGCAATAGAGCCAAATTGGTTGTAAGAAATGCGTAGCATTGAGAAAATATCATGCAAAAACTTTCTTTGAGAATTCTACTTGAGCATAAAATTGATATTGATTTCAGCAACAGCAAGTACTCAAAACATGCAACATTCAAAATTTCTATAAGTAACACATTCAATATATGAGATGAGAAACAAACCTGGTCACATATCATATCAAATAATGATACAAGTAAAGCACCAACTCCCCCTACTGACTTAGATATCAGTGCAACAAGCAGCTTGTTATAGTTGCTTAATGTTTGCACCAAGTACCTAAAAAGCAAGCATAAAAAAATTAGAGCATTAACTATTCATTAATGAGTAATATTCTTGGCAATGTCTCCCAAGATTAAACGACCAGTTACAATATTTTTTTATTCTACATCTTTGTTAATTTTTAGCAGCAACAATAGAATCAGGATGTTTCAGTATTTCTTCATATCTCATCATATATTTTTGAGTCAAATATAAATATTGCATAAAGTGAACTGAAATAATTACACGACTAGAAGGCCAACCTGAGACTGACATGAAAAATTATGACATTTCAACAATAAATTATTTGATACCAAAATTCATTTCCTCCATACATGAAATGAAAAGTTAATTTTGCTTTCTTTCCACAAGTATAAATATGTATTTATGTAAATATATAAATATATATTATGAGGTTTGATTAAAAATTTTTTGAATTGAGATTTCAGAATATATATGAAAGTTCCCAGCAAGTCTCAGAAGTCGTTTATTGGACTCAAAAATACAACAAGACAAAATATTGAGGATTACACAAGACAGACCACCTATAATGGGCTGATCTCACATATAACATTCACTTTGACATCAAAAAAAGAATTGTAATATAGAAAAACAGCATGGTGATATGACTATAAAAATTTACCTTGCTTTTGACAAAATAGCATTTTCCCTTTCATCTCTTTTTGACAACATATCATGAAGATCCAAGCCACAAAAAAGAGCACCTTGCAAGCCCTCAACAACAACAACATCACACTCAGTATTTGATGCATCTTCTAATGCATCAATCAAGTCCATCATATTTTTCATGCACATATCAGTTCGAGTGCATGTATCTCTGTGCAAAGAAATGTAACAATAATTTGCCTTGTATTTAACAGATACTTGGTCATCTATTTTTATAGTCAAGCCACTTCTTTTTGATGTTGTTGATTGAGCAGTTTTATTACCAACACAAAGCATTTGTTCAATATCTTCAATTGTAGATTTGCAGTGTTTTAAACTTAGACTGTCACAGCAATAAGCTTGAAATGGTACCCTATTGACTACAGACACATCTTGTTCACATTCCACAAGATATTGACGCAACCAGTAATTATGCTTGTCTTTAATAATATCATTTGATGAAACCCAACAACTTGTACCATTTTCCCATTCCACAAGAAATTCATAACCACCTTTGATATTTTTACGCATACCCAATACCCGATCAAGATCACTAGCATTCTTACCAGCCTTGTCATCTTTTGATGTTGTTATATTTTCAGCCAACTTTCTTTTCTGCTTGGATATTTTTCCACAATTTCCAGCACCAGATATATTTACCTTTCCATTAACAACACCCTTTCTTCTTTTTCGAACATTACCTTTCATTTTGTTATCAAAAACAAAATTATCAATTTCCATATTATGGTAAGAGTTAAAACCAACAGAAGAAAAAGAAATGGTATCTTTAAGTTTGCTATTCAACAGAATCTTTCGGCCAGATCTTTTATTGATCCGATTTAAGCGTTTTTTCCTCGACATATTCCTTGCAAGGTCATTCAAGTCTGCTCTATCTGAATACTCTTCCTTGCAAGTGTTTGGATTAACTTTAAATGATAGATTTATCTCAGAATTTTCACTAGTTTTATCATTTAAGTTGTCATTAGGCAAAGAGTTTGAACTGACGTTTTCAGTCGTATGCAATGTTTGGTTGTCTGTTGAACGGTCGTTTTCCCTGACGACTGTCGTTGACGAATGACATTTACGTCTAGCAAAAATATTTGAAACTGCATTCTTATAACTCTCATTGTCCTCGTTTTTCAAATCTTTAGCTTCCTCGTTACAAACACCAGACATTTCTTTGTCCGTGCTTGCACAAAAACCACTACTCTTTGAATATCCTATCCTTACAGAATTGAATATCGTTGAATCTTCTATCTCTAGCTCGTTGACTGAACTATTATTCGTGGATCTCAAACAGGTTGCGCCATTTAGGTGAATGAAACTTTTCCCTAGTTTCTTGCTGCTTGATGTTTCGTCATCAACATGAGTAATTTTATCGTTAGCATTAGGAGAATAGTCATCACAAACATGAGTGTATTCCATATTGGCAAGACGTTCATTCCTACCTACATTTCTCCCTGTATCATTAACGTTTAGTTCCGATACGGAAAAAAACAACGACTCTTCGTTCTTTTTAAAGCCATTTATTAATAATTTGCTACCATTGCTTGTATGCTTTCTTCTCCGACGTGTACGTTTCGTTTTCAATCTGTTTTGCACACCGTCTTTTCTCACATTTCCGTCGTCACTATCAGAGTCTGTGTCAAGATATCGAGAAGGAATGCGCGAAATTCGACCGGTGTATGTAAAGCGCTGTTTTTTTGCTGTTCCAAACCCATTAAACAATAATGATTCATGCCTCTTAAGACTTTCATTGTAGTTGTTATGCCTGAGCGGCCATTGCGAAGGGTCGTTGTTGACATTACCATTGGACTTTATATCAAATGTTTCATCCCGTTTGTAACTCGATGCATTAGCAAATTCCTTACTTTTATCATTGCTTCCATTGCATGAGGCAATTTCTGCACAAAAATCCATCGCATGACTCAAAATTGAATCATTTTTCAGCCCTTATAATGAAAGAGAACAAACACATTTTACATTTAAAGCTACAGACAATGCCAGTGTTAGTCCAGCAGACACAGAATAAAGCGCGTGCGCCATAAATTAAATTCCAAGCATGTGCTTTGAGATGTTTTTGCCGCTGACAAAGCAAAAATGCCTGCAGTTTCTCAAGAAAAAGTACCTGCTAGGTTTGATTCAATTTGATTACTTTTTTGGATTTTATAGCGAATTTGTCATCCTTTTGTGCTTCACGTCACCCACTAATTTTTAAATTCGATACCTCAAGTTAATCTAGAAAGGATCTTAATTCAATGGAATTTTTGATTTGTAAAAATAAAAGAGTTAAAAAAGAAAGTAGAGAGGTCTTGTAACTGTTTGATTCATAGTTACGACAAATCGTTTTGATTTTGTAATTCATTTTAATTTTGTACTTCTGTAAATAACAATTAACTCAAAATGAGATGACTACACTTCAGTATAGTGATTTCGACGATAAGTTCAGATGCAGCAATTATTTTCAGTTCATTTTCTAATCTTTGGCGTCACCAATACCGTCAGGATTTATGGCAAACATTGCCTCTGCTTCAGGTAAACAAGGCGAGTCGTAGATTTTGCATATCCTCGTTTCACCACGACCTTTTCGTAAAAATAACCTAAGAACATATGTGAAAAAATGAGATTGCTCATCATTTATCCTTTTCGCTTAAGGCTACAAATATACAGACAGCTTTATACAACGTTTATCTACGGAGTACCAGCTAGTGCTGTGCAAAGGAGCAGCATTTTCTTTGCACGGGCTCGGGAGGTAAATTCCTGAGGATTAGCACACAGCACAAGTACCAGCTAAAACAGACCGTTATGAGAAAATCACCTAAGCCAATCAACTTCCCTTCCCATAATTCTATTTTTCCTCTTTTCCGTATCAAGGCAAGGGAATCACCTTGTTGTAGAAGCATGTGCCATGATGTGTCCACCAATTGGCTTTTTTGGATCCGTTTGAAATACAGACGCTCCATCAACCTGAGCGACAACTTGATTTGTAATAACAACAGCCACACCAAACTGCAAAATAAATAATTCCTCGATAATCAGTTATCTATTATCAGAAGAATACGTGCTTACAACGTAGTCAGTGCTCGTTTTATAGAAATCACGAACAGTTTTTCGTAGAAAAACAGGCAGTTAACTGCTATAGTGACCGATTGCAAGTAATTCATGCCAAAATAATTATGCTTCTTCATACTTCATCTGCTAGTCGTAGTAGGGTACGTAAAAATCGAGCAAGATGCATTTGACGATCAGCCAACTCCCCGCGACCAGAATAATCAGTTCGATATAAAGATGTAGCACTGTCCACGATAACTATTGAATACCTACAACACAGAAACACTCTTCAAATACAGGGATGGAGGATTTGGGGGAGGGTGTGGGTGTGTGTGCACCCCTCTAACCTTGGTTAGAAGGAGTGCAGAGGAGAATAAAATTATTTTATTATAAGAATTTTTTCATTGGCATAAGTTATCCCAACAAAAAATTGCGGTTTTGTGCCATGCAGATCGCGTTTTATGACAAAGTTTTGCAAATACACATGAGTATGTCTTTGAAACATGTCCAAAAAGACAAACTAGAGACGTGAAAAGTTTACCATTCCAAACAGCATCTTTGACAAGCCTTAGAAAATATAGTGCACATTTGCAAATTTAACATACTTCAAAACACACACCTTGATTCAGAAAGCATGGCAGAAGTGTTAAGTAATAACTGTGATTGATGTTCTGTGTTGTAAGCCTTTGCGTAGGCTACATTATCCATCACTTGCTCTCCATCAAGACCATATCTAAACATAGTTAGACAGATGTAAAGTTTTTATTCATCCATCGTTTTTACGTTATGTTAACTTTAATCTGACTGATCCTTATAGCATATTTATGACTTAAGACTAAGTCACTTTTGTTAAGGGAGCAGCCTACTTTCATCGATTCTTTTGGTGAATCAAACCATCTCTTTTTTCAAAATTAACATCGGAAAATGCAACCCACCAGTATTATGAAAAAAATTTTTTATGAAATTTCTAGAAAAAAATATTTGCCAGATGATAAGCTCACATAAATTTTCGTTTCATAACAATAAAGCAATCTAACCTGTCTGCTACAGCCAATAATCTTTCGGGTCTAAACGTATTCTCTGTATCAATGTATATTGCCTTGCCTTCTCCTCCACCAATATCAATGGGTAACTACAATAAATGTATGAATAGGACATTAATTCCAGTTGACATGTACATGTTGTCACTTGTTCAATACATGTAATAGGAAAAATATAGCAGTTGCTTCACAAAAAGTTATTTTCATATCAGATATTTTACAAAACTTAAAACAATCTTTGCCACGAGCATGAGTGCTATTGCATGATATTGCTAGTACATTACAAAATTACCTGGCAAGTTACAGCCAGAGTGTGACAAAGTTGAGTTTTTCCTGTGCGGAATTCCCCAAATATTTCTGTTATTGAACCAGTCTCAATTCCTCCTATAATGAAATGATGGCCCAGCATTTGCATAGGACATTGTTGGATTTGTCATGTACTTTTTCTCATGAAAACATTTTTTTGACTAGAATTCCATTAAATAATCCCTATAAATACACATCTTATATAAGGGATTATGGAGAAGGTATGCAATATTTTACATAATTGTATTTTTCTCATAAGATCAATAATTGCCTACTTTGATAATACTATACATATTAAATAACAACAATAGCTAAAACTAATGAACGTTATGTGCAAAATGAAAGTCATCATGGAACAAGAATAAAAAATAGGTACACAGTGTGTGCATGTGAGTAGCCTTGACCACAGTTACAGTATATGAAACAAACAGTAGTCAGTAGTCACACTTTACTGTGCAACTTGGTGCTGTATTTTTCATTAAATAGATTACTGGCTGTAGCTAGCCATGTTCACATTCCTGTTGGGTAGATAATGCATTTTACTTTGCTGCATTGTATTTTATCATTTTTATTAGCTGACATACCTTGAAGCAATTTATCTAATTCTTTTGATCCTGTAGTTATGGATATCAGTTCTGATCGTTTGGCATGAAATTCAGTAGCTGTAGTAAAGCCCATTGGTATCAACTTGTATGCCTCCTGCTGTATTTTGTCGGCTTTTGCATCACTTATTCCCTTGATTCGAGTCAAATGTCTCTTTGAAGAGTATGCAACAGCCTCTATGGTATGCAATCCAGCTTCTTCAAGTTTCTTTACATCACTGGCACTTATACCAAATTGCTAAAAGCAAGCATAATTATATCAAACTTGTATTTCCATTGATTTCACTGATGCCCTTACAAACAAAGGAAATTTTTTCCATATTAAAAGATATTGTATAAAAAGGTTAAACTTGATGTAATACAAAATGATGTGATGTTTAACCTGAACAAATGGCATTAATATTATCTAGATTAACATTGTAAATAACAAAAGAAATTCAGTTAAGAAATAACGGATTTGGCTGGAAAATAAAATACAAGTGGCAGTGAATATCAATAAATACTGAAGAATCAGCACTTCACAAGCGTATATTTGCATAAACAGCAGATGTATATGTGTCTGATTGATTTATAGCTGATATGGCAGGTATTTTTTTACTATCTGTTTAGGTTACAACTCTTAATACTCCTACGTATAGTAATAAGTACAGATTCATTCGTGTGGAATTGAACATTTGTATTCTTCAAGACACATTTTGTGATAAAGTTCGGTCATCAAGGACAGTAATACTTTATTTTATTCAATAGGATGTGCAGTTTTATAACGCTGTATTTGTCTCAAACTTCGACAGATTTTCAAAATACCTCCAGTTTATTGACGACAAGTGGCCCGCCAAGACTGTCTTCGTCCTCCTCAACCTGCTGTTCTTGTAAACGTTGTTCAGCCATAACATTCACCGAAATATGCTCTTTTTCAATTTTTTACATTGCACATTGCATAGCAGTAGGAGTAGGGGTACCGACGAAAAATCAAGATAATATCGTGACAAATCTTCAAAGTAAATGATTATGAACTTCTTTCAAAACTCGCGCTCATTTTCCTACATCCTAATTTTCACCATTTATTTTTACCAACACAACACAGCCTACAATGCCTGACAAAAATTAGGACTGCCATTTTGAAATTAAATATATTTATTATTTTTTAATTAAAACCTATCTATATCTATGTATAATATATTGTATTTGATTAAAACTAAATTAAATATATTTCCTTCACTATCACTACTGAATTTTGCACTGCTGTCAAACGATTTTGCAGCGAATGAAATATTGTTGGTAGGTTGTGGTACGTTTTTAAGTGTATTGGCGTTTATAGGTGGCCAGTGAGGTTTGAATCCTTAATTAAAGTGACTTTGAATTTAAAGATTGCTCGAGAAATAAAAAATTCGCAGGAAACAAAAAGAATAAACAATAGTGTGATTAAATGAAACAAACAGAAATAGCACAATTTTTTACAAAAAAGCGACGGAGAAAATTTTGAGCTTTGTTATCTAATCTAATCAAAAATAATATAAAACAAAGAGACAGAAGTCATTTACTCATTTTGACAACGTATCAATCAAAAAATAAAATCAACCTACTTTTGATTTTGAAATTCAAATCACGTTCAAAAGAAATCAGTAGGGCACAACGGAATATATGAACATACACCACCCCCACCCCCAGCAATTAACGTTTTAGTTACGCCTCTGTCTGTCTCATCACTCTCATCAAGAAACTTTACGAGAAATATCTTCTGAACAGTATTTGCAGATTGCCAAGATGAAAGTTTTTCAATTGGCGGGCTTGTGACACAGCTAGATGCTAGATGAAAAATCCTTGCCCCCCCCTTAATATATTATGTTTTACATACGTTCAAAAAATTACATACATTACAATGTTTAAAAGACAGTTGTGGCCAGTGGCGAAGCTGGTTGAGATAACAAGGTCATGCTCATACGCTAGTGCACAGCCCACGAGGCGCCACCATGGTTGGCGCCGAGCGTCAAAAATTTTGAAAATTAAATGCCTTAAACTCCCGGAAAACGCTTTTTTTGGTTTTTATTTACGAAGCTATAACATGGAACGTCACGCCTCGTACAACCGTTTAGATTTATTTTTCAAATATCCTTCAGTCTTGGACTGTTTCGCCCTATGTCAGGGCTCATCAGCATGCCAAGGAAACACACAACACATCCACTCTGGAAGTATAAAAATGTGATTCCGACATAGACAGCCCTCATTAGAGCCTTTTTAATGAGCAGTCTGGTTTTAAGGCGCCAGATTCTCGCCCTCACACCTCAGTTGAAAAGAGGAATTTGGTTAGAAATGGGAGACCATCTGGGACATTTTTTTAAAGAATGAAAATGCTCAATTCTCATCTTATCCCGGTCTTTTTCTACTGCTTCTCGCCGAGCTCTCGAAAACAAAACATCAACACTCTCCCTCGAATCAAATAACCTCCACTGTTTGTATGCCTCCATGTGAGATTTTGTTTTCTCGTGTTTTATGCTGTCACCACTAAAACTATGCATGTTATGATAGCCTGTTGAAGCCCATGGAGACTTTCTAGGGGAAGAATGAAACAAAAGACATGGCCAGCAAAACAATCTATTCTTCCTCACACTACCACACAGCCAGTCCTTGTTCGAATACCAACTTTCTTGAAAGCTCCTATCATTCGTCTTTAGTGTAAGCTTCGGTATCGGCCTTGACATGCGAGCTATTTGTTTCTGCTCACTAATATTTCGTGAGGAAAACGATCTCTCTACCAGCTCTGCTACTATATCCTGACCATCAAAGGGGGAAAAGGAAATCGTCGATTGATTTTGCTCAACTCCTTCCATGACCGAAATAAACAATCGAAGTAATTATATGATCGTATAATAGCGTATCGTCAAAACAATCAAACTCCTGCGATGAGTTCATGGCATGACTTCCGCATGACTTTTGGCGGAAGTATGCAAGAACTTAGCCTAATTTGGCCAATCAAAGAAGCGTATTTTCGAAGGAAGTCATGCTCTCAAGTGGAAAGCAGGAGTTTCAAACGTCATCAATAAGCAACGTATCCAGCGCTCAGGTGGCTAAGGTTTTCCCTAATTGCGGGCTTTTTTGCGTAACACAACGCGTAGTCCAAAAACTCAAGCGCATTTCTTCCATGCACTTTATTGTAAAAGCCTGCAAACCAAAAGCTACGTCTTACAGACAAATGAAAGAATTAATTATCGAAAAAAATCAAAATTGCCGAAAAAGTAAGTCATGCTCAGCATGACAAGCATGACCTCTAGCTACGCCACTGGTTGTGGCTACCCTTCCTTTTTAACTAGCCTCTCTTAACAGAAAATCCTCGCCGAGTATGCCACTGTCGCGGGCCAAAGCTCATCTTCCTTACTATATTTAATGTAAGGCAGATGATGATGAATCATATATAACTTAGAACTCATATTTATTAGAGTTATGTATTTTATTTCATCACATAAATTTTTACTTTATTATTTTTTGCTCTTAAATTACGCATAAGTTTTAAAGGACGCAATTAAACTCGTTTCAAGTTTAACTATATCACAGTTAATTAAAAATTCTGGTTTTAAAACATTTTAATGATTTTTATACCTAAAACACCTTATAGCTACTTTAATATTTCTGCGATGAAAAAAAAATTACGCTTGCTTTTTCATTAAAGGTTCCATACATCACCATAACTTCATATACAACTTGATGAATACTTTTTGCGTAATTGTGACTGCAACTCAAAGCAAATATCATTCAAATATAAATAATTGTCGGTACAATTAATTTCAATAATTTAAAATTCAAGTGAGTCGATTGGGTTGGTTCAGATATAAATTCGTGTGTATGTCAGTATTAAAGTGCGTAAATTTTTTATCTGGTGGTATACCAAAGCAGTTTAAATAACAGGTATGCGATAACACTGATATATTTTCAAACATTGTCTATTTCTAATTGTAGTAACCGAAAAGAAAGCTAAATGCTTTACTTCGGATTTATAAAGATATTGGATATGTAGCGATCAAAGACATTAAACAGATGATAGCTAAAGCTAAATAAGCGTCATATAAGTTTAGTCAAATATGAATTAAAAACGTATGATTCGTTTTCATGGATAGACAATCAAAACTTCTTTTCTATGACCGAAGCCTGATATGTAAATATTGGTTTTGCTTATGTTTACGATGAGTTTGTGATAAGTGATTTTTCTTTTCATGATATGAAATAACATCGTTCAGCCAGCGCTTTCAAGACAACACCTCAAAGTTACTTAGTTGCATTCAGAGTCTACAGAAATTTGTTACAAATGAACTCAGTGTGATTTCAATATTTTTCTGCCGCCATAAGAAATTGCATCTCGGACTCAAATATCCTAAGTGACCACAAAATCAGGCATAACATCGACAGTGGCTTCTACAAAGAAAATTTACCATTTAGAATTTCATACTGCGCTTCTATTTAATGAATGATTTTAGTAGTAATGATTGTAATGCTCATTAAATATTTCATTGCTTGTAGTTATTCATCTTTATGGACAAATTGTTAATTTGTTATATTTGTAAAGTTTGCCTTTTCGTTACCAAAGTCAGTGATTGCCAAATAAATATAACTGCATGTTTCACGACAAGTCAAATATATTGACGTTTGATATGAAGATTTTAGATTAATAATTGTTAGTAAAAACGACGAATGTTGGCCAAATGTTTTATTGCGTTTAGTTGTTGAAGAATACGTTGTCTGTATTCTAGACATTTTCCTGTTAATGTAAATTAGCAATGAAATGAATGAATAAAGAGCACACTGATCGCTAAAGCACAAATATATAAAAATAAGAAAAACAGAACAATTTGCATCCAAGGTGAGACTACGCCGTCGCGGAGCAACGACAAAAATGTATTTAAGATGACAAAAAAGCAGTTCGTACTTGTGAATAGTAGTGTAGTGCTCAGACCACCAGGAGATATTTTTTCTTTCGCCAAAACGTTATTGCTGTGAGTATTAAACATTGTGAAATGATACTTATTAAATCAGTTTTCGTCCCACTTTATAATTGGGGATTCTAGGCTACACCCCATCGCAAACAAAGTCCTCAGTGCGTGACGAAATATATTTGTCGACGAACCCTAAACAGATTTCACATTTCATACCATGCTTACCACACAGATAGCAAACACGAGAGCTAATTACTGTTCAAAATACGCAAGATAACTTGCTTCAACATTATAGTAACCCACACAAGTCACAAAGACTTAAGTACGACCTCCACTTGGTCAGCGGTCAACTAGCATCATAGAAATCTATTTGTTGTGAGAAAAGCGAGCGATCAAAGTGAACTAAAGTACATAAGCATATTAATCGCGAAGAAATTGCTAAATCGTTAGCACGACTAAATTATATAGAATTTTTAACATTTAATTAATTTGATAATACCGTTCTTCCCTTGACTGTGTACATGTTTTGAAGTCAAGGATCGTGTGGCTGTCTACAATGAATAGTCAATAAACATAATATATATTTCAGGTATGATCTTACCTTGTAATTATTGAGCTTATTGTAATGCTTTCTTACTGTGTTTTACTTTTACTTCTACATACTGTAGAAATATCTTGTGCTTTGCATTACTACTATTTTAACATTTTTTATTGTATAATGTTAATTGATATTACGATAAGACATCACACTTACATGAGACACATGGTTATTACAGAGCTTATAGAAAATGAACGTGAACTGCATCTGTTGCATTTCCCGTAGTATGAGTTTTTTACTTTATTCTTTAAAGATATTTTAAACAACTTGCCCTAACCCTAACCCTAACCATAACCGTAAACCTAACCTAGGTTAAGAGCAATTCTCTAACCCTAATTCTATCTATTAGGAGTTAAATAGAACACATGTCCCCACACAATAGTATTGAACTTGAGATCATCGAAATGCTTTACAGTTAGCGAAATATATTACCATATCCAAATGGACGGGCGTTATCAAAGGCAAATTTTTCGATAGTCCAACTCGTACAATTTTTGTTGTCATACACAAGCAAAGCTAGGCTAGACTTAGTTAGGCTAAAAATGAAAGATAAATGCAATTTCCTTCAAAGATTGGGCTTTTCAAGGACTGTGGTGTGAAATATAACATCACTTATTTTTTCCTTATTCGTCACCTTATTATTACATCAATTACAACATCCATTTGCAGTTTCCCCAACAAACATAATCAATTCTGTTTTGTTGAATGAAAGAATACGAGAAAGGGAGGTAGACGGTTATACTGTGAACCAAGAAACAGTTATACGTCATAGACAACATTTTTCGTATGTTTTCATGTCAATTAACATCAATAAATATGTATATTAAAACAAAAACAGCGAAAAAATACATTTTAAGAATAAACAGTTGTGTTATCAAATAAGGAAAACCTTCTTCTGCCTGCTTGCTTCTTTATTCATTTTCAGTAGTTCCTTCACCAAGCAATGAATTCACTTTTTTTACTGAATCTTGCGCTTTACAAATAACATTTAAAAAAAGCGTTTGATGAAGTTATTCTATTGAGTGAGTGTTGCGCATTCCATACACAGTCTTGTAAAAATTGTTTTAAAGCCCACCATTATTAAGCCTTAAGATGCTCTCCACATGACGTGAAGCTCTTTCATTTAATTTGGATTAACATAATTGTACTTTGCATACTAAATTAAGTCGTAGAAAAATGAGAACAAAAGTGTTGATTACACCTTTCATGTTTTTCAGAATGCTTATAACATGTTAACGTGAAGCAATAGCTAGGAAAATTGTCATGTTGTTTATCGCGCTCAAATACAAAATGAAATCGAAGAAAGTGAAATTATAGTTAAAATTGCATCTTTGAATATCGAATGTGCTTATATACATTAATTGCTAAAATACATTAGCAAAGACGCATCATTATGCAGTGACAAGCTGCAATCCTGTAAGTCCTATGTTCATTTTAACCGGAAATGAACGTCTACGCATGCGCACTACACTAGGTCACTATTAAACAGGTGCATTTCTGTATTTAGAAAGAAGCCCTTTCAGTTTATCAAGGTGCTCGTAACGTCGTTTTTATCCTCTTTCCAGTATTTTGAAAATCATCATGGCCGACGAGGACATCGAAGAGATAGCCGACAAATTCGCAGGTAAATTTGACGTAATCACGTGCTCAACTCTGTACGACAAAGAAGCTTTGGGCGAACGCGATCTGAAGTTATCGCAAGCTATTTGCCTACTGTGGCAAAATTCAACTACCGGAGAAGTATCAGGAAGACATAGCGACCTACATTTACTTGTGTGCGTCTACTGCGCTGGTCTGTTGGATTTGCTAGTCATGGACAAGATACGGGTCAATGATACGTTGTCCACTTGCCTTTGTCTTGTTTCCAAAAAGAAAATGGTTGAAGTAAGTATTGAAACTATAGCACAGCGTTACGTTCTTACTCTACATGCTTCTGTAGATATTTATCATTTTTGTAAAGATTCAAACGGTTTGTATTAAAAAGTTGCTATCTGTTATATAAATATCGTCTATGGAGGTGGAGGTCACTGATGCAAACGATCATAAAGACGCGTCGATTAATTTTTCACGCTATCGTGTGTTATTTAGTGCAATTTTTCCACACACATAGCTTGAAACAATGTAGCGATTCTTTGTCAAGGTATTTTGCATTTGAGAAGAAAATAAATATATCCATATGTCCATATGTATAATAATCGTGTAATCTACTTCGCCTTCCTTTTATAAGGTTTGTTTTTCCAAACAAAACTACATTGGTTTTTTTATATATTTTCAACGACAGCGACATAAATTATGAGCATATTTGCCACCCCCATGCACCTGTATATGTATAATGCAATTTTTTTTTACTTTCCATGTCACCGTGAGACGTGTATGATTCGGTCCTTGATGAAAAGTAAAGTTTGTAAAACTTTAAATCATATTGTCGACAAAGCTTTACGTAAAACATGCTTTAACAATGAAAAGCGTCTGAAATTAAAAGACGTCCAGTCCGCCTCGGTGAAACGTCGTCTTACATACTTGACAGGCCAAGCTGTATTAACATTTACAATCAGCAAGTGACACATTGAGAAGCAATATGGTTTCATAAGAATATTTTCGATAAGGAAGATGTATTTTTATACAAAATAGATGCTCTATCGGTGTGTGTATGCATAACAAAACGCTTTATATTTATGAAATTAATTAAAGGCCTTCGGTGTAAATTTGAAATATTAAAAACTTCGCGTGAATTATATGAATATCTCTTGTTTTCTCATTTGCATTTATGTCATCCATTCGCTATTGAAATTCAAGAAATGTGTTTTCAAACAAGAATATTTAGCAGATTGATATTATGAATGCGTAACGTTATCGTGGTTTATAAAAAAAATGTTCGTTTTTTGCTAGTATTGAGTTAAGAACTGCGGAATGGCAGAAAAAACTTAAAAATTGCAATCATCAAAAATCGATTTGACGACAATTTAAAATAGCTATATCCCGAAAAATTGGTACTTTAGGATTAGGGCAACACGCAAAATATGATATATCAAAAGGAATGTTTTTGGAATTGCCACCTACAAACTAAAAACCCCATTTTTGCCTTGAGTTATAGGCATTTTCATGTTTTGTTTTATCGAATTTTAAGGGGAAACGGCATGTCCTAAGGATGATGACGTCATGTTTAAAAAGATAAACTAAATGAGCAACGTGTACGTTTCCTTATACGTCAATGACAGATGGCAAATACTTGTTTTATGATCTTTTGAGATAATCTTTTAAGACAAAGCATGCGCTCTCATTGTTCAAACGTAGATATACGCCTAAGCACTTTCTTTACAGTTAATTCTTGAGGTTAATTGCAAAAAAGCGTCACAAAAATGCGGAAAAAGCAGCGCATCGCTGCAATAAATAGAAGAATTTCTGTAGTTGAAACGTAGCTATATATTAAACGCCATGAATAAAACAATTACAGTTGCAGTCAATGCTTCATTAAAAGTTAATTTTTTAGAAGATGCCTTTTTTGGATATTACAAAAGATTTCTTTAAAATTCTATTTTAAAGACCACTTTATTTCGATAAGCGAATTAATGGATATTAGCCGTGGTATGGATAGCTATATCACTAAGCGGTGATTATAACATTTTTTGAAAGTGTGAATTTCATAAGTTTTTGAAAGTTTCAGTAGCTAATGGTCAAATCTTGATGTATCAATATACATTACATAAATATCAAAGTTTCTTACGGACTTTGTATACAAGTGCTTTAATTTCCAAACGATTTTGACGCAAGCGCTCCTCGTGGTTTGAAAAAAAAGCGAATTATATGTACTATATAAAAATTGATGTAGCTGGGTACATTTATGAGGAGATTTAAGAAAGTGTTTTCCGAGGCGAAAATTTCATCTCTGAACAAAAAAAAACATTTTCCATTGATTTAGCTATAGCTACAAACTATTTTGTGTTTTCTATCAACGCCAAATTTTACTATTAATTGTATTCGCTTCATCCCAGCCTACTCCTAAGACTCGCACGCACGCACACGCACACGGGCAATTAGACCAATCTGCTATTCTTTAAGAAAATAAATAGATTTTGCATGTGTTATGACCCATGTACATATTTTTTCCAAACTGTTGTTTTTATTGCCGTAAAAATGTGTTTAAGTCTTACGAGACAGTAAAAGAAACTTTATACAACTGACAGTTCAATGGGTCGAATAGACTACTATTTTAACGAGTCATCTACGCCCACGCACACACTAAAGATAGGTGAAAAGTATCACTTGTATGATAATACAATAAAAGGGTGCGTTGGCAATAATTTCTGATAAATTGTGCACTTAACAAGAAAGTCTAACATGTCGTGGCACTTTTAAATGGCACCATAAAACAAATGGATCTACTTACAAAACCAAAGTAAAAAAAACCAACTCCACAACGCACATTCAAATGCAACGAAGGAGCAAACAAATGTTGATGAGTATAATTCAGGTTTATCATAGGACTATTTTTTATTTAAATGGTATTTGTCGTATTTCGGTAAGCTTAAAAGAATTGTCATACCGCATTGTCAATGATGTTCAAATCATTAAAGCAGGAACCAAGTTAGAATTCCTGAAGACATACAGATCCTACTAATACTGCGCAGATCCTGTTATTGTGCTTGTAACCTGTGGTATGATTGTTTCAACAACGTAGATGATGTTGTACGAAATCCCACACTAAATTTTATGAAGACCGATGTGTTTAGTAAAGTAAGTAAACCAACGCCAACAACACACATGAAAATGACTTATTTAGGCAGCTCCTTCACCACTTTAATGTTGAAGGACCTTTCAGATCTAATGAATGCTGGGACATGTGTGTATCATTAGATACGCGCGCGAGTCTATCAAAGTACTAATAATCTTTACTGCCGGAGTAAAAATTGATGGTTAAGTTGTTAAAGGAAAGAAATAAAAATGTAAGATTGTACAGTCAGTGAAACTAATGATAGTTTGTTAAGCTTTTTTTTATTTTCAGATTGACCATGTACAAGAAACATCGACGTATTTGGACACCATGGCACTGACTGACATCATTACCCAACGAAATACGCCAAGAGAACTTGTTGATTGGCTGGAGGAAAGTGTAGACAAGAATGACGATCAAAGCTCTTCAGTTGTTACCCTTGATAGCCTTGTTAAAAAAGGAATACTACGAAAGGAAAAGTTATCAGTAGGCACAAGATTCTATCTCAACAACCAAGGTTAATAGAAAAAAACCGTTGCCCTCCGAACTCAATTATCACGATACGAGCTTTTGTTGACACTTTTTCAACTTTAGCGATAACCGAACAAAAAGATTTTATCTCCTATTACTGTAGATTTTTGATTCAGTAGAATGTTACATGTTTTTCTTTTCACTCTTTTTTTAGAGATTAAACAAGGTTTGGTTCAAGAGATTCGCGATTCACTCCTCGAGGAGAACATGCCCGACCTATACATGCGAGTTGTATTGACTTTACTTCAAGGAGCCGACCATTACCGCGACAGCTACGACAAAGACAGAATTTTCAAACAGTATTTCAACAAGAACGAGTATAAGCAAGCGAAGGCACGACTTAAAGTCATATCACGTGATTGGCCACAGGTACCCCCACCACAAGCAGCAGAAACAAATACAAACGCCTAAGGACAGCAGGCAACACAATTTGGAAACTAAATTTCTTTAAGACATTATGAATAATTGTATTGGTTTGCAACATATCTTTGGTCTTTATTAAATTGTTAGTTAAATAGTAAACAACGACGTACTTCTCGTCAAGAAAATTACGTTTGTGACTACACACAACGCAATATGCATCAATAAAAACAGTAGAAAATCAAACGTGTTCACCGTATAATATAACAAGGTCAATTTTGACACACTCAGTGTACGTGGCTGCTTTGAAGCAAAATAGACAACAAAAAGAAAAAAAACTGTCTGCCAATTTATTTAAATTTTTAGTGACTTTAATTTAAAGCAAACGGGGGACATAAATAGAATTATGTTCTTCGCCTTACATGTATAATATTGCTTTGAGTGCTTCATAAACAAAACAGCCATATGAGAGACAAACAATATGATTGGGTCTGCTTGTTTTTATTGATGGTTATGGCATACTATAAATCTAATCAAATTCTAGTTTTGGCCGCGTTTCAAATCACTTTTTCGCTATTCCTAAAGAATTATACTAGTAAGCATGCCCTATTTCATATTTGATTTAAATTTTGTCCAGCAATTATGATGCACAGCATTAATGCTACAAAGGATCTGACGGTAACAGTACCTATTCAGTATTCTCTGTTGGTATTAGAGCAAAAAAACATTCCTTTGATAAACTTATTCACGAAGATGGAAAGCATGCAGCCATTATCTCGATCATTACTGTGAAAATATGTGATCATTTAGTTTTATCTGCGCACAATATTATGTATAAACTATATATGCATGCCTGTTATTATTTAGTAGTATTTTAATAGTTTTGTTAGCGTACAATTGTGCATAACATTGTTGCCTGGTGCAATTATACGTACATGTATAAAATGCATTGTCATGGATGGGGAGTTAGTAAAGACACTCTTATTTGTTGATAGATATAAATTATTATGGATGTATGGTGCATGATGTCATTTAGCAGTTTACAATTAAAAACTATGTAAGCAAATGTATTGATTACAAACAAAAAATGGAATATGATTTTTAGTTTGTGTATTAAACTATAGTGACGACTGATATAGAGAATGAGAAATCTTGTCGTTATGGAAAAACATTATTTGCGTAACAATCCTTTTGTGATCTTCGTTTGATAACTTCGAAGCTTTCAAGCAATTGTTTCAGAAAATGTTGCTATATTTGATCTATACAACAAGTGTTAGCAAAGGGGCGTTTTTTTATCTTCATGGTGACCCCTACTTACACGAATTATAAAAATACGATATGCTGAATGGAAATCGATAGATTTTTTAATTTTTTATTTTTAGGTTTTATGTTTTATGTAATTTTATAAAATTCTTTAAAGAAATTAACTTTACATAAATTTCTATCTTTCATATCATTAAAAACTTTGACATGAAACACAATTTGAGCTGTGGGGTACCATGTTGTCAAATTTGGGATGGTTTAGGAACATGATTAATTGATAAGTGAAACCTTGCTTAAAGTGACCCTACCAGAAAATTTCTTGTTGGCTTTATTAAAACGGTGCGATTTCTAGCGTATCCGAATAAAGTTTCTAATTTGGTCAATTTGTTCCATGTTTATGATGGTTTAGAGTGAACAAAAACGCCCTTTCTGGTAGACCTAATTTCTCCCTCTTCAGAAAAGTCTACAAAGACTTATTTTTGTTTCGTCATGCGAGGGACTTGTCAATACAAAAATATATGTTCAACCTACCTTAGATGACGTCAAAATGTGGCTAGACCCAGACTTCATGCCACGACTGACAAGTTCCATTGAAAGCCAGCTTTAAATTGCAATTAAAGTGTCATCACCGATATGTTAAAAACTACCTGAAGCGAGAAAAAAAATTTGCTGGTAGGGTTACTTTTAAAAGGTATTGTATGAATTTTTAAACGTTTCTTACCATCATTCGTGAAATTTGTAACAGTATTTTACAATGACGATCAAAGCTACCACTCTGGCCAATGCAACAAACAAAACATGTATATAATGCGTGTTTGGACAGATCACGTGGGAGTAGTTGAATGTCCATGAAATAATCAAAGTCAAATACTTTAACGACTTCTCATCACATAGCCTTCAATGCTTCAAGAATTAAGAATGCAAACATTAAAGTAGAACTAAATTTCAAAGCAGTGGTAGGATATATTTTGCCTTAATCATAAACTATACTATTTAATCATAAACAATACTATTTCAAAAAACTTTTCTTTGGTCACTCACAGCAAAAACAACTGTAAACGCACCATATCTACTGCACTTTTGAAAAGAGATATCAAAGATCAAACCGTCGTGTGAGTCTTACTGTCGGTCCTCACTTTGTCAAATTATGTTGGTGACTAGACACGTTTTTAAACATCATAAACAAGTACAAGAAGGAACATTTACAGCGTTTTTCACGTAAAATTTAAGGAAATTTTATCGAAACTCTGCTGCGCCATGTTTTCTTGCATATTTCACATGTGAATCTTGTTAAGTTGAATTAAGGCGGGAAAACCACAAGGGAAAATGGGAAAACTGAGCACATAAATTAAATCCTCACCACGTTCATTGCAATCCCTGCTATCCCGCTTATCCAGAATAAGAAGGTAGCTTTATCCTGATAGTCGACATTTTAGAAAAGTTTGTGATTAATTCTGGTAAAAAAAGCACTACTATCTTTACAATCATTAAATAAAGGTTAACCAGAAGCTAAAATTACTTTGATGTAATTTTAACAAATGATGCAACGTTAATCCATAAAAAATCAAAACAAAATCCGAAGTAGTATGGAGCACTACGACACACTGTAAATCTCTGGGCTTTCACAAGCAAGGCGTACATATATAGTGAAGTCGGTGAAGTCAAATCACAACTTTAAGCGTAACTTAATTTAAATCATGCAATAAACTGAGCAGAAACTCGGTTTATTTCCATGCGTAAGAATTTCATGTACAAAACGATCTTGATTTTACTGATATGAAAATCGTCAATAAGATAGATGCGAATCTTCCTGAAATGAGGATTGACGCTATATTGCTCTTTTTTTCAATGCTCAGAAAATGAAAGGAAAAGGAATATCTGTGTAATTTGGAAAATTTACATTGATGTGGAATTGATAGGTTGTGTCAAATCCATGTTTTGATGAGACAAGTCCATTTATCTTTCAAAAAGCAATTTTATCCAACTAAAAAATAAATGTGTAAATTTTTATTTTTAGTTCCCTAAGAGAGTCGTAATGTACAACGCATTTGTAAGTCGTAACATCATTTTTTTGATGAGAGGTGAGGTTTGAAATATTGCTTTGAAATTATGGACATCAGTCCCATGACAGCATCTTATCCTGATGGCATGGGTGAACACAATATTTTCCATAATGAAAACCATGTGACTAGCTCAGGGAAAATTTACCAAATGCAATAAAGATCAAAACGAGAATATTAAGGTATATACGTAATATATTGAAAGTATTAATACCATATACAACGTACAAAAGTGAGAGACAGAAACTGTTACAATCATCAAATCATCTGGAAAAAACTTTACAAAACATTTGCATTGAAGTTAGTTCCGTCATTATGATATAATCAACTTCTGAGTGCTGACTTTTGCCCTGAAAAAAATGTTTGTTGGTATGGTGAAAAGAGCAATCATGGAAAATATAGTTTATTTTTCATTTTACTGACATGTTTCCACTTATAATAATGACCATTCAATTTAGCCCTCAATTTCAAATTAGTTCTTGTATTAATGATTAAATAAACTTGATTGTATTCTAATTTCACAAGGTATGATAACATTGTGCATACCATTGCATTCTTGGTTTGAACTACAGGTTTTGAACAGGATCATTTAGAAGATTCAATGGCTGCTGTGATGCTATCAATAATCTTCTTCATCTTTCTGGCACTGTCAACATAACCATCACCATTCTGGTAGAACAAACAGTGAGAAATAAATTACTCCCATAGTTTCTCGGTTTAACTTTATGGGACGCAGCAAACAGTGATTTATATTATGATGCTGGATATCTGGAAAAAATCCATCCAGAAGTATAACATAACAACACATATTTATGTACCTTAAACTATGAATTAATAGCAATATTTTGATGTTTTATGGTTTGACTTCACTCTGTACTTTGTAATGAAGTAATGTGTATATCAAAGGATGTCTAAAATATGAATTTGAACCTACCTTTTTTGAATGAACAAGTTTGCCATTAACAGTCACTTCAAACCACCCAGTAGCCCCTGGCGTACCTTCCCCTGACTGAATAAAGTATATAATATAAGAAAGATATCTGTTGAGGAAAAAAATAAAATTCTATTGGTTAAGTAAATAAGTAAACATACACAAGTAACATCTCTACCAAATTCATCTGCCAGATCTGCAGCCAGCCGACGATACTAACATAAAGATTCAAAAATTACTTTAATATTTGCAACTGTAGATCTTTCAAAAGGCAATCCAGAGAGTTGACAGTAAAACTATCTTCAAAAATAATGTGGATGTAATTGAACAGATATATAGTTCTTAGTTTACCTTTGGTTCATACCCTCAGGCACCACTAAAACGAAAAAATTCACATGAGTTATGTAAATATGACTATTTTATACCGTCAATAATCAAATTCTTAATCAAAATATTATTGTCCAACATAAAACTTTCATTAAGGCCATGGATAGAAAACTTTATAAACAATTCACAATATAAAACCCTTCGCTTATATAAAGGCTGATAAAGTTCTCGCTTTCACACAATTCACAAAAGCTTTCTCACCCAGGAGTTCAGGAGTATTAACTCTTCGTCAAGTGACTTTAAATAACGTTCAAGCTGTTTTATTTTACAGACATAAAATGACTTTCTGAGGAGAAAGTTGGAATAAGTTCAGCTGATAGCTCAGCTCCTCTGGCATTTAATCATTTAAATTGTGAACATTACAGAACACAAATCACTATTAATAAAAGAACTTCATACCAATAAACAACATAGACTTTCACAGGCATGTTCAATGAATGATAGAAAACGACTGCAATACTCCACACAAAACGCTTTGAGTTGCTGCTGAGTTTAAAACTTCGAACTTTTTTCAGAGAGAGTGTCTGCGCAATGCGCAATATGCCAGTGGCCTGTTTATGGATCTTCTCATATCCCAATGTATCACTACATGTACTTACCAGTGGTACTTACCCGTAAATGATCCAATAAACGCATAGGGCGTTTCATAAATTCTGGCGGTTCTTCGGGGGGGGGGGTGTTAAAAAGATAAGAGATTTATAATGAATATAAATTACCTTCCCCATTTCAACAAATGAGAACAAAACTAAGATTTAATAGATAGTTTCTTATCCAAATTAACAATATTATTATAACAGTAATAGTAGAGGCGTCAATTAGAGACAGATGGTTTATAAGAGAGAGGCGTCTAATTAAACTCATGCTCCAAAGCGGGGAGAGGCATTCAATAGATACGAGGCGTTTATGTCATGTGTCTGGATTCATAAATCAAGTATTTGTAATCACAAAACATTGAATAGCCCATATATGTAAATTAAACGATTTATCAATTATTACACAACAAACATTTATATGTAACTATGGAATTACCTGAATGGCTCCTATCATAATCACTCATTGGAACTGCTTAAACCAAGCCTGGATTTTGTTATAAAATGTCTCTGTTCTTTCGTTTATTCTACGCAATTTTCACGAGAGTGTTATTCATCAGTCATGCCCTAATCACGTTCATTGAAGTCAAGGACTTACATGAAATTTCGTTGGGCTATATAACACTGTACTCTACGGGTTTGTTCTTGTTGCTAACAGAAACTATTTACACGTTACTAAAAAGAAAAGGAGTCGAATATAAATAGTAAGATTTATTTTGTTCATTTAACTAATTTTTATTTTCAGTGATAAATTAAAACCGTATTCGTATGACTCGATCATTGCAAAGTTAAGGCTGGTTTACTATGACCACCTTTCAAACACCACACCAGTCATTGTACGTTTGGATTTCTAATACATCTGTTCAACCTAAATCTGTTGGTGTTGACAGACATATTATGAATTATAAATTAATAATCTTGCTGTACATCTTTATCAAAAATATAGTTTCTGGCCAAGTGGTTTGTGTTATCTAGTTACTCTATTACCAATAATCTGGGATGTAGAAATCACAATGCTTTACAATAACGCAGACAAAGAGAAATATGTAAGTCTTTAGAACATTAGATTAAAAAGAATAGCAAACTGGGCAATTTTTTAAGTAAAATAGATGTTCGTTTTTCTTTGAACCGAAGAATGAAAAACACGTTGAAATTTTACTTCATCGACAGTGTGTTGGCATATTTTTTTTGATTGTGGCGGTCGTTTTTGAAGTTAGGGAAATTGTCATTTTTTCTCTCTAAATCTTTAACTTCATTGCAGGAATTTAGTCAAAAATTCTCGGAGTTAGGTTTGATAATCGTTATCATCACAGGGCGTTGGCTTTTACCACGCGGCAAAATAACAAGAGATCAACTATCTGCATTGCTTTTGACGTATGTTGGAACAGCAGCTGATGTCATGGGTATGAAAATCACCATTTAATGTAATCGTGCTTCCTCTTTCTTACAACTCTTCGTTCCCATCCTCCTCCATTGCAGAGTTATTTGAAGTATTTCACAACAAAAGAGAGCTACGACTTAATCACGATCTATATATTGCTGTACTTTGTACATATACCTGGAGCGTGCTTCAATTTGCATTTGTAAGAACAGCGACCGCAGATTCTGTTGCAGACAATGACCCTTTGCAGGAAAGCACGAACGAAGTGAATAATATAAAAGATAGACTGGTGAGTACACAAAGGAATGTTTTGACAGTCGACGCTTTGTTTGGCTAAGCAGGTTGTAACCATGTAATATTTTCAGAAGAATATGCAATAGGTTCAATATTTTAACAGAGATTATTTAGCTACTGTTTGAGCTCTTTTTGTTGTCAAAAAACAGTATTTTCTCATACAAGACTGCAACTTGACAATCACATTTCGACGCCTTTCAGCAAACGAGCCAAAATGCCGCAGTCTCAGATGTAGAAAAAGATCGAAATAAAGTATCGCTAAACCGCTCTATGCCAAAATACCTTCACAAATTGGTCAAAAAATCGCGGGCGCACAATCAGCAGCGACTTCTCGATGCCTTTCGCCTAGATTTTGTTGCAGATGAAGAGATACGTCGAAACAAAATGATTCAGAAATTAAGACATGAGCGACTGTTAGAGCTTCAGAAGGCAAAGAAAAGCCGTTTTCATGGTGACCTTTACAATATTCTTGTCGGTATTTTTATGATGGATGCCCCATTTCTGATATTACGTTTAATCATGATATTTAAATTCCAAGTTACAACAGATCTTCATCTATTGTTTACAGGAAAAAACGCTGTTGGTGTCAGTCTTCTCGTCTATAGATTGTGTATTCTTACTTTTGCTTATAAATAAATCATACACATCTTTACTTGGTCACATCATTGATTCAATTGTTAACTTCACAATAAAGTTGGGAAAAATTTTAGTAAGTTATCAGAAATAAGGAATAACTACGTTTTGCCGTTGATGCTAATTTATACTAAATTGTAATAAAAAAAAACATGCAAAATATGGTGAACATGAAGATAAAATCACGACAATGATATGAACAAGTTAATAGAGAACAAGTACAAAACAGCACATGAAAAATAATATTAGACGTTTGAATGACACACAGTGAAAAGAAAACGTAAAGTACAACTGTGTTATTACCAACGATATGCAAACGACATGAGATAAGGAAAATATTTCTTGTTTCAAATATACAAAGATAAAAATCTACCGTGCAGTTTTTGAACATCACGAAAATTATCACACATCTTTCCGTTGGAACTTTCCAACTGTCGAAATTCGCCAAGCTATAAACAAATGATTTGTAGGGAAAATGGCAGAATATTGCGGGTATCAGACATTGGAGAAATATAAAAAGCAATTATGGAAGGCAAAAACTGAATAATTAGTTGCATAAAAGTTAACATGTCATGTTTTAAGATGTCATACCTGCTGGCTCGTAACAGCAATAGGACTCTTCATCACAAACCATCTCACACTTTCATAACAAGGTGGGGTGGTTATTGAACCTTTGTATGTATAATACGTCAATGTTTTCTCTGTCAATTCAGGCACCAAATATGACAGTCGAATACCGTTCTTTACAGACACTTGCTCACCTTGTAAAAAAATTAGAAACGTTTTCCAATTTTTTATTAGATTAGACCAATGAGTGCTTAGTATAAATTTATTAAAGATATAGTGAGAAACCTGGCACTTTGATTTTCTTTAAATGACTAGTTATGAGCAAGACCTCTGTTAAAGTTCATATCACCCTAAAGAAAAAGAACAAGGCTTTAAAGACGCATTATATTAATTTAAATTCCAAACTAGTCAAAAACTTTACTCCAAGAGGAACAGCAATAATGACAAGGCCATCCATCTTGTTCATCGCACTATCTAAGGTCCTATATTTGTCGTTGTAAAATACCAAATGCATCTAAATCAATAAAAAAGAAGGTAGCGTCATTTTTTGACTCTGATGTCGAACAAATTACTAAATATTGTTTTCTGCAAATATTTGTTTCTATGTTCTCGTTATGTACCAAAAAAAAGACATGAAAGACATCGTCATAGTTAGATATACACGATGTATTTGTTATGAATGATGTCTGATGTTATCAATATAAACACATACTTCACCAGAGGTGGGTACGCCGTCAAACAGGTGTTCTGATCCTGCATGTTCTGTACAGCCAAATCGGAAATAGATTTTCCTCAGGACATAGATGTCTTTGCGATGATTGGGCACATTCATGACTTGGGCCGAAGCAAGTGATGTGTTAACGGTAAATACTGGTGAGTGACCATTATTTTTTAAGTCACCAAAAACTTGACCATTTTCTAACGTAAATTTAATAGAGATCTTTGAGTGACCACGTTTCTTGCGGGTACGATCATGTTTGATGTTAATGGGAGACTGGCGATAGCCCTTACACATCTTTGAGATATTCTTCCATTCCTCTACGCCATAAACTAGAAAGGAAAAAAACAAAATATTACCTTTTCATTCTTACCATTGAAATGAATGTTATCTTAAACATCATGGTGGATATTTGTTTTAAGTTTACCTTGATCGTTTGACGCGCCATATCCCCAAGGAGGAACGTCATCCACATTTTCAAGATCATCTTTACCTTTAGATATAAAAGTAAATGAAACAATACTTGCATAATCTTCAACTATAAACTTTATTCTAGTGATTTGTTCAGTCCATCTTTACTTCACAGATAATGTATTTTGTAGAGATATGTTGTTGAACTGTAAGCTATTGAACTTAGGATCTTTGAAGTTTCAACGTTTTTCGCAATTATCTACACACCTTTTATTTTAGCTAAGACGGAAAAAAAAATGAATAGTGCGATATAGAGACACTGCATTCTGATGAAAGAAAAGATAAAGAAAAATATTTCCTAGAATAAAAAAGTTATAGTTAATAATAACAAAGATAATATAAAAAAGGAACACAATTTTATGCCCCAACTAACATCTTTCCACCAGTTTTTTAACAGAGAATACAAGTCAAAAAATACTAAAGAGCAGGCATATAATCATGCATTTCTGATGAACAACCTTGAAAATTAACAACAAACCTTTTCACAAGTGACAAGATAAAAAATGTTCGACTTTTACAGGATGTTTATATCCGATAAATATATAGTAAAATGTTTAAAATAAAAGGAGACATTCTCTTAACGGACGGCTTCACTTCAGTGATTATGGAAAGAGGAAAGCAGGTATTTGTCTGTATGGACATGGCAGGGATGGATTGCTATCGCAAATTGGGGGGCTCTTATTAATATATTCATGACATGCTGTATTAATATCTTTTGAAATGTCTTGTTATCTACGGATTTATAACATGCATATATGAATAAGAGCCCCCAATTAGCGATAGCAATACATCCCTGGGACATGGACTACGAATCATCTTTTCAGAAAATTCAAAGTACATCTCACCTTCATAGGTTCCTGCCAAAACCTATCTCATAACTCTTAATTTTTTACCACGAGAAAAGCTGCCAAAACACATCTCAATATCCAAGGAGAAGCGTTAATTATGCATTAAAATGTCATTTTGAAATGAAAACAAATTTTACGAGTGCAGAAACATTGGAGATATTTTGACTTTCAATGAATGCCATGTTGGTGGTGATACAAAAGAATATTTTATCAGTGTTATTGTTGGCACTAGCCTACGTGGGCGAGCAACATTGTTTGGTAAATCTCAAGAGAACGGTTGCAGGTCGAGAATTCTAAACAAGAACTTTTCATTCGTCATTAAGTAACTTTCAGTGCTAACAATGGTAACTTCACAATTTTACAGAAAGCATTTAAAGCATTAAAACATTTCTCTAAAAGGAATAATATTTGTAAGAAATGTCATAACTGTACGAATAAAAATCCACAAACAATCATTACCAGTCTGAAAAAGATATAAATGATTTCAGAGAACCGACACAGTTATTTATTCACGTGATTAAGTCATCTTGGTAAGGTATAGACTTTTTCATTTATCTATCATCCAATTGAATGTCAAATTTCTTAAAAAAAAACACGACAACGACCAGTCAATATTGTCAAACTTTAACGTCGTCTGCAATGACAAATTTTATATCTTGGATGACGTGCAAAAGAAACAAAAATTTCTTTTTAGTCAATAAACAGTCAATGATATATTTTCGAAACTGTGGGCAGTGTGGAGAAGGAACATATTCTGAAGGATATCATTAAATGTTTCATTTACGAGTCAGCCTCCAACTTGGTAAATGCTTCTTTGGGTATCTTTGCTTGTGAATGAAGTTTTGTAAAAACTTCTGCTGTTTTGTTAAAGTCCCAGCCATTGTCCGAGAGTGCCCTGGTAAGGAAAAAAACCGACATGAACATAATTAAATTTCTAAAAAAGCTCTTCAAATATAGAGCAAATTAAAGATTTACAAATACTTTTCCACCAAAAACCTGACGTGTTTTTAATAACAACAATTAAAATATAACATATAAATGAACTTGTAAAAACTTACTTATACGACCACTGAAGATTCATGTTTGATTGACTTGAAAATTGTTTCAACATTTCTTGTTGCTAAAAATATATATATTGTAAACTTTGATTAGAAAATGTGAAAAAAGGAAAATAAGTTAGTAGTTTAGTTATAAGCTTTCCTAACACACATTTCTTTAAAATTTTGGACTGTTAGAAAGTGTTTATTTTTCAGAAATATAAGTTTAACCTCTAAAAATCCAAAAGTTACTAAAGTAGTTATGTATATTCATTTATATTCTTGGTTAATTTGGGTGAGCGATTTGGTCATAGAATGGAACAAATGCAACACAACAATACTATACCATTCAATGACTATATGTACCTGAGAACTAAGTCCAGAAATTGAACTCGCCATATTTAATGCGCTAACTGCCAACTGTGAGTTTGTTCCTACTTGTGAACTGGTTATAGTTTGCGGGCCTAGAGAGGCCAGAGGATTCGGCGACGATACAGGAGTGGCGGAGACTGGGAATAAATTTATTGGAGCAGCTACGACACCAAAGCCTGGGGAATTATTAGCATTCTAAAGAGAGCAATTTTAATATTTATGAAGAAAATATTATAATCTATTCTATCCAATCGTGTGACGACGTCATTTTTTAAAAAAATTTAGAGATTTGTACCTTGCGCTGTTCTTGCGTCGGACTTTTTAATGTCAGTTGGTCGTTTATTATTAAAATTCTACAGAATAAAAGTATCTTAGTGTGTTTCTGGCTTTTACATACCATAACACTTGTTTTTATGACATATGACATTTACATACGAGTTGTTTGGTGCAGGAACAGCAATCATAGCGCGAGTGAACGCTCGCAAATCTTCAGATTTTCCTACAAAGACATGAATAGAAAAATGCACATTTATTATGGCCAATAATAGTAATGCAATTTTATCAATGTGTTCAAATTATAGATCTAATAACTATGAGAAGCAAGTGGTTGAATAACGTATTCTTATATACTCCCGTCTAGTGTCTTCATCAGGAGTGATCTGATGTTAAATCTTGATTCCTTATTTGCTCCAATTTACGTAGTATCTTACACAAAGTGATCTCATGTTGAATTCTCACCTTCCTTAAACAGTCCACAGATTGTGAAACCAATGCACGTTTCCTAAAACAGCGCCATCATCATCAACATTTAACATTTAAGGCAAGATCACTGCATTATTACAATATCAACCTTCAATAAACTGACGTCGACTATAAAACTTTCGACGTGGTGTTTTGTCGATGGCAACTCATTAAGAAATGCAACTACAGCAAGTTGCGATGATTTTATAAGGTCGCATCTTCGATCTGAAAAAAAAACATTCAACTTTCCAGACAACAATGAACAATTGTTCTATAGTGAATAATCAATAGAAAAATGCACATTTATTATGGCCAATAATAGTAATGCAATTTTATCAATATATTCAAATTATAGATCTAATAACTATGAGAAGCAAGTGTTTGAATAAGGCATTCTTTTATAGTCTAGTTTAGTGTCTTCATCAATTGTTCTGTAGTGAATAATCAATGCTCTAAAATTTATAATCAACGTTCTACAGTAAATAATCAATATTCCATTGTGAATAATCAATCTTCTACGTTAAATAATCAATGTTCCACAGTCAATAATCAATGTTATATTGTGAATAATCAATGTTCCATAGTGAATAATCAATATTCTATAGTGAATAATCAATATTCTATAGTGAATAATCAATACTCTATAGAGAATAATTATTATTTTATAGTGAGTAATCAATATTCTATAGCGAATAATCAATATTCTATAGTGAATATTCAATATTCTATAGTGAATAATCAATACTCTATAGAGAATAATCAATATTCTATAGTGAATAATCAATATTCTATAGTGAATAATCAATATTCTATAGTGAATAATCAATATTCTATAGTGAATAATCAATATTCTATAGAGAATAATCAATATTCTATAGTGAATAATCAATATTCTATAGAGAATAATCAATATTCTATAGTGAATAATCAATATTCTATAGAGAATAATCAATATTCTATAGTGAATAATCAATATTCTATAGTGAATAATCAATATTCTATAGTGAATAATCAATATTTTATAGTGAATAATCAATATTTTATAGTGAATAATCAATATTCTATAGTGAATAATCAATACTTTATAGTGAATAATCAATGGTGTGATGGTTTCTAAAGGTTAAGCAAACAACTTTGGCTTGAAAAAATTTGTGGATACTAGGACATTATTGTGCTATTTCTCGCGAAAGTTTTTCTTACCAATGTCGTAAAGATATTTCATATTCCTACTGTACTTGCGGTAAACGCTCAGAGAGTTGAAACTAAAAAAATCAAAAAATGATAACTAATGATAGGGAAGGACCCCATGATAATGTTGTATGACCCCATGACAATGTTGTGTGAACCAATGACAATGTTGTGTGAACCAATGACAATGTTGTGTGAACCAATGACAATGTTGTGTGAACCAATGACAATGTTGTGTGAACCAATGACAATGTTGTGTGAACCAATGACAATGTTGTATGACTCCATAACAATGTTATGTAACTCCATGACAATGTTGTGTGACATTAATAACAATACAGAAGGACCCCCAATGAGTACTACACGAGAATGATGGATGATGCATGAGTACTACACGAGAATGATGGATGATGCATGAGTACTACACGAGAATGATGAATGATGCATGAGTACTACACGAGAATGATGAATGATGCATGAGTACTACACGAGAATGATGAATGATGCATGAGTACTACACGAGAATGATGGATGATGCATGAGTACTACACGAGAATGATGGATGATGCATGAGTACTACACGAGAATGATGAATGATGCATGAGTACTACACGAGAATGATGAATGATGCATGAGTACTACACGAGAATGATGAATGAGTACTACACGAGAATGATGAATGATGCATGAGTACTACACGAGAATGATGGATGATGCATGAGTACTACACGAGAATGATGAATGATGCATGAGTACTACACGAGAATGATGGATGATGCATGACTACTACACGAGAATGATGGATGATGCATGAGTACTACACGAGAATGATGGATGATGCATGAGTACTACACGAGAATGATGGATGATGCATGAGTACTACACGAGAATGATGGATGATGCATGAGTACTACACGAGAATGATGGATGATGCATGAGTACTACACGAGAATGATGAATGATGCATGAGTACTACACGAGAATGATGAATGATGCATGAGTACTACACGAGAATGATGGATGATGCATGAGTACTACACGAGAATGATGAATGATGCATGAGTACTACACGAGAATGATGGATGATGCATGAGTACTACACGAGAATGATGGATGATGCATGAGTACTACACGAGAATGATGAATGATGCATGAGTATTACACGAGAATGATGAATGATGCATGAGTACTACACGAGAATGATGGATGATGCATGAGTACTACACGAGAATGATGGATGATGCATGAGTACTACACGAGAATGATGGATGATGCATGAGTACTACAAGAAAACGATGGATGATGCATGAGTACTACACGAGAATGATGAATGATGCGAGGAAAAATGAACAATATGAAAAACTCACGAGCTTCCACGGTCTTTGCTGAAATCGACGACACACATAGAAAAGACAGCCTAGAGAATGATATGAGAATAGTTTATATTCAACATCACACGACATAACACAAAGACTGACTTACTCACCTCATTATCATAAACATTAAGTAAGTTTTTTCTGTCTTCCGAGTCATAAATGGCAAAATACCTAAGGAGCAAGTGTCAAAGAAGAACGAACAAGACTTGCGGAATTTGAGTATTCCTGACACTCCATACATTTTAAAATTAAATAATAAGTGAACAAAAAATTGATTTGGTAAAATTTATATAAGTACAAATTTTAAACCAGATGTTGCATAACTCTTTCAATTTTCGAAGACAAGAAATTAGTTAGAATATCAATTTTTTCGAAGTAAAAACGTGCATTAGTGTCAATGATCACTATAGTAAAGATTTCTTGCAGATTGCATAGGAAAATTATTAATATGAAAATAAAAGATACTATTCTTTCATAACAATTTCACTGATTCAAACAAAAATATGAAAACAAACAAAAAGGACACACAATGTAAACAAAAATAAATATGACAGATAACTGCTAAAATTGCAACTATTAAAAAATTTGTCACGGAGCAAAAAGCAACAATAGTCTTGTCATAATTTTTGATGAAAGAGAGTGATAAAGCAACATTGTTATTTACTCTTCTTTCGCGAGTTGAAACAGGCATCCTGGGATTTCTGGCGTAAACATGCCTCCCTTTTCTGGATATGCCTGACTCGAATGAAATAAATAAATGCTCGTTTTAGTTTGTTATTCTAAACACGTTTCCAACTTAAAGTGGAAACCATTCGGTCCTGTCACGTGACTAAAGAACCAATGTTCTCACGTGATTAATAATTAAGTTGTAAATACAAGGACCACAGATAAAATGAGTAAAGGTGACATCGCAGGTATTTTGATAAAATCACAATGTAGACGTTTAACAGATACAAAAAAATCAACAACAAAAATGACAACATAGAAATGAACAAATAAACAATGAATGTGCAAAACAAAAGACCACAAAAATAATACATTTTCGTTTTTTACTATATATTCATTTTTAGAACATGAAATGCACGTTTTTTAAAGCTTCGATAAATAACATCATTGGAAATAGTAAAAATTTTAATTCGCATAATTTATGTTGCAAGCCAACCAATGTTTAAAAATAGACTAGTATAAAAATTGCCAAATCAATGATCGGAAATAAGGCAAATTTTGAAGAAGAAATTTTTCGGAACTCCGCAAGAGAATGTAAACCCATCAGAGAAATGACAAACTTCGTGGAAATCATAACCATTTTGTCACTTTGATGTTGAATTGTTTGTAATTGATAAGAAGTTACCACGAAATAACTTTTTCCATTCTTTTCATAGGTGAAAAAATTTCACATTGAGAAAAGATAAATCATAAAAATATGACGAATGATGAGAATTTCTGATACAGATGTAAATTGAAACATTTGGTGACAGAATGATGAGTGATGATGGAGTATTTCGTTAAAACTTACTGTTTGATGAAAGGTAATACCAATTTTTTCACATTTTCGTCACGAACAAAACTTCCCTAAAAAGACCAACAATCATCTATTAACAAACAATACTTTACAATATAGGACAATATTTGATGGTTATTATGATAACGGTGAATACAATGACTACGTATAGTGAGCAAACCACTTTTTTTATTTACTTTGATTTCAGGTAAGTTTGATGCTGACGGCACATCAAATCCAATACGAGGAGGTAACTCACACTCGTCCTATGAAAAAAATAACGTAATAAAACTTGAGTCCGGATTATATACACTCTTTTCTCGTCTAGTGTCTTCATTAGGAGTGATCTAATGTTGAATCTTGAGTTCTTATATACTCCAATGTAGTGTCTTCATTAGGAGTGATCTAAAGTTGAATCTTGAGTTCTTATATACTCCAATGTAGTGTCTTCATTAGGAGTGATCTAATGTTGAATCTTGAGTTCTTATATACTCCAATGTAGTGTCTTCATTAGGAGTGATCTAAAGTTGAATCTTGAGTTCTTATATACTCCAATGTAGTGTCTTCATCAGGAGTGATCTGATGTCTTAACCTATACTAAATTGAATGACTGTTGCTTTCCACTTACCAACATTGTTAACTTTGGAAATATACTTGTGACATCACTAAAAACATTCACAAATCACACAAACAAAGATGCTCAGAATCACAGTAATACCTAGTGGACGACAAGGCACACCTCCCCTCTCCCCTAAAATCACAATAAAATACATATGCACACCTTATATATCTGGCTTGACTTCTTGCGTAACCATCACAAAGTGGATTACCATTTAACACCAAACTTTTTAGTTCTTTTAAAGATTTTAACTTTCGCAGTTCGTTGAGATGCCGTATCTAAAAGTTGGGAAAATTTCAAAAATTAATTTCATTTTGAATAGTTGCCACTATTTATCCTTCAATAAACTCACTAATCAAATACAGTAAATCATTACGATGAAGTTTTGAAGAGTTAAATCACACGTAAATAACACCCACAAAATCATACATTGTTTTCTCCGAGATCTAAAGTAACAATTCCTGGAGCCGCTTCATGTAAATCTTTCAAGGAATCCAAACTAAACAGTCTGTTACCTCGAAGATTAATTTTTTTGAGCTAAAAGAAAAAAAAAAGAAAAAGATCACAAGAGTTTTTACAGCAATACCGCTAATACCAGAATTGTCAAATTAGAAGTAAAAAGCGTTTTCGGACAGTTTTGACCTTCAGTACAATGAAACACAACATCATGCAGAGTTCTTTACAACAACTTTAAAATGACTATAAACAATTTTCCAAGTTAATACCTTACGCAGTTTCATCACCAAAACCAAACTCACCTGTTGACAATGTTCCTTGATCAAAGTCACGATCGTTCCAAGTAATCCAAATTTATTTAAAATTCCTTGCATGTCATTCTCTTTAAGAACTACGTAAAAATTACACAAAAATACAAACGTTTAAGAAGGTAACTACAACAGCAGCAATTTTTTATCAAATTCAGAACAATAAACGAACCTCTATCGTTGTAAAAATTACTTAAATCCAAAGTATCTGTACTTGAATCATATCGAGTATCGAGAGAACGCTAAAGTTATGACAAAGTTAAATCTTTTAATTAAAAAGAAATTTTTGTCGTTTGATTACCGAACAAAAAACATAGCAATTTTCTAAAATTTTATGCTCATATATGAAGCAGTTTCACCCTTTTACGCCCGTCCAAACAGAAAACAACATTTTCTGGTAACAGCGCGATGTTTTAATGACAAAACATGAATTGTAATATTGACAATTGAGTTAACCTTCAAGACTTCAGGGTCTATTGACTCTTCACCGTCTGGTTCATCAAGACCAGTTATGTTGGGAGGCTTGCACGGTCTAACGTGTAGAAGCAATTTAGAACCGTCACGAACCATGATGGTACCGCTGATAGAACGTAACGCAGTTGCAGAACGTTGGTCATTAACAAAAAAAATGGCGTTGTCATCGTAGTAATGGAACTAAGGATTGAACACAAACGATAAATATTAGTTTATTATAAACATAAAGCCAATCTTGAATTCCATATTTTGGGAAAATAATTAACATCAAACTCTGTTTTAAATAACATTTCGTGAAATATTTTATCAAATAAAAATACTATAACGTGCATGTGAATAAATATTTTAACGTGCATGGTGAATAAATACTGTAACATGTATGGTGAATAAATATTGTAACATGCATGGTGAATAAATATTGTAACATGTATGGTGAATAAATATTGTAACATGTATGGTGAATAAATATTGTAACATGTATGGTGGTATGGTGAATAAATATTGTAACATGTATGGTGAATAAAATTGTAACATGTATGGTGTAACATGTATGGTGAATATATACTGTAACATGTATGGTGAATAAATACATGTATGGTGAATATAAATGTATGGTGAATATATACTGTAACATGTATGGTGAATAAATATTGTAACATGTATGGTGAATATAAATTGTAACATGTATGGTGAATATAAATTGTAACATGTATGGTGAATAAATATTGTAACATGTATGGTGAATATAAATTGTAACATGCATGGTGAATAAATATTGTAACATGTATGGTGAATAAATATTGTAACATGTATGGTGAATATATACTGTAAAATGTATGGTGAATAAATACTGTAAAATGTATGGTGAATAAATACTGTAAAATGTATGGTGAATAAATACTGTAAAATGTATGGTGAATAAATACTGTAACATGTATGGTGTAAAATGTATGGTGAATAAATACTGTAAAATGTATGGTGAATAAATACTGTAAAATGTATGGTGAATAAATACTGTAAAATGTATGGTGAATAAATACTGTAACATGTATGGTGAATATAAATTGTAACATGTATGGTGAATAAATACATCAAATTCATTAAGATGAAAGTTGTACAACCACCAGTAGTGCTGCCATAATTACAATTAGAAGTACATGCTATAATCTGCAGAAAACAATAAATTTCAAGGGAGCATAATCCGACATATGTTGCAGATATGAATATTTCACCCCCCCCCAGTTGTCATTTGAGCAGCACTAATATAGGAACTAGTGACCAAGTACAACAACATTTCATTAAATACCTTAATAGGTTGAATTGTGACATCACAAGATTTTTGCAATTTGTTCAACAACCATTCTTTGTTATGATTACGACCATATGGAATCTGTTTGGAAAACAAAATTTTTTGAACAATTACGTGTTGTCAAAGCAATGCACTCCCTACACCATTTCACCAATATTTAACACTAAATCAACAGACTAGAGTTTTTTCAGTTAAAGTTACGTACCATTACTCTATTCCATGTTTGATCACATTGATTCCCACTGAATCTTGCATTGTAAAATTTACCTCCAGAATGTTGTCTTACAGGCCTAGAGTAAGGTGTACTATGGAAAAACAAATATAATAATAAGAAATATTTCTCTTTGACAGAAAAAATTCTGACAAACTTAAAAATATATTCAGAGGACTTTACCATCTATTTTGAAAGTCTAACTTAATCGATGTAACTTACTATCTTGACTGTGTCATGCCTCCACCAGACTCCATGTCTACATCACCATCACCATCAAAACTGTTATCTTCTGATGGTGATTCGCTACTTGAATACTGATTGTTGCCACGACCTCGTCCACGTACATGTCCTCTTGATCTACCTCTATTTCTACCTGTGTACCTTCCTCGTCTAGATCCACGCCAATGATCTCTACCACGTCTCAATGATCCACGAGTTTGTTTACCTTCTGATGGTGAAGGTGAATAAGGATCACTCATTCTGTCATCATGCTCATCTACAAACATAAATATATGCCTATGTTGTTGAAAAATTTTGACAAAATGTAAGTGATTTATCCTATAAGTATAGGTATTATACTATCAAGGAATGCACAACAGCACTGCACATTTATACATAAATAAATATCATCTTTTACAAAAATATGTGCAACTATTCCATATTCAGCTAAGCTGCACAGTGGACACATTGTAAAGATAACTTTGATGATAAGAAGATTTATAATCGAATTTCATGCAACATGTTTTAAGTCAAATCTTCCATGGTTATCCTATGTTTATGCATTTTAACTTGTGTACAAAAAGAAAGTGAAGAGCATGTGTAACGAGCTAAGGAAGATTATAGACAGAATTTTATATATGCATGGTAAACAATAACAATTCATACAGGAATGTCGTTTATTGTAACAGCGCACACAACGATTTATATTCGTCATACACTTAACATCATAAAATTTAAATGTAGACTATGTAATACCTCGAAAAGAGCGTCCGCCGTTTCTTGAAGTAGTTATGGACAAGCCAAAACCCTTAAGAGCTTTGTTAAATAATCCGGACGACATTTTCAGATAATGCAATACACTGTTTACAATACAAAATTAACATGAATTTCTGTGAAACATGGACGCCGCGACTTCGTTATTGCAAATTCGCTAAATAGCTGATTATCCCCCAGGCTCCTCGGCTAGCGGCACCCAGCTGGCTTTCAGGGGGGTGAGAGGCTTAAGCATAAGTTGAAGAACTAACAGAGCCTCGCTACAATACAATACTCAAAAAAAGTTAGCGTTTAAAATAATAAAGATTGAATTGACAACAGGCTTAATGAAATGAGCCACGTGCTCATTTATAGATGGAAATATCAACGAAGAGCGAAGATAACGAGACTAGATTAAACGGAGAAGTCGAAGATTTGGAGAGGAATTTTGAGTATTTGGTCGCCATAAGCGACTACGACGCCACGGACGAGAATCAGTTGAGTTTCAAACGTGGTGAACAAATTCGTGTTGTGGAAAGAGTAAACGAATACTGGCTATGGGCACTTATTGACGGTGCATCAGGTTACATACCTTCAAATCACGTTGAAGATCCCGAAAAATTAGAGGAAAAAGAAAAATGGCAAGATGAGGAATATTTTCAAAGCTACTGTCACATGCGTTTGCATTTAGAAATGCTTGGGGACGTCGCTAGAACAATTGCATATCGAAATGCTATTGTAGAAAATGTGTCCTTGGTAAATGGTAAAACTGTTTTAGATGTTGGATGTGGAAGTGGAATATTAAGTATGTTTTGTGCTCGCGATGGTCATGCAAAACGCGTTTATGCAGTAGAAGCTAGCATCTTGGCCGAGCATTTGTATGATGTCTTGAAAGAAAATAACTTGAATGATACAATTTTGGTTGTAAAAGGAAGAATGGAAGAAATTTCACTGCCAGAAAAGGTTGACCTTATAATTTCAGAATGGATGGGAACTTTCCTTCTTTTTGAGTACATGATAGACTCTATTATTTATGCTCGTGACAGATATCTTAAACATGATGGTATAATTTGGCCAACCTGTGCTCAATTGTTCATAGTACCATGCATGCTATCAAAGGTTTATGAAGAGAAGATTGGTGTTTGGAAGCAACAGTATGGTTTCAGTTTTTCTTCTCTTCAGTCTAAGGCCATTCAGGATTTTTTTAGTCGTCCCATTATAGATTATGATTTGGAAGCAGAAAACTGCTTATGTAATGCTCAGTCAATAGTCTATTTCAATATGAAGACATTGCAAGTGGCAGAACTTGAAACTTGGTCCTCTAAGTTTACATTTAACATCAAGAAAACTGGGATTCTTCATGGTTTTGGATCGTGGTTTGACATCCAATTTCATTCAACTGACTTGCAAACAGAAGAAGTTGAAAATGCTTTAAACATGGTGACCCTATCTACAGGTCCTAATGCTCCAAAAACCCACTGGAAAAATGCTATTTTTATGTTCAATGAACCTGTCACAGTTGAAAAAGGTTATACTGTTAAAGGTATGGTCAAAGTTAAAAGAAATGAAGATTTTCGACGTCATATGACAATTTCCTTTGATGTGGGCATTTCAAATAGCTTTGGAGAGTCTGTCAAAAACATTGCTAAAGAATTCAAACTTTGGAGATAAGATTTATTTATAAAGAATTTAGCTAAACAATATGATATTAAATAAGTGATCAAAAACATTGTGTGTTTATCATAATTATATGTATTTTCATGAGTGAAATATATCAATTACTCTACAAAAAATCTCTTACATTAGTATAAAGGCATTGATGTCATTTCTAAAGAGATTCTTCGACCATACTGTAATAGAACCTTTGTCATCATTACAGTGCTGACTATTTTGAGTGCAATTTACTGGCTAATTAAAATTCACAACGCAATACATTTCCAAAAACTTCAAAATGAATGTAGTTATTAATGTTGATAAATAAACAATAATACACAGCAGCACAAATGAATTAATTAATGTAGTAGATAAGTAAGTGTAAGAATCATTTATATTTCTCTAAGGCAGCAACATTTTTGGCAAATGATGTGATTTGTCTGTTTAATTCACTCTTCAATTGACCTTCTGATGCTCGAGGATTCTTCTTTACATACTCTGCAATACTTGAAATTGTTTGTTGCTAAAAAAACATGTTGTAGACTGTGGTTGATGAACTGATTGTTATCAGAGCCTTAGCGTCCACCATTTTTGTTCCAAAAGCCAGTAAATATCAAGCATTAAATGGTGGAAAGACAAATTTTCTAAGACATAAGCAAACAGCGATCCCTGCATTTAGAATTCAGTTGTTTATAGATGTCATAATAATTGAAAAGCATTTATTTAATGCATTAGATGTAATTTATATGCTGTTAATACTGTTTTTGCCATAAGGGAGTGCATATGTTTCTATTCTTCATCGCTTTGATAGGTACTATTATAACACAACCAAAAATCATAGCAAACATTTTTTTGATAATTTATTTCCTATGTAAAAAATGGTTATAATTTGTGCTTTTGGAACAAAAATGGTGGCTAGATGCCCATGTGACCCATTCTACCCAATCACCTTCATCATAATGCAAAATGCAAGGAACAATATGTGTCCTAACTCTTAAAAAACAAGGCTCTGATTGCTATAGATGCAAGTTCATAACCCCCCACACAAATATTATTCACCCCCTCCTCTAGAAAATCATAAAAATAAATAATAGTTGATTCTGACGATTTGTTTATAACTTGGCAATAAGTCAAACATAAAAGGTTGAATGTCAAACATAAAAGGTTGAATGAAAAGGGTTAATTTTAAAAAACAGAAAGAGGTGGGAACATTTCATTGAAATAAACAAAATGTAGTAACACGTCACCACATATTCCATTTTTGAAAGTGCGTCTGAGAATAAGACCACATCATAAATACGTTGCTTTCAAAACCTCGTTTTCGACTTCAAACGCACATAATTCAATCAATAAACACACCCTAAGAATTTCAGCTTCATTCGGAACAGACTTTTCTTTTAATCTTTGATATAATTCGTATCCCGTACGCCCGACAAGATAGCTGTTGTAAAGATTTTTTCCTTCTTCCCCTCCGTTTAAAAAGGCCAACGTAGCTAACTACATAAGTAAAACAAAAATAAGATAAACAAAAAAAAATCCGTTCCTTCTCAAGTACAAATTGAGAGTAAATTTTGTTTTACCTGAGTCAAAAAGTCCGACGTTGTTAATCGCCACTGATCCGCCATTTTACATATAATTGTAGGAAATATTTTAATTTTATTCAAATTCATGCATATTTGAAATTTTGTGTTTTAAATTTGACCGCGCGAACACATAAGTAGGCTTGGGCGAAAGTCAAATTAAAAAAAAGCCTGACCGGGGAAGGTTGCACGAAGCTTGGATAGGGCAACTCAAAATTTTCAAACTTGTATAAAAGATGTTTGTATTTTCGCTACGACAAAGAAATGTTCTAATCTTTTATTTCAGTGAAAAATTTTGCTAATGGATAACGCTGTCCTGGCCTCGTCACCTAATGTAACCGGCTCCAGAGATGTTATTAAGTTGAATGTAGATCGTCCAGGGGACGGGGCGGGTGGCTGAATGGTTAATTGCGTGAGCTGTAAGCCAGACGGCGCGGGTTCAATCCCGGCTCGTGGCACGTTTGGCAATGTGTCTGTAAACCTAGCCCTGGTTGACCAAAGCCATGTGAGGGAAATTTTGTAGAGGAAACTATGTCCTCGGATGGACTGTATCTGCATCTGCAATGTTGCAGCCTTGTCACACTGTGTCACGCTGATATCAGCGTTGTGGTTGCGTGAAGGGTACGAGTGATTGTAGTCTGGTCAGCTGCCTTCACTATAAGTGACCAGGATGTTCCACTTTGTAGAACCCTCATACGTCGAAATCGACGGAGTCCATTATAGATCGTCCAGGTTAGTAGTGCTGACCACGATCCTGCTGACTGAGAAGGACTGTTGGTGTTGATGTCAACTAAAGTTTTGACAACCTTAAACGGTAGTCATCTTCAGTGTGGACTCTACTAACCCGACGATCTACATCTACAAACATCCAACGATACTCTTGGGTTAAAACCATTCACTTAATAATTACTAGATAGAAAATTTGAAGAATATAACTGTTTACTACTGTTTGAATTTGAAAGAGTTCAACTCAGGCCTAACTTTCTAACACTACTTTCTAGTAATGATTATCTGCTCAACTCGAATTCAACTTATTAGATTGGAAAACTTTTGTTCGAATTCGGAGCTTTTTCCTTTGACAAGCACGTCTTCATAGTACTTTAGAGCCACAAAACCTTCATTTAATCCCATTAATAAAAAGTGGCTGTCAGTATATCCTACAAATCTTCGATAAACCTGACAATATACACTATACAGTCACTCACGAAATGCCCTCCACGATTTAGCGTTAGTCACTCAAAAAAAAAGAATCCAAAGAATTTCTAAAGAAGAGCTAGAAGCTGTTGAAGTACCTAGAACAACAATGAAAAAGATACTTTACCACAGCTCATAATAAATACTCGGTAGTCTCTAGTTTAATTTGATAAAAATATAACAATTTTACTTTTGATTTTTCTCCTATCTTTCCACTGCGAGATGCCAAAGCTTCTATGCGGTGATTCATTGCAATAAGTAATATATATACACCTCGTACACTTCTGGAAAGATTTACAGTTTTAATAGGGTGAGTGGTTTTTCACGTAGAAATTTCGTAGTGTCAAACATTATAATCAAACACTTTCATAAATTAACTGAAAATATCTTACATTGCTGCACATTGTTGTTTTACCTGCTACATTGAAGATCAGAATTCAATTCTTCTTCTTCTTTCTTCCCCATCATCTGAAGCTGTTTCCACCATCTTTTCATTATTTCACGTATCATATCGATAGATGCAATGATATAACTAGTTGATAAATCACAACGAGAGTTGTTGGTTGGGTGGAAAACCATAAAAATTTGAGATTTTAAATAAATTGCAATTGTTTGGAAAAAATGCGTAACATATATCTTGGAGAAGTGCTTGCTCAAAAGCAGTTTCACCAAACATAAATCTGTCATTGTCTTCATTTTATAATACTCTGTTAATGAACTGACCAAATTTCGTTCAGTTTTCAAGTTGGTTAAGGGAATAACTCAACATCCTATGTATATAATTTACAACATACATACTCTTCATATTTAGAATTTAGTAACTTTTCTAAAACTGGCAACAAATCAAGACAGGCTCCCATGGACAAAGTTGATAAATCTGGGCCATCTGCTTTCACTCTAGAATGACAAAAGTGCATTAATAGGATTAAAATGTAATCTATAGATATTAAAATAATGGAATGAAATGCTCACATGACCATTGGAGGAACTCCAATAGAAAGTGTTTGTTAATTATTATTTATAAAAAATATTTCTTTGGTTGCTCTCTTTATGGAAGACAACATTTTTATGAAATATGGTCAAATGTTAGCTTGGGCTACCTTTTTGATAAAATAGGAAGAATGTCCGTCATAACTGCATCATCATCTAACCTACACAATGATATTAAACAAAACAAGCAAAAAGTAAAACAGCAGCCACAAACATGGAAATGAAATTTTAAATGACAGAGCAACTTACACATTGTAACAAAGCAGTCAAATGATGAAATGTTAGTCTTCAATTCTAACCTTAAAATGTACTCCATAAAACTGTTCATATCCTTCAAAAATTGATAAATATCAATGAAACTACAATCAACAAAACGTATCCTGCATAAAAAAGGAATTTATGAAATTCATTTGCATGGTCTTCCTTTGAACAGTTTTTGGCAGAAAGGGAAACAATGATGTATAGTGATATATGCTAATGTATGATGATATATGAAAATGTATAACAATGTATGATGATAAATGGTGAACATATGGTGATGTATGGTGAATGTATGGTGATGTAAGGTAATGCATTAATATATTTGGTAAGAATATGTTGAGAAGAAATTTGATCATTTAACCAACTGTTGTACAAAACAAATAAAAATCTCCATTACCTTATACCACAATGTTTGAGCTGCAGTTAGCCGTAACAATCTATTGCTCAATACAGACATCATCATTTGGTGACCTTTTGAAATCTGCTTCACGCAGTGCATGTAAATAAAAGAAGTGCATATAATTATAAACATATTATTAAAAGTGCATATTATTAAAAGTGTAGCAATTTGTAAACAAATTGCTAAATGCATGGTCAGAAATATCTATGAAAACTTTATATACAAGTTAGTAAAAAGAATTAGTAATGTATCTGTATAGCTATGTGTTTCCTGTTTACATATATCATACTTATTTAATGTAACTTCTGACCTCATAAAGGAAGTTCTCTGATCTATTTTGCATCTTCTTTATTGCTAGATCAAAAAAGTGGCCAAAGTTTGCAAGAAATTTTAATACGACAAGTAACTTCAAATCACCACAAATCCTAACTCACCAAAAATACTAGTAGTGCACAATAATAAATTCACACAAGAAGAAATTTTACCTGCATCAACAATGTCCATTCCTTTTGTTTCTTTTTTCAAGTTGTCTTCATTTAAACATTTTTTACCATCAATGTCTCCTCTCAGTTCTCTGTCAAACTTTATAGTCTTCTCAAAATTACAAACATTTTCATCTGACTTCCAATCCATCTTTAATCATGAGATATGAAAAGATCACTTTAGAAATGATTGCACGAGAGTACTTTCAAGTAATAAGTTTGATTTCTACATTTGATTTTAATGTTGAAAAAAATAGTGCAACCATTGACAACTTGAAATCAAACAAATACTAAAAAAAAAGTTCGTACATTGACTTTACCCTTCTAATAAAACTATATAGTCTTGAAAAAGAAGTCAAAGATGTACTTAGAAAAACAACCAAAATGTGAATTCGTAAATTCAAACGTAAATTATTTCAATGTAGAACACAGTTTTCCTTGAGAGCTCGTTCCTTCACTAAAAATTAATGAAGGAGTTAAAATGCATTTGCAATAAAGGTCCAAGCATACATACACTAACATCAGACATCGAGACAATAAATATACGTAAAATTAATACTAAATCCCCTTAAGGGTGAGCAATCCAGTGAACTCTATAAATAACTCTTTTAATAGAGTTCACTGAAGCAATCACGAAACAGGCTTGTCGGGATGAAACTGTAGTTTTGTGACTTTTTTCAACATCACTATGTATATTTACGCTCTGCTTTCGCGCATCGAGCTCTGTTTTTCACGGAGAATCATCACACAAACACTTTCTATACTGTGAATATGTAGGAAAAATAGATAGTAAATACTTATAACTAAGCATTATACGGAATCTATTGAGTAGAATAGAGATCGAATGTCTTATTATGTCTCCTCAAAAGAGACAGTTATATGATTTTAATGTTTAAATGTAAATTTTACAATGGATACCATGGAAACCTGTTTCTACCATATTTTTACCATAAATTATTACCGGTTTCAGAAAATCTCCTTCGTAATTTAACACGTACTTTTCCTCTTCCCAATCGTAAAGAAACATACGACTTTTGTATGAAGCCATTTGGCAAAATACCCAACTTTTTCTGTTATTTGTACTGAAAATAACTCCAACCTTTTCTGGTAACTGAAAATGTCAAAATTTTACTTCAACCCTGAAAACAGGCTAAAAAGGCAAATTGAGGCATCTTGTAAGATTATCACCTTCGTCGCCTCGTACAACGTACATCCATGCTACCTGTACAAACACGTGCAACTGAAATTTATATCATGAAATTTGTAGCATTGTAACTAACTATGCAGCGAGCTCCGTTTTGTTCTTTATGCCACAAACCTTACGCTTTTCAAGGTTCAGGTAAACCAGTTGGTCAACGTATACCAAAATTACTCGATTGTTCGCACACGTTTTGTCAAGGTTGTTTAACGAAACTATCTCTTAATAAACGATCTGAACTTTACTGCCCGAAGTGTAACGAAGCGACTCAATTATTATGCATTAAGAAAAGCGTCAATTTTTTACCGATAAACCTGTATATTATTGGCATCTTATGTGATAATTTAAGGGCGAATATCGAGAAAGATTTTCTCAAAAATGAGATTCATTTCAGTGATGTGGAGGGGTTGTCAAGTGTTGTTCCACAGAATGAATATACATATCCAGGTCACCCTGTCGTGGAAAAAAGCTCAGGGACGTTGTGTGATGAATGTTGTGAAGTTGATGATGTTCATTCTACATCTCGTACACTCCTTACACATGAAGCTAAGCCATTGCATGTCAAGAAAGTGGATAGTGTTGGCCTGGTTGAGACATCTGCAACACATAACTTGGACCATCCAAAGAAAAAACTTGCATGTAACTTCTGTACTGTTACTCCTTCCTCGCATGCAGAGAATATTGCACATGAAAAAGTGAAAATGAATCATGTTAAGGAGAAGATGGAGCAAGCAATTAACAATGGGCAAAAAATTGAAAGAGAACTAAAAAAGTCAAAGGAAAAGCTTGCCTCATACGTACCTATGATAAAAGTTGAGTTCAGTGAGATAAAGCAACAAATACAAGATCATTTTCAAAATATTCATTCAATGCTTCAAGCAAGAGAAAGCTGCCTTATTAAAGAAGTGAAAGAGATATTTTGTAAAAGCACTTTACCAAATGAAATTGCTGATAGTATTGAGAAAAAAATGAAGCATGTTTCTGAATTGATTGCTGAATTAAATGCATTTCAAGGTGCATCAGAGACTCCCAGGGCAATGGAGCAAACCTTGTTGGAATGTGAAAAACTAAATGATATTGATTGCATCTTGTCAGATACTTATGCCCAAAATCTTGTTACTGTCACCTACAATGAAGATATTAAAGAATTCCTGAAGTCCTATGGCAAAGTTGACATTGACAATTCAAACTTTGGTTTGAAAAAGATTTCGGAGGTGTCTGAAAGAATGAAATCTTCTAGGGGAGGCCTTAATGATATTTGTTCAGTAGATTTTTCAACCGAACATGATGGTTCCTATATTCACAAACAACTATCTCATAAATTGGTTGTTGTATCACATATTCTTTCACCTACTGATTTTTATGTTCGTTATGTCAGTAATAATGAAATACTTGAAGATTTGATGGAAAAAATTCATGTATTCTGTGATCTTAACAAAAAAACAATGAATTGTCTAAAGACTGTCAACACTGGAGATTTAGTTATAATAAAAGTAGATGGTTGGTGGCAAAGAGGACGAGTTATGTGCAAAGTGCAACAAGGACCATCATTCGGCCACGTTCATTCAATCTCCAAAGTAAGAGTTTATGCCATTGATCATGGTAGCACTCATGTGTTACCTCTCAAGAAGTTATTTAGAATGCCATCAAAGTTTTCTGATCTTCCAGAATTGGTTGTGAATTGCTCATTATTTGAAATAGTACCACCAGACTACTGTAAGAATTGGCAAAATAACTCTATCAAAGCATTTGGTAGTATGACTTGCAATAAGAATTTTCTCATGGCTGTTGTCAAAAAAAGTGGCAGGAAGTTTGTTGTTGATTTGAAAAGCTCTGAAACAGATGGAACCACATCTGGCTTGTCTCCTGCTTCAGTCAGAGATGCACTGGTGTTTTTAGAAGTTGCCAAATTCAAAAGTCCTGCTTCTGTGACTAATTCTCATGTCCCTTTTCCCATTCAAACATACCCCAAAGTGGTCATGCCAAAAGAAGGTGAAACACTACAAGTTATTGTCTCTTACGTCCAATCTCCCAATAGTATTTTTGTTCAGCGATGCAACGGTGAAGAATGTGAAAATATGCTTAAAATCCTACAGCAAATGTTTGACGTGTTTTCATCAAAGAGTGGTGATCAATGGCAGATTGGTTGGCCATATAAAGATATGGTTTGTGCTGCTCGCTATAGTGAAGATGGTAGGTGGTATCGTGCGTTGATAATTGACGTCACCAGTAACAAAATCGTCAAAGTTCTTTTTGTGGATTTTGGTAATTCGGAAGAGCTACGTTTCAGTGAAATACGTCGCTTACCTGACCATCTAGCAAAACTTCCCAAACAAGCCATGGAATGTTGTTTATCTGGTATTACACCCATCGACGAAGAAATTGGATGGTCAGCAGATTGCTGTACATTTCTGAATGACAACTGTTTTTTACATCCATACGACATGACTGTTGTTGAAGAACGCGACACATCCATTGCGGTCGTTCTCCATCTACCAGCACCAAAACATGCCTTAACACTCAGCCAACAACTCATTGATAATTCTTTTGCCGCTTCGTGTTCACATTCACTTGATGTTAAGCAACCACCAACTTCACCCACAAGTAGCACAAACAGCTCAAGATGTAGCGAAACTAAAGAAAGCAATTCAAATATGGATTGCACGGAAGAAGAGAACATATTTCCGGAGTACTTATGTTATAAACCTGCTGAAATGCCGGAGTGTAACAACTTTAAAATCGTGGTAACTTATGTACGTAATGATTGCACTATTTTTGGATTCCTACCAGGCAAATACGATCAACCATTGGCAGACTTGATGAAAAATGTGCAAACTATCTGTGACTGTGACGACACAAGTGCATGCCTTTCTCAAGACCAACTGTCGCTTAATCAACCTTGTTATGCAAAGTATTTAAACGACAACGAATGGTACAGAGCGCAAATCGTTCAATTTCCATCTGAGAATACTGTCTTCGTGGAATACGTGGATTTTGGTAACAGAGAGGAGATTCCATTGAGTCATATTAATGTAAACAGTACACATTTGGATATACCAAAACGATGCATTTCATTGAAGATGGATACTGCACCGAAAAATGGTGCTGAGCAAGAACGCATTTCAAAAGTACTGGAAAAGTTGTTGATTGGAGAAATTTGTGAAGCAAAATCAGCGACGCAGCTGCTTGTCAACGATGTTCTCTACATTGAAAATTTGCTTCTACCCAACGGAGAAGATGCCCTGGAAAAGGCGTACAAGATGTTTGAAGGAGAAGAGCCATTGATGCTACCCAACGAACATGATGCCATGGAAAAGGGTCATAAGATGTTCAATACAGATCATGGAATACACACGGATACAGCAGAACCATTGATGAATTCTCTATCCCCAGCAATCTCCAAACATAGCAAACCAAAGAAAGAAAAGTTTAAGCAACAATTGCAGCAACCTACTTCTATAATGTGCGAAACAATTTTGCCTGCAGAAGGAATACCTTTCCGTGTAACGGTAACCCACATTAACTCCAAAAATTCCGTATATCTACAACGTAAAATATGTTCTGGCGATAAGTTGACCAACGTTTATGATCACACTCAATTAATTGCTAATCAACACTTGAAGAAATTGTTGGACCTATCGAGAACTATAAACTTAAATAATTATTTTGACAAAAAGAAGAATATCTCTAAAGCTTGGGTAAATATGCTATGCTGCGCTCAATATACTTGTGATGATTTGTGGTACCGAGCTGTAGTGCAAGAAGTCCTGTGTACTAAGCCATTACAAGTGCGTGTTTTGTACTTTGATTATGGAACATCCGAAGTTTTAGAAGCAAAGAGATTGAAAGCACTCACAGCAGATTTAGCTTCGCTTCCAAAGCAAGCTTTTCCTTGTGCAATAGTTGGACTAGGCGATGACAACCTTTCTACAACCGATGAATATGACAAGGAAGATGGGATTGATGCCCTGGCAAAAGCAATTTATAGAAAGAAGCTCGTTTGTGTTGTGGTGAGTTTTGGGCCCCCAATCCAAGTTGAACTATATGATCGTGTCATTCATGGTGATTCCTTTGAAGACGTTCCTATAAGTGAAAGACTTTCCAAAAATGCTATACATCAATGGGATGATAAGGAAGATAAAGAATATACTAGTAGTGAAGACGAAAATATTGGAAGCGACGAACATTTTAGTGATGAAGATGAAAGTTGGAAGGACGAAAAGTTCACTACTAGTGAAGATGAAGATATGAATCACAAAATACCCGCTAATAGGGAAAATGAAAATTGGAAACCCGAGTTTAAAGAAGGCGAAGGTGAAATTCGTGTAAGCGAAAAATCGGGAAAATATAATTACGTGCCAGAGAACGTAAAGATTGGGCTGTGGATGTAGAAAATAATTTCGAAACTATTGACAATTTCGCCAGCGAAGCTTCTTCTTAGAACAGGATAATTAAATGGACAAAACAGGTTGAAAATGATTGAAGAACTTGACTGATCATTTAGATATGATGCTCATGCAATGTGATGACCATTTGAGCATTATTTAAAAAACAAATAGTTGTATGAATTTTGTTACGGATGAAATTATCGTAATACCTGAGTATTCGTACACACCAGACATGATATCATGTAAGTTATTTTGGGTTTTTTTTAGCACTGCCATGATATTCAATCAATTGGTAAAATTTGTATTTTTTTCACAATGAATGTGAAATAAGTACGACATATTATTTTCTAATTTGATTGGCTAAAACTAGTGGAATTTCCTCATATAGCAACGTTTTCTGGTGTGCACTTTTCTGGATATTTAGGCTTAGTTCAATTTTTTATTACTGTTATCGTATGTTGCATTAAATTTAAAAAGACGTGTTTTACATTCATGAAAATAATTATATTCTCATGTGTAAGTTGTGTAGAAATAATAAACTTATTTTGTTATGATATATCATATGCCGAACAAATCTCTCTGTTTCGTGTATTTTTCCTAAATACGTAATCGTCATTACAATAAGCAGTTCAGTAACAGCGATTAAAACAATTCAAAGATTTTACCTCCATCATTTATTTCAGTTATAAATTAACGTACTCTATATAAAACCTTTCTTTGAAAACGATGTGCCATTTCACCCCGTCTTACCATAATTTGTAGTACGGTGATGATCGATCTCTCAGAATATTTCTGCGAACGGAACATTACAATATCAAAGTTAGTGGAATAAATTTTAAACATACATAAATGTGTATATTTTTATCGATATTGCAGGACCACATATAATGTATTTGTAAACCATAATCACACGTACTGCCTCATTCGGAGTTGTAATCGCACCCAGTAAGTCTTTATTTTGGTTTCGCATTTAAACTTCCGAGCAACAATTTTTCCTGCGAATTTTGTGAGCTCGTACCTGGTCTCTATACAACATCCCTCTCTCTCATCCTTCAATACAACACCCCAATCCTCTCTATACAACATCTCTCTCTCATCCTTCAATACAACACCCCAATCTCTCTTCTTCTCATCCTTCCATCATTCTTTCAATTTCTCCTTTCATCTTTTTTTATCTCTCCTTCCATCTTCATTCTTTTCAATTCTATATCATCCTTATCCATCCTCTCTTTATCTCTCTCATCCTTCCAATCCTTCCCTCATAATCCTCCCCCTCCCTCATCCTTCATATCCTCTCTTTTCTCCTCATCCTTCAATACAACACCCCAATCCTCTCTATACAACATCCTCTCCCTCATCCTTCAATACAACATCCCAATCCTCTTTATACAACATCCCTCTCCCTCATCCTTCAATACAACATCCCAATCCTCTTTATACAACATCCCTCTCCCTCATCCTTCAATACAACACCTCAATCCTCTTTATACAACATCCCTCTCCCTCATCCTTCAGTACAACACCTCAATCCTCTCTATACAACATCACTCACCTTTATCCCATCACTACAACACCAGAGTTGGGCAACCCACAAAGATTAGTGACGAACATGAATTGCACGTCACTTTGAGTTGTTAGCAAATGTCATAAGACACTGCTTTTCAAATGCAATCTATCACATGTGATACATACCTGTTTTAAAAAATCCTGAATTATTCTCTTTTCCGAGACCTATTAAAAACAAAAGAACCTTTAAACATGGAATAGTGCCGCCGCATTGTAGATTGATCTGCAATTTGATAACAAGCATTTTAACAAATGTATAAACCTGTGCTCCGATTGGAAATCTTCGCTTTAACTGTGTTTCAATCTGTCGAATCTCTTCTACATCATGTTGAGGTGTAAATCCGTCTGCACCTAACATTCCAAATATACCAAAGAAAGTTGAACAAATTGTTACGAAATAATTTAGTTAACAAGTCCCTTAATTACTATATAAAGATATTCATAATACCTGCAAGACTTCCTGACATGGCCGCGTCAAGAGTGGAAACCTGAAACAAGCGAAGTGCTTCGTCAACATCGCTTTCCGTCGCAAATGGGGCCAGTCTCATTTTTGCAAGTGATTCTGACATTCGAATAATAGCTTCGAGCTGTCTGAAAAACAAAAACAGCAACTCTAAAGTTAATTCAATATTGATGAATCCTGAATTCTGAAGAAATAGTACATATGTCGTCTTAAACAAGTAATAGATAAAAAATAACCATCTATGGAATGCTGATAGGAGCATCCATGAATATCAAGGGGTATCTTTCGTCAAATTACATTTTCCATACAAGAATGACGTTAAATAAGAATGTCACATTAAATACCTTACAGTAATAGGAATATTTATTCTCTTATTAGTATCACTCTCGTGTTCTTTGGCACCACTGCGCATGAGTATGTAACGATTCTTCAATTTTTCCGCAGCCGCGTCAGATATTCGTGGACCACATTTACTGTAAATAAAAATTGTTACAGTAAAAATCTTTATCAATAGTTACGCTTCTAGCTCCATGACCTTATTTTCAACATAGTAAATTAAGACCGTACCGTTTGCAATATGCAATGTACTTTTTAAGAAAGTTCAAAGTTAATTCTCCTTCTTGGACTTGAGTTGTCCGTGCTGCATTTGTATGTACTGCCATAACATGTTTTGCCAGTCGCTGCATCAAAAAAAAATATCAATAAAAATTCTTTTATGTAATAAATTATCGACAAAACTTTTCTTACCATGTCCTTTCCTTGGTCATGGATATCTTTAACGATGAATATCATATCAAAACGTGACAAAATCGTCGGCATAAAATCAATATTCTACAAATGGACACAAAACATGATTAACTAGAGTGAAAGACAGTGATACAATGTTCTTGACATTATACCTCTTCTCCTTTCGTTTCATCCCATCGCCCAAAAACAGAGTTGGCGGCAGCTAGAACTGAGCATCTTGTGTTCAGTGTTGTCGTTATACCCGCCTAAAGAAACATGACGTCATTGAACTACACGAAAATAGAAACATATGTTTTTCTATGTATTAGAAAAATCAGTTTAATAATCAAATAACATTGTCTTGGCCCTCCTGCCTTTATAAATCTTTGTGTATCATAAATTTAAAAATTTTTTGTTCTTAGAAATACTTCCAATTATTATAGCGATAATGTACATGTGTATATTTATAAGAAATTTTTGTTTTTCTAGAAATATGTTTATTATCTTTGAGGGACAATAGAAGATAAACTTTTAAAAAACCGATTGAAAAAACAGACGTTTAAACTGTCAAAAAGTGTTTAATGGTACCATTAAAAGGGTGTACTATTATACCTTAGCAATTGAAATGGTTTGTTGTTCCATCGCTTCGTGTATAGCTACGCGGTCATCTTGTCTCATCTATCACAAGAAAAATAACCAAAATTTCATAATAAAACCATGTACACTTGTATCCTTCATCAATCACCAACATTTTGTAGCTAGATCTTAATAAATGAAAATATCCATAAGCATTTTATATAGATGACATTCTCTTATTCTTGTCTTCAAATGCTCACTGATTAATATACCTTATCAAACTCGTCAATGCAGACGACTCCACCATCAGCCAATACCATAGCACCCCTTCCATGATGAAATTTCTCGACAACGGGTCACGAGTGACGGATGCAGTCAATCCTGCAGCACTACTTCCTTTGCCGGAGGTATAAACACCAATGGGAGAAACTTTCTCAACAAACTTCAGCAACTGACTCTTTGCGGTACCAGGATCACCAAGCAACAGAACATTGATGTCGCCTCTTCTTGTTAGACCATCAGGTAATCTAAACACAGAATTAAGATAGAAGTTGTTAGAATTGAAAATTAGTGGTAACCAACAATTAATATTTACAACTAAACATTTCAAAATTCCTGATTGCGCATGCTCACTTTTGACAAGAACCTTCTTGACTTCACGTGCTCACCTTTTCCTAGAACCGCCAAAAAGAAGACAAGCAATGGCTTTTTTCATATTTTCACTACCATATATGGAAGGGGCGATGCTTCTTGCAATGACATCATACACATCTGGCATGGCTGCAACACGTCGAAATTCTTCCTCTTCTTCCATATTAATCAAATTCTCATTGCTTCTTCCCGGACCATCTGTATCAACGCAAATACCAACTACACGCAAATATGGTCGTCTTAAACCAACACCAACATTCTCACGATTGTCCTAGAACAACAAAAAATCACATCAAATCAATCCGTAATGATTCAGAGGATTATTGCAGTTAAATTTTTTTTAAGACAATTTTAATGTGATTGCCACACTCCCCTTTTAACAATTTATATAATTGTGCTCGCAATAATACTTCAGTTTAATCTAACACTAAAAGGAAAATTAACCTCGAAATATGAGAGAGTTGTTTGTAAAAAACTATGTGATGTTACAACATTAATTTTGATTTCATGGAGTGAAGGTTTGTGTTGTGTTTTGCAAAAATAAGAACATTTCAGAAATTTTCATACAAACTCCATCGTGGAAAAGCATAAACATGGGTTATTTTTTAAGTTGCATGACACGAATAATTCCTTCAATATGTCTGATCTATTGCAAATCAATTTGTGTTTTATGTAACATTTACTGTACCTTTTTGTTAAGTTTTCCTGACTTCTTGATGGAATAAATACCCATGACAGTAACACGATTACCAGGCACAACTTTGTCTGTCAAGTACCTTAAAACAATATGTTAATATACTTTAGATCTCTCTTTAAGGCAAACAATCAATAAACCATTCCTACCCTAGCAATAAACCATTTACCCTAGCAATAAACCATTTTTACCCTAGCAATAAACCATTCCTAACCTAGACCCTACTGAGTACCAGATTTAGGCTGAAGCTCTGGCTATTTTTCATGCTGGAGCAGGAGTTTTTTGATCTCTGACAAAACTCCCGCAGCAGTTGTTTGTGCTGCAAAATACTGTCAAACTTTGGTAAACATGTCTGATCAAAACATTTTTGTATTAAGGAATGATAACTACCGGCTAAAATTGAACAAATTCATGATTTAACAAGAAACATGAGCAACAGATTGCTTTTGCACATGCTCTATGTGTAGTAGCATCGACCATTTCATATTCTAAAGCAATATTTTATTTTACCTATCACAGTAAAGCTGCATATGCCGTGGCATCTCCCCCTTTGGAACAGCATCAGGAAGCTCCTGTAGTTTGAGTACTTGGTAATCAACACATTTGCATTTATCAGGAATAATAAAGAATGGATCAAGAGGACACGGAGGTCGACCAACTTGCTCTCTAAAATCACATCAAAAAACCAAATTATTCATATTACACATTAATTAACACAGCTATGCAAGGTTCACTTGATGTGAAGACGAAACATTGTTGATGTTTTGTAAACTTCACTTACGTTGGACATTTTCGTGGCATTACATAACCTTCAAGACCAGGTTTGAGGACAACATTTGGTAATGTGGTACGACATGCACGACACTGAAGCGTTATATTTGTTGCTTTAGCACGAATTGCTGATACACTGATTATGATACCAGATATCTTTACCATTTTGGCAACATGATTGGACTAGACATGAAAAACAAAAAAACAAATTCATAGATAAATTATACATAAAAATTCCAAAAAAATCTCAAGAATGTCAATATTAATCATTGACTGACAATGAATCTAACAGATCAAACAATATTCCAGCATTTTTCATTTGACAACCTTTTATGTCTCAAACAATTTTTTTGTCACACTGAATAAATGATTTAAAAAAACCTTCAGATATCTAATTCCATCAGGAAAGGCATCTGATTTTAAGGTCACTTGTATGGGTTGCATTTCCTGTTCATCATCAGGACGAGGGCGCGTTGATTCATCTGCTGCTTCTTTTGCAGCTTCTTCAAACTGTCAATATAAATTATAAATTTATTGAGGTAATACTCAAGTTATAATATTAAATAATAAAAAACAAGCTTTTTCTTTAAAGAAAACAACATGTTCAAGAATAAGAAAAGAAGGGAATTTCAGATTTCATCATTGGTGAAATTAGAATGTGTTATACAATATACTTTTGGTGAGCAATATTCTTAACTACACCCCCTAAGTATATCCTTAAAAACACAGTTACACAATGTCCCCAATGAACATCATGCAAATCATTGAAATTTGTTTTCAACTCTTACCATAGGCAGGTACTCTGATGGTTGATTCAGCAGTTTACTACATAACACTTCATTAAAGTTGCGTAAATCCTGTATATTAACCTCCAAAGTGTAGTCACCAAGACGATAATTCCTCACAAGTTGATCTCTAAGAGATTAAAATTTTTGCAAAAGTCAAATGGCTGCAAACGAGGTAAAAGTTTTGCTATCACCAACTGTATTTAAGGTTGACTGTAGACTATTGGTAAAATGAACTGATTAATGATTACTCTTCATGCCCAGCATAAGTCAATTAATAATTGTTTCTCATACTTTCATCCTTATAATTTTGATTGGGAAGAGGGAAGGGGGGGGGGGAGGTTGGCTTTCACCCACTAAAAACCTCAAGCTTTTGAACGAAGTATTCCATGTTATTCAAAACAATGTTCTCACGTCATCTGGTGCCAACAATAACACTGATAAAATATTCCTCTGTATCATATCACCAACATGGCATTCATTGAAAGTTATCAAGTTATTACATAATTACTAAGGTACTAGCCAATGAGAAACCATAATTTTTTTAAAATACGTATATTTTAAGTTTTCCATACAATACCGGTATGGATAAACAAATGTGCCTTCGTGGTAATCGCGTATAAACATCATGAACTGCTTCTGTGCTGCAATTCTGCTTGTTAGACTTTCATCTTCATTGTCTTCTGAACCAAATACATCACGGTAGAATATTTCTCCTTCGTCAAACCCTGACATTTTTTCATGTACGATTGCACAAACTTGTAAGTAAAAGTTGTAAATTCTACAAGAAAAAAACTCGACCACCGTTCAACACTGATATAAAATAAATCGCTTTTTTAAATACAAAAATGTACCAGCCCTCAACCATCATTTACAATTACAATATTGGCGGGAAAATTTCACGAGTATTTCCGACTCTTACTTCGCCATTCAATCGATTATCACATTGTTTTGTCAGCACAAAATATTCAATGTCAAATACCAATACCAGCTTTTGTTGTTTTGACCACAAACAACAAAAAATGGAGTTATATCTGTGCCCTCAGCATGTATTTTTTAGGCATAATGATCATTTGAATACAAAGAAGCCAAAACAATAAGCAACGTATTTCACTATAACAACACTCAAACATAACCATCTCCATTATCCATCACTTCTCACTGAAATTATTTATTAACTCTAGGCAATCGATGATGATTATAAATTCAAAAAATTTCTATAACTTATTTAGAATTAATCTTTCTTAGTAGCTCCCAATTTTAATGTGCCTCTCGCCGCTCTCTTCTCTTTCAAAACTTTCTCTCGTTGTTTTCGACGTTCTTCTCGTTTTTTCTTCGCTAAATCTGACGCTTTATTCTCGTCAAAACTCGCAAAACTTTCCCATCCTTCAGTTTCCCAATTCTCCTCTTTATCGGCGGCGAGTGGAAGGTCATTTAGTGGAGCCCAGTCCTCTGCATCCCAACCATCAAAATCCACTGAATTTCTACTCTCTTCTTCAACAGATGTTTTTGGTTTTGGTTTTTCAGCTTTTATGTCATGAACACGACTTGAAACTTTTTTCGACATCTTCGGGAATTTATCTGTTGTCTAAATTAAAAGCAACAAATCTATTAACATTTGACACTCTGTACGAGGAAGAAATAACATTAAATTGCTAGCATCACGAGACTGCGTTTAAATTTACACAGATAAACGAAAGTTGAATAAAAAATACGATAACAAAACCAATCGATGGTATCAAACTTTTTTAAGCTTCCCGAAGAAAGCTTCATTGCTCCAACCTTAACATTATCACCACTTTTCACGAAGAAACTCTGAGTCCAGTTATCATCTTGAACAAAACTATCCTTTACATCATTCCAGTTATCATCATTAGACGAGCTCAGGTTCACAAACTTTGCTTGCGATGTGGTATCCGACATAAGTTCAGACAAAATGTCATCTTCACTGACTGCACTTTTTTTATTACCAACTGTTAATTTGAGAGGACCAGAATTCTTTTCAAAGTTCGCTGTTGACTAAAATAACACTTCATCAATAAAATATTTAGGTTACAATAGATATCGTAGCAATAAACCAAACGATACCTTTTTTTGTTTTGATGATAAAGAAAAGCTATTCCAGTTATTTTCCTCTCCATAATCACTGTCACTATCCCCACCATTATTTATCATATCAGACTCCTAAGGAGATCATCAATGTAATTTTTCACAAGACTTATCCAATGTCTATGATTTGAAGCTCCCAATCAAAAAATTATTTTATCTGACACATCAATTTCATATACGAATTTCATTTCAAAATTTCTTACTTTACGGCCTTTACCAGACATGAAAGAAGTTAGTTGACTTTTAGCTTCAATAAAATCTTTCTTTATACTAGATACAGTATCCTAAAGACATTAACATTATGAAATCATAAGTAAAAATACTCCATGTTGCCCAATTAAGGACACTTTACCTCCTCAATTTCCCATTCATTCTCCTGTGATTCATTGTCACTCCCTTCATCATCACAGTTAGATTTTTTTTCATACATGTCATGTGATTTTGAAACATTTACATTCTCCGCGGTGTTAGCTGGGCCTGCAGATCAACCAAACAAATAATTATTCAATTGAAAGCATAAGTTCTGTACTCTAAAACATCACAAGTAAAACAACACAAGTAAAACAACACAAGAAAAACAACAACTAAAACACCAAATTTTCACACTTTTCTTCGTCTTCTCTCGTACACCATCTTCCTTATTATCAGAAGTTACAGCTGATGCATTCTCTCTGTAAAACTTCCGTGACAAAGAGCTCATCGCCCAGCCTGTCCAACTCCCAGATGTAGGATCACTTCCGCCTGCTGACGATGAACTGCCTTCTGATAAAATTGAAGAAATGAAGAAATCATATGTTCAAATATATATAAAACTATGCAACTTACCACAAGTATTATCTTTTGCATTAAGATCTTCGGAATGATTTTCTAACTTACTCAAAATTAGGCGTATCGCTTTAAAACACTAAAAAAATATATTTAAAAAATAATTCTTTCAGCAAGACTTAAATGTTCATTATTCTAATACTGCAGCTAGTATCTTCATCAGGAGTGATCTGATGTTGAATCTTGAGTTTTTATATACTCCATTCTAGTGTCTTCATCAGTGGTCATCTGTGATCAACAATGATCTAATGATGATTCTCTAACTCTCAATGCTAAGGGTGCTTTGTTCTACTCACTTGATCTCGAACAGACTTGTTGGAATCAATAGTCATAGTACATAGAGTTGGTAAAACTTTCTTTGCACATTCATCAATTGGTATAAAGTCAAGCGTGACACACAGTGCATTGATACCAGCCATTCGTGCTGGAGGAAACGGATCTCGCAATGCACGAAGAAAGGCTGCAACAATGACTTTCGCCCGGGTCTATAATGAAAGTACTTTGCGTAAGAAAACCTTGAAACCAATTCATAATTTTTTTTATCGAAAAAGTTACACAACCAACGTAGCCTTTGAATGTACGACAAAATCTTACTGTTTCAGGAAGATGACAAGCTATTTTACCCAGACAAACGGTCGTGTTGGTTCGAATACTTGGCTAAAGCGAGAATATAAATGTCATATTAATAAACAATGATCACTTGATATGAATGGTCAAACATTACATACGATTTTAGTTTGTTTAAATTAAGTCCTCGTTGTGATTTGTATACGAATAGGAGAAAATAATTGAAGATGTTAAGTAAACTGAATATGAAATCAAAGAAAGAAACAAAGATGGATAAAATGTAAAGTGTACATCATATAATTCTATTAAAAACATCACTGTTAGAAAAGAAGAAAAGATAATTAAAAGTAAAGATCGTAAAAAGACTTCAACCGAAAAAACCCGCGAGTTTCTGGTGTTTAGTGGTTGTTTTTCTATAAATACCTGTTCGTCAAGTTGAAGTTTGGCAAAAAACTTCAACAGTTGATTGTTGATAGTCTTCTCATTAAGCTTTGGCACAAGCAAGAGCATTGACTAAAGAAAAATATTACTGTTAGAATATATATCATCAGAATAGACAGTAATAATAGACATATAATTCTTCATGCAGAATAGACAGTATACATTAACGTTCAAAACATCCTTAATTGATTTAAATTACACATTGTGTGATCTCGAAGCAACAGCACATGCTGTCAGAGTGTCAGGGGAATATTAATTATATAACTGTGTCACTGATGGATCAATGATAGAATGAGTGGTTCAAAACGCCAAATATTTATACTTAAAATTACTGCAATAAAATTTACCTTTACAGTATGTTCCCTTACAGCTGGAACTGTGTCATTAAATCCCGTTGCAACATTGGGAAATATTTGATTATTTATTACAGACCCTTGAAGATGTTCCACAAAATTATTCAACTGAAAAAAATAGTGTTAAAAACGTATGAACAATTAAAACACACTTCATGACATTCATGAAGTAAAATTTCACAATTTTAACACAATAAAAATAACTGCTGTTTTAATAAAATATATTCAATGTTCATTTCTTTTGAAATCAATAGTTTTCGCAACAAGTTAATACAAAAAAATTGATGGCGTATCATATAAAAAATTCCACAAACTTTGAAAAACAAACTGGGAACTGACTAGACCTGGGAATTGAAGAGACATAAAAACTGACAACACCTGGAAACTGACTAGACCTGGGAACTGATGACCTGTAACTTGTTGAAAACTGGGAACTAACGAAACCTGGAACAAATGAGACCTGGGAACTGACTAGACCTGGGAACAGATGGGACTTGTGGACTGAAGAGACCAGTGACTTGTTAAAACTGGGAAATGATGAAACCTGGGAACTGATGGAAACTGAGAACATGTTCAACGATGACAGCAAACGTACCATAAACTTTCACACATCATAACAAGGGCAAAGTTACTACAGTAAAAAAATCTTTCACCTGTTGAAGTAATTGTATTCGTGTAGCTCTGTCGGTAGAAGAGAACAATTTTACAACACAAGGAACAATTTTTTGTTGATAATCTTCAGCATCCAATAGTTTTCCAATCTAAGTTTCAATTAAATAAACAACAAGTTATTAACCAAGAATGTAATGTACATAAACTAATTTAACAATAAAAAAGTCTTGTAACAAATTTAAATGTTTCATAGAAGAACTATAAATACATACCTTAAATAATGGCGTTAAAACCGTAGAACCAGCTGAACCATATTCAAATGCATTCAACAATAATGGTAAAATCTTTAATTTACAGTATTTTTGAGGGAATGCATCAAGTTGAGAACTTAATGACTTAAAGAACTCCTTTTGTTCGTCCTGTGTTTTTATCTACGAAAAAGAAAACTCGAGTCTTGTAAAAATCAAAATATCTCCAGAAAAACATCATAAACACGATAGTTGATACAAATGTTTGTTTGATACCTGTATTTCAGCCAAAAATAAATTAGAGTCAACAAAAGTATTCGCCAGGTATTGGCCCTTGGCACGACATTGTGCAATGAACTTTGCAGGATCCGGTCTGCTTTTAGGGTTAGCACTTACAAGCTCACCATAATGACTCAGCAAGTTTGAAGGTATTTTCCCAACTGATTTGAGAGAAGATGATTTTGGCAGGGGACCATTAAATATCTCCCAAATAAGGCAACCTAGACCCCAGACATCTGCTGACCATTTCTCAGTCTTCTTTTTCAGTTTGGCACCATCAACACCCTCTGGAGGATCATACTTCTGCATCCATGGAAATCGAGAAAAAGTTTGTACATCTCCTCCACTTGATGGTGATGAGGGATGGATGTAAGCTACACCACCTAGTTTCCATTCCCCTCCACTGTCAACAAATATAGAAGACAGACAAATATTGCCATGAACCAAACCAGCATTGCTGATGAGAAAGTCTAAGGCTGTCTGGATGAACATAAAGAAGAAACGAAACTCAAACTCAACTGAAGATATATGAATTAGCATCAAGATTTAACATCAAATAACTCTTGGTGAAGACTCTACACAACATGCGGTATAAGAAATCAAGATTCAACATCAAATCACTCCTGATTAAGAAAATAGACTGGAGTATATAATGACTAAAGATTCATTATCAGATTGCTGTTGATGAAAACATGAGACTTCTAAATTTGTGGCCGATCCAGGGTAGGTTCAAATACCTTGATGAAAATATATTTCCATTTTAAAACACTTAAGAGCAAATCCTGTTAGGACTTAGGAGCAGTGTGCGAATTAGTTCAGAAAAAACGATGTGCAATTTTTTTGCCAAAAGTGTTTCTTTAGAGGCATAATCAAATTGATATTACGTTAATTATTATACAGCGCTAATTGCTAAATTAATATTTTTAAACTTGAACAAATTCATATGATTTACGACAGTGTTTTTCGTTAAAACAGCTTATTTTTGCACATCGCTTGAAAAAGTGATGTGCAATTGTTTTCATTTTAGCTAAAACGATGTGCAAATTGCACATTGCACATCGTTAATTCGCACACTGCTTAGGAGTATAACAGTCTTAAATATTCTTTAAAAATTGTTTACCAACAGTAATGGCAATTGAAATGAGCTTCTGCGCATAATCTATTTTGATCAACAAAACTCAAGTTCAACACCTTGGATAAGATCTTGTCAAGATGCTCAAACTGTTTAGATCTGCCACTTTCTAGATTACTACGCAAGACACTAGATTACTACAGTTTAAAAAGCATATTAACACTTACTGCAATCTGGTGAATTCCCCATGAAATTTCCAGTTCATTTGTATTTTCTTTAAGATATTTCTCCAAAGGAATAACTGCCTCGGTAACAATGTATACAAAACTTTCTGACTAATTAAAAATATATTGGATTGTTCTCAATAAAAATGACATTTTTAACAATGATACACTTTAAAAATGTGTTACACTAAACTATAAATAAAAATTCCTTTTAAAGTATAGTTTGTTTACAAAGTGATGCATTTCATTTGCTTTGACGAACCTCAAGTCCATCAATAAAACGCAAAACTGTGGGATGTCTCAGTGTCTTCAAACGCTTGAACTCAGCTTTAGCAACTTCATGCTGTTAAAGAAATACAAATTTAAAGAAAGATTCAACTGTACTTCATGGTCTTGTTTTATGCAGTATCCTGTGCAGTATTAGCATCGTTTTTGTGCCTTTATTTTTAAATATCAATATAAAAAAGAGCACAGTTTTTCATTATTACCTCATTAGAAGATGAATTCTTCACATCAAAAGCAAAGATAGAGACATTTTCTTCAGTGCCCTAATATGTACAATAAATATTTATGTAAAATTTCAACATAATAAATAGTAATGAACCAATCAAGGAAATCTCACATTTTCTTATCTAATATAAGCTTACTAAATTCATGTATTCATGTCATATTATGCATTGAATCTAATTTAATAAATTTGGAAACACAGTTTAGATTACTTTTGATTAATATAAAATACAAAAAAGCAACTAAAACATGCCATTTTATCACATAAGTTTGACAATTTGTGTATAGTTAATCAGATCCTAAATTTTACACTTTTTTGAGGACAAAAATCTTTCTGAAAAATACCATTCAGCTCTTTATTATTAAAACCAAACACGTACAACTTACAAGTTTTTAAAATGAGTTTTCACAGCCTTAATTATATCTATTGGTAGCAGATTTACATCATTGTGATGTGTTGATAACTGATCTGCATAAAAATGCCAGATTATTGGCTTTTAGCAAGCAATTTGTGATAATATGTTTATCGATAATAATACAATGCATCATTATCTAGAAAATATTAAATGTCAAAATTAAAACTGAATTAATCTGTATCAGTATTTTATTTAATATGTTTTTATCGTGATAGCTCAAAAGAGGGGGGTTAACAACCTCCCAACCCCGAATGAATGGATAATGGAGGCCCAGGGGAGTAGACTGACTGCATTCCACATATTGACTTCATAAAAAAACAAATTCAGTACAGAAAACGAGATTTGAAAATATATCTAATTTATTTGACATGCTTTAAGCTGATTTTACAGAGTCTTACTTTCTTCTTCCCAGAATGTAAAGTCCATATTGTTCTGCCTTCGTGGTCAACAATTTTATCTCCAATTTCATATGGAAAAGCTTGTGTAGAGCTTTGCCCAACTTTACCAATGAGATTCCAAAGTCCATGCATTTCAGCACAAGCAGTTGAAAAACTTTATCAAGCAAAATATAAGCCTCAAACCATCATTGCAATAATCCATGTTTCTTTATATGGCTTCGTGACACATTAAAGAGGCAGAGCTTTAGTTCAGCTGGTGATCACGAAATGATGATAATTCTTTTTCTACAACAAACCAATTTTTTTGTTGTAATAATTCGCGAGCTTTTGCGCAAAGACAATTCTGTGGACAATTCTTTTGTATTTTCGTGAAACAAACTCCGTTTTTACTTCCACTTTCACCAAGTAACCCAAAAAAAAACCGCTGGTGACACGTGTACTACAGACTGCAGACGCTAAGATATTGTTGTTCTGTCTTTCGCTTATACTATATAAAGTTTCTCACACCTGGATTATCATCAAAAATGTTTCGAAATTTCGTTGGTGGATTGCTTTTTGCCTTATTGATGTTTTTTACAGCATTTTTTGGCTCCATCTTTATGATGGGACCAACCTTGCCATTGCTTTTTCTTCAACCAAATTGGTTTCGAAACATCAATGATAAATTTATAGGACTATGGATGGGTCTACCCGTCGTAAGTGCATAATTTAGCTTTTTTTGAGGTATTTCTGCCTTATTAATTTTTGTCTTTGATTGTTTTTTTCATGGTTGGTTTTTGCTCCTTCGTTTTGAAGGTTGTTCTAGGTAAGAAATGATTTATATAAAAATGGTCATATAAAACTTGCTATATTTCAAATGAAATCATCAAATCCCACAAAATCTACTGCATTTTGTTTTTTCCGTTCAGAGAAAGTGTTTCGTGTAAAGGTACATATAACTGAGGAGAATTTTCATTCACAATTAAATCATGAGAAAGCAATAATTATCATGAACCACAGAACAAGACTTGATTGGCTCTTTTTTTGGTCTGTCATCATGCGTCAGAAAAAACTGCAATATGAGAAAATAGTTTTGAAGGATGGTCTTAAACACATTCCTGGTGCAGGTAAAAGTTGTACCCTGCATGTGTCTTTGCCAGAATAAGTACATGTTGTTTCTATGTGCTGCTATGTTAGTGAGGTATTATGTCTATATGATCAGGAAGAGACATGAAAATTATGCTTCCAACTTGTTATTGAAGGTGTCAGAGTATAGTAACATCAATGATAATGTAGCTATAAAAATTAAAAACATTTGTAATTTTAGGTTGGGCTATGCAGTTTGCAATGTTTGTATTTCTTAAGCGAAACTGGGAGATGGATGAAAAATATCTTCAGGACATTCTTGATTACTTTTTGATGATGAAATGCCCCCTTCAGCTCCTCATGTTCCCTGAAGGTACTGACTTTGGTCCCCACTCCTTGGCAAAGAGCAAAGAATATGCCATAAAACATAATCTGCCTGTGTACAAACATGTCTTGCATCCCAGGCTGCGAGGTTTTACTTATTGTGTAGAACGACTGAGAAAAGAGGGAAGTCTCCATGCAATCTATGATGTGACTGTTGGTTACCGTGGCAACTTGTGTCAATCTGAATCAGATATACTTTTGGGTAAACCCGATGAAGTGCACTTCCATATGAAGCGATATCCAATAGGCACTATCCCAGAATCCACAGATAGCTTGGAGAAATGGTGTATACAGAGATGGGTTGATAAGGAGGAGACCTTAGAACAGTTTTATAAAGGTTGTCAACTCTACCAGACCCAAGAAGAAAAGATGAGACAAAATGACACTTGGAGAATTCTTCATCAAATGATATTATTATTTTCCTACTGGGTTGTATTTCTTTGTGTTGTGTTATGCTTAATTTACAAATACTGGTGGGTAAGGCTATACGTAATTCTAATGGCTTCCATATTATTTTTACAATCAAACTATGGTGGGGCTTTGAAACACTACAAATTAGAAAAAAATAATGAAGACCAATGTTTACGGTAGTAATTCTTATTCTTTGACATTTCAACAAAGACTTCTACATTTACTTTAGAAGGTAATGTTTGTGTGGAATCAATTCACACGCGTTATAATGGGGGAATAAAGCAGTTTATATTGATAATGACATTATATTCGTCGACATTTTCACGCGTGTGAGATAAAATACAAATTACACAAAAATTTTATTGATTTCATTATTTAAAAAATTCTATTTCTAAATGACGCAACCAAAAATCATAATTGATATTGTTATTTTAAAACTAGCATGACAGCAGGGATTTTTTGCAACACGTGGGATTTTTTTCTTTTCATTGGCCAGTAAAATTATTTTCTAATGAAATATTTCACAATTTTGTTCAATTATATAAAAGAAGCGACAATTAACTAGAGTGGCATATTTTACTTTGGGTCTTTTGTGTGCAACTTTCCCATAACAGTGCATTCGATAATATTTTATAACAAATTCATTTGTCCTAAAGACGTCAATCACCTTAAGAAAGATAAAACAATGAGCTATGTCGAAATGAGAATATTCGTTTACAACTATTAGTTGTATCTATACATCGTTTTTCATAAAAATTCCCTTGTGTTGGTCAGTGTATAGTCATGTTTAGTCGTTTTACGGATGAAATGAAAATACCACTGGAATGTTCATATTGAAAGCTGTTTGATGTGCAAGTCTTCACGGTCAGTAAGAAAGTGTGTAAATGCTAGCTAAAGTGCCGGATATCACTTAAAATATTGCTTCAATCTTAAAAAGATATGATTACCAAAAACCAAAAAAAAGCTCTCCAGTTTTATATTCAGTTCAACGACGATGAATAATTCCGTCTTCTCGAAATTCACAAAATTGATCCCTTTAACCGAATCTTGACTTGCATTACTTTCGTTATCCACGATGACCTCTCACAAAAAATCAAAAAGATATGGCCAAAGTGAGTGTCATCATAATCCTAAATCCTGAGCCAGTGTGTTGAAAAACATGCATCTTATATATACGAATGACTTGCAAAATGTCGGATTCGTATTGGGAAGATGGTTAAGAAAGGGTCTATAGCAATTTCCATGTTTATTACTTTTAATGTCTTGATATACGCTTTGGAGGCAAAGCTGGTGGTGCATCAGAATCGAATTCCAGATCATCTGAAGTGTTTGTATTACGTAGTGTAGAAGTAGAGGACGAAGATCTTGCACGAGGGGGAAGAGGTGGCGGCTCACTGTCTTTATTTTCTAAAATGGAATCGACGCTAATAGCTTCTGTCATATCAATATTTATGGGGAAAAACGAATGATGAGTATGACTTTTTCGTAAAGTGTGTGGAGATTTTGGAGGAAGAGGTGGTGCAGGAGATGGCTCGCTCTCACGAAACTGAGTCGTTTGAATTCGCTCTGACCTAGGTCTTTGTTTACGAGGTGGAATGTCAGGGGGTTCAGGCTCTGTTTTTGGTTCAAATGGATCATCGTTTGGTTCGTTGATAACATCATTTGAGGATGGCCATATGATTCTATCTGTTTTAAGAAAAAACCTATCTCAACGATTAAGTATTGAGTACGAAGTATTCTTATTGCAATATCCTTTGGAGAAGAAGCTTACTAGCAATGTTCCTTCATAAAAAAATACTTTGTTTTACTCCATGGCAAGAACATGAAATAACTCACCGTCTTCTGATACACTGCTTGGTGAATACAGTGGTGATGTAACTTCTGTGGGGGTCGATGGTATTATTGTTTCCTTTTCTTCAGATATTGTAGATATGGACAACTGAGATCCTTTACGTAAAGTTGCCATAACCAATGTTGAATAACGTTGTGCTTTAATACCGGGACCTTTTAAATTGTAGTCTGTTCTTCGAGGCTAACAACACATTAATCTTATAATCACAATCACGAATAAATAAAGAAGACGAAGCACGCTTTGCAATGTATTCAGAAGATGTTTATGTTAAATTATGTTTAGCATATTTCTACTTACAAACTTTGGCAGCTGTTTACAATTCCTTGGTTCCATTTTCAAAGACGCATCGTAGAAATAATCTTCGAGTTCCTTATCAGAACGATTTTCAGTGGGATCAAGAGAAAGCAAGTAATCCTAAAATATGAACTGTCCATCTCAGCATTTGAACCAAACGTTTGGGTAAAAAACACATTTCTTACACGGATTGTTGGTTCTTCATTTAAACAATAAGGTTGGTTTTGGTACTGTTGTATTTCAGCTGTTATTTCAGCAACTCTTCGTCTTTTGGAGAGAGAAACAAAACGGTTGTTAATCGTATCTGTTTAACTACAATACTTGTTTAATTATTCTAGACTTGAAATGCGTGCGTAACAAATAAACACGATTTAAGATAGAAAACATACCTTTTACTAAAATTAATCATACCCTCTGGATGATTTGGTAGAAAATCAGGATTACCATCTTCAATTTTTAAAATGTTCGTGAGGTACATACCTGTGAAATAGAATACAATAGTCATTGCCATGAACACGAAAAAATGTCGAATACTCGACGAAATAATCGAAAATTCATAGATGACCACATTATTTGATGGAGTTGGAGTGTTGGAATTAGACTGTTGGAGTGTTGGAGTTGGAGTGTTGAAGTTAGAGTGTTGGAGTGTTGGAATTAGAGTTGGAGTTGGAGTGTTGGAGTGTTGGAGTGTTGAAATTAGAGTGTTGGAGTGTTGGAATTAGAGTGTTGGAGTGTTGAAGTTAGAGTGTTGGAGTGTTGGAATTAGAGTGTTGGAGTGTTGGAATTAGAGTGTTGGAGTGTTGGAATTAGAGTGTTGGAGTTGGAGTGTTGGAATTAGAGTGTTGGAGTGTTGAAATTAGAGTGTTGGAGTGTTGGAATTAGAGTGTTGGAGTGTTGGAGTTAGAGTGTTGGAGTTACTGTTTGAGTTTGAGTGTTGGAGTTTCTGTGTTAAGGTTACAGTGTTGAAAAAAAGGTGAACATTTGTTACTTGTTTTACAACCTATACAATGTGAAGTGACTCACCAAAAAAAGGAATACATGGTGGATTTATTGATCGTAACTTTTCAACATATTTCTTGTGATGGTCAGCACTTAACTCTTTCGCAGCATCGATGGCCGATTTTCTTTTTTCAGACAGTTCCTGAAAGAACAAAAATTATTTTAGAATTATATATTCAATGTAAACTAACGTGGAATGAACATTCAACTTGTTTCCTATTGCGACAGTTGTATTTGTGCGAAAAAAGCCCCCAACAAACAACCTGCAAGGCATACTTACAACAAAAGTATGTTGAAGACGATTGATGGCAGCTGATTCCATACAACTAAGAACTTGCATTACTCCACTGAAATTGTTGAGTTCTTGAAAAACCTGTAGATTAAATGAGGAACATTAAGTCATGTAACGAGATGTTAAAGAGTAATGTTCTACTTTGTGGATCATAGATATATCATACAATAGTCATTAAGTAAAGTCACTGGAGGATGGTATCAAAGTATATTTAGTAGTAAATTAGCTTACCATGAGAATATCAACAATCCGACTTAAAATTGCAACTCTTTCCTCTAAATTTTCCATTTCTAGCAGACTTTTCATAAACCAGTAGGTTATAGTATTTGAATGTTTAATAAGTTTTAGTAAATTTGGTGATGTTTGATGTTTTACAGCGTCTTTAGTCCATACACTTCCGACCAACTCCGACGGCTGGACGGCCCTGCGCAGACAAGAGTAGTTTAACTGAGGCTTCTACTTTGAGCTTTGGGTTGTCAATATAACTTTCCAATGATGTAAAATTATTAAAGTTTGAAAAGCACAATCTGGGACGACAAGACTTTCATTTTGATTGAGGGATTTTGCATAAGAGAGATTTTTACCTGTAAAGTTCCGATTCAATAATGGTAAGTTGGCGAGCTATTTCAATAGGGTGAAGCTGGAAAATACAAATGGAAACACACGTCATAGAACTTAAGACTTCAACTTGGATGATCATTCTGTGTTAATTTCCTACCGTTAAAATGTCGAATTTTTCAGGATCAACAGCAATGTGCCATTCAATATTTGGAGGATCACGAGCAAAGGTAATATCTCGTGCTCTCTGCATATCTTCTTGCTAGAAAAACAGCAAAATCATGATAGTTAGCCAGCTGCACATTATAATTGTCAGCAAGATAAGAAAAAATACCCATTAAACAGGATCGATCACATGTAACGGTTTAACGAGATTCGTCATAGAAAACCTTCATGTACACACTACAAAATACCTTTCTCTCAATGATCCGATTGATGCTATCAACCCACTTGGTTACAGCACGACCATTGACACTTGAAAGCATGGTTTTTAACTTCAGAAGAAGCTCTGGATCACGTGAAAAGTCGTAGTAATGATTGTCAACCCATTGTCGAATAACATTGAGTACCCTAGGTTAATAAAATAAACCAAAAATCCGTCTATTCATGATGACAATAAAGGATCACGATCTTATGTCTTCATCAATAAGAATCTGATGTAAATCATCATTTTATATCGTACAATTCTATTAAAATCTTATTTCTCAACGTTTAAGCTATTTTCTTTAAGATAAAATGTTCATTTACCTTAAAGCTACAGGTTGTGAGTATTCTTTGCGAAATCTCTTTAAATCTTCTCTCACGATAAGAGAGCCTCGTTCTATCTGTTCTTTATCGTGTTCGGTTGGAGGAGGTTCGGGAATATTATACGTGGAAATATTAAGGAAGACTCAACGATAAAGAAAGCATAATCTATTCTCAAAATACGTGTAAGACCAGGGGGTTATCAATGTTAACTGATCAAGGTAATCAGGAGCCCCGTGAGTCATTATTAACTTCAATGTTTTAAGGTGAGAAAAACTGTAATCATTACGACCTTTTTTATTTCTTTATTTTGTAGTAGTTAGCCAAATTATCATCATAAAACCTCAGAATATTTTTCTTAGTGCTCAAAAAAAATGTCTTCTAAAATACTTGTCGTATTTTATCGTATGAAATTTGAATATATAAGACACACAAAAAAGTGACATACTTAAATAGTAAAAGACTACATGAAGTACAAGTGGTAGAATTAAGTCGAAAAGGATATCTTGTTATGAGCATGTCCAATAGAGTATGTGGTGTACAGAATGATCGATATGTTGTAAGAAATGTCTTTAAAAAACTCGGATCTGTTACAAGATGAGAATAAATCAATTGTTTTAACAGGAACATGAATAATTGTCAAATTGGAAGACGAATGTTTAATTCTGTAAACAAAATAAAAGTGCTTGCTTAAATAACGAGAAACTATGATTGACTTTAACTTTCATCTTATACGTATTTCATGGACGAGCAAAATATTAAACATTTGAAAATTATACGTAATTTTTCTTCTTAGTATTTATATACACTTGTGAATTTACGTTTCACTAACCTGAATATTTATGATAAGTAAGTCGTTCGATTAATTTAACTAAGGTACCGCCTTTAATAATGGGAACTCCGCCAGAATTCTAAAACAAAAATCAAATTAAAAATTTATTTTGAAATTTACATCAGGTACAGAATGACGTAACGGTTCTCCAACCATAATTATGTGAAAAAACTGTCGATATTCGTTATACATGATATGACAGAGACATTGGGGGCTCATGTAAATACAACACAATGATTTGAATGAGATATGAAGCCAGATATGAGACCACTCGAAGAAACTTTTTTCATCCTCATATTTTACCTGCTTTTCTTCAAAAACTATATTATCTTCTGTGTCTTCTACCGAAAAGCTAGAAAAATTCATTTAAAAAAGTGAAAATGAAACACCATTAGCGGTGGTGTATGTGTGTACGGGAGGAAGGAGGGGGTAAAAACACAAACACTTACTGAAACACCATTAGCGGTGGTGTATGTGTGTAAGGAGGGAGGAGGGGTAAAACACAAACACTTACTGAAACACCATTAGCGGTGGTGTATGTGTGTGTGGGAGGGAGGAGGGGGTAAAAACACAAACACTTACTGAAACACCATTAGCGGTGGTGTATGTGTGGGGGAGGAGGGGTAAAACACAAACACTTACTGAAACACCATTAGCGGTGGTGTATGTGTGGGAGGAGGGGTAAAACACAAACACTTACTGAAACACCATTAGCGGTGGTGTATGTGTGTACGGGAGGGAGGAGGGGGTAAAAACACAAACACTTACTGAAACACCATTAGCGGTGGTGTATGTGTGTACGGGAGGAAGGAGGGGGTAAAAACACAAACACTTACTATCACATTTTACTTACCAGTAATCTTCGACACTTGGTAAACGTAATGGAGTTGCTTGTTCACGATCACGAAGTATTTTATCGAGAATTCTATCCAATGTACTGTAAATAAAGACAACGTTAAAATATTGAAGCATATGTACTTGTTTAATACTTTAGTACTAAGAATAGTTAAAAGCTTATCATACAATAAAAATCTAATTTTAATTTTCAGTTGATACGCTTACAATACATTTACTCCGCAATAAGTTTTGATGAGAAACATGGAATATGAGAGGGTCACAGTAAGGTACCTTTTTAAATAAACACTCATTATAGAAGACATCCATTCATCTTTTTCTTGAAAAGTTTTAAATTTTATCGTTATGGTAGGACCGTCTCTATCCACTATGTCCACCATATGTTTCAGATCTGATAAGAAAAAATATTTACGAGTAAAGCAAAATTTAGACAAACATCTCATCAAACATTCCAAGAACAAACAAACAAAAATAACGTTTAGACGTGAAGTCACTACACTGGATGTAGCATATTAGTTTGCAACATTTATATAAATTGGTTCATCATGGTAAGTGTAGGTGGCAAAACTTTTCAAAGTTCAATTTTCTTTAAATAAAAAATCAATCTTCAAACGCATGTCATGTGACAATGCTCACGTGCTCATAGAGTGCAAATTAAGCTTGTCACAAAACCAAAAGTGCAGCAACGTGCTCTTATGAAGTATCAAAAAATTTAACAATAAATTCGTTGTTATTTTATATTAAACAATACATATGATAAATAATGTATAGTGAACATTTTGTACTTTAAAACGTTTCAAGTTTGAGTACAAAGCGTGGATACTTAACAAAAATTTAAACCTTTGTATAAATAATTAATAATCACAAGACAATAGATACAATAATATCACTTTCGAAACAACGTGCCAATTTGTTTTGTAGTTATTATTTTCTTAAAATAATTTTGAAAAGACAAATTTCCAACGAATATGCTTTCCATGTCAATGACGTAATATAATGCACAACGACAAGATTAGTAATACGTTTAAGACTTAAAAACGTAGACGATGCTAATACTTTAAAAATTACTTTCATTATTTGCTTTCAGCTGTCCATTTTACTTACCTAGAGTATTGAAACCGAAGTGAACCAAAGGATAGTTTAAACAATGTAAATAAAACTAGACTGGACTATGTCCAAGTACTTGCATCAACTATTTTGTGTTATTTGCCAAAACAAAATAACACTAATGTTTGTGATCGGATGCGAGGGCGGATCCTACGTGCAAACTAAACTTTTCTTTAATTGAAAATACCACAAATTTACAATGCTACATCCAGTCCAGATTTAGAGATCATTGACATAATTGGAATTGAAATAAAAAGTCACGTCTTCCATACATAGTTTTTATCGTCCGTACAAGTTACCCACATATTCATTTAGTAATAGTTTTATAGGCCAGGGAAGAAAGTTTGGGTAAGGAGCTTTATCCTACCGGTTGTGTCTTCGAGTTCTTTCACGTCCGATTTTCGCACGAATATTTTTTCCTTGAAGCGATATTCTGGAAATGGCCCGGATGAGGAATGTCGCGTATTCTACAGGGAAAGAGCATCACTGTTGGTAGAAAAAGTAACGTACGTATAAAAAATCATGCTCAGATAACAAGTTATACAAACAAAAATGGCATAAAGGGACGGCGAGGAATGTTCAAGTACATTCCGAATGCCTATAAGAAAACGTATGAACTAAGTAATAGTCAACATGTTTTTATATGATCATCATCCAGGATAATGCAGTCCTGACGAGTGTTGATGTTAGTGTTTACAAACATTTCAAGAGCCTTGTGGTGTGGGTAGTCATCATCACAGTCAAGTGAGGAGTAAACTTTAATGTCGTCGTATTGGTTGTCTGATTCGTAGAGAAAATGTGTGGTTGTTTATTTTATACTGTTGTCATGGATTGGTTAAAATTCATTTCTTCATTTATTTAAAATGAGTTAAGTTAGCATAAGAGCCTCCTCAGGTAAGTCGTTCTCTGTACTTGGTGCTGTATATATACTGCAGAAGCCCATTGAATGTTATGTATCGTCTGTCGGTGATGTTAAGCAATGTGCTTTATTTTTTTTTTGTTTATATGAAGCTCATTTGTGTTTCGTGAGTCTTCATTCATTTCCTGCTAAAAACATGTTTTAAACAGTATTTTTCGTAGTGAAAAGCACCAGGTGAATAACATATGAGCTGTTCACATCTCGCTAATGTTATAATCGTGTTGGCTTTGTGGAATATAGCGTTGAAAAATGATAGGTTTCGGAGTCAGCCCGTTTGACTGGCGTGTTTTATCAAGCAGTCAACAATAGGAAGACTTCGTTTTCTTCATGTTACCTGTTTACAAAATATCATCAAATTATCAAGCAGAAAAACTCGTCTTTCCGATGTCTACAACAAGATTTGAGAAGAAGAATTAATTCAAATAGCATTTATTGCTCATGTGTTTAAGAAAACTTCCTGACATACTCTGCTCCCTTTTGAGATTTTAGTAAGAGTGCCATCTAGAAAAAATATAGTGAAGTATAATATTCAAAAGGACCACAAGATGTTGAAAGCGTGCACATGTTAATATAACTCTTGCTTTCGCACTTTTGATAAGGGAACGATCACAAAACGATGTGAAACTTAACTAACAAAAAAAGTCAAGATGAAAGTGTTGAGAAAAGCTTCACACAAAAGCGTGAAACTAGAATGTCTTGGTTCATACTCGCTCTTCAATGAGAGCAATGCTGCAGGCTTACCTTTTATAATCTCGGTACATAACTGAGTAATATCTTTACCCTACAGAGAAAAAAACAAGACAACTAAACTATAAATTTTCCCTATGTCCTAAACAAAGCGATTACAACAATAAGCGAGTGTAAAAATTAATTAAGAAAGAGTGTCTTCAAACATTAACACGATGACCAAAATATGATGACTGTGTATACAAGATGTTTTGTAACATGAAGACCTTCATAAAATTTATCTATTTGAAATTGGTGATTACGAAAAAGTTTAACAGAATATACACAGTTGATTAAACTATATAATCAAATAGTTCATAGCGTTTTGAAAATAAATTTCTTCTGTAATAAGTTTCCGCCTTTCTGTTAACGTTCTACAAGGATCATAGGTAAGACATAAGCAGTCATTTTAATAATCATAAATCACTACCTACCTCCCATCCTTCGATGTTCTTTTGTAATTCACGAAGTTTTCGTAATGGAGGTTTCCCCAATGCTGGTTTTTTCCTTTGAATCTTTGAAAATTTCTCGCTAATAACGCAGACAAAAAACAAGGAATAAAACAACCTCTGTTTAATCAACGCACTCAAGTAATTTGCCCTACGCCACGGGGAGAGCCTTTGGAAAATAAAATTTGTTTCAATGACGACACTAACTCAGATTTTCGTCGAGCAGCATTTCCTGTAGAGATCATGCCATCAATGTTTCTTTGAAGTCCTTGAATGACGCTCAGCGCCTAAATAAAACGGAAAAAAGTCATTAACTAATTTGATAAAAATTTATATTCGATATCAGTTTACATAATCACCTTACCTCACTTAGACTTCTTCTTTCCTTTTCACTAGGCGTTGTTTTCAACATAGTCTACAAAAGATGGACATTCATATAACTTCATACAAATTACAGATAGTAAGAACTTGTTGATAGTAAGAACTGGTTGACAGGACTCGACATTCAATATCAGATCATTCTTGGTAAAGGACCTAGAATGGACACACTACTGACACTAGAGTATAAAAGAACTCAAGATTCAACATGAAATCACTCCTGATGAAGACACTAGCCTGGAGTATTTAAGAACTCAAGATTCAACATCAGATCACTCCTGATGAAGACACTAGCCTGGAGTATTTAAGAACTCAAGATTCGACAACAGATCACTCCTGATGAAGATGAAAGAGTGGAGTATATAAGAACTCAAGATTCAACATCAAATCACTCCTGATGAAGACACTGACTGGAGTGTATAAGAACTCAAAACTCAACATCAGATCACTCCTGATGAAGAATCTAGACTGAAGTATAAAAGAATGTTGAAAGATTTAAAAAATTAGATTTCTCTTGACAATTCAAGTCATTCAGGGAACATTTCTTCTAATAACTCCACCTTTATGAGATCAATGTAATGAAGACAATGTCCAATGGGTTCCAAAAGTAGTCTTGGTAACACATATCTTACTGCATCGTAGAAATTTGGACCTTTGGACTGAAACGTAAACTTTGAGCAATTAACAAAAGAAGTGGCAAACTTTGTAGTTCATGGTAAGAATAAGCTTTACTTAGAGACAACATCACGCTATTGATGTAGAACAATTTCAAATATCAAAACTTTTTCTCTGCTAAGTATAACAACGTTCATTATAAACGAAAAACAAACAATGTAAATAAAATGATTACGCTACAGACTGGCTGTACTACAGACAGTACATAAAGCAATGAAAACAAACCTGAAAGTATTGAACGACATCCTGTTGCTTTAGCCGTTGTTCAAGGAGACCACAAACACCAAGTTTACGATACAATTTATCTTGAGCAGATGGTTTTGTTCTCTCGTTTAAGTAAGTCTCGTAGCAGTCAAACGCTTGCATCTAAAAAAAACATTTTAATCAATAACTAGCAATCTTGAACAAAGGTTTGCCTAAAATTTTATAGTAATATACATGATTTAAAACAATGTTGACATAACGATCAACGGTCAGAACTTTCCTGATCAAGTTCCTGTTTTCTCACTGAGTAATTAAATTGATAAAAATTTTTGCAGACAAGCTTCCATAGAAATATGTTTACTCAAAGCAATGTTTTGAGCTAAACCAACTTGCATACAACAAGAATGTTGAATTTTGGGGAAAAATATGATTTTTCGACGCTTTGATGTTATAAACGTGAGAATACAAATACCTCTGTCATGTCTTCAAAACACTCCCCTATTGGAGCAACATTTGCTGGATCCTGATCAGCCATTTCTACGGCATTCTCAAGCAAACCAAGGAACATCACTGTAAACTCATAAATGTCTAAAATGTTGGCGAAAATCTCTTGAATATCCTAAAAGAAAATGATCACCAATACAAAATATTACCAACAATAATTCCCTTTTTAGAAAATAGTCAGGCGATCCATAATGAGCAAGTTCAAAGGCATGGAGCGAGTTTATATACTTTGGTGAGTGAAGGCATGGAGCGAGTTTATATACGTTGGTGAGTGAAGGCATGGAGCGAGTTTATGTACGTTTGGTGAGTGAAGGCATGGAGCGAGTTTATATACGTTTGGTGAGTGAAGGCATGGAGAGAGTTTGTATATGTTTGGTGAGTGAAGGCATGGAGCGAGTTTATGTACGTTTGATGAGTGAAGGCATGGAGCGAATTTATATACGTTTGGTGAGTGAAGGCATGGAGCGAATTTATATACGTTTGGTGAGTGAAGGCATGGAGAGAGTTTATATATGTTTGGTGAGTGAAGGCATGGAGCGAGTTTATATACGTTTGGTGAGTGAAGGCATGGAGAGAGTTTATATATGTTTGGTGAGTTCAAAATGGTTGAAAGATCTTAATCACAAGGTTGTAGCAAGTTTAAAAGTAACTAGTATAAAACAAAATGTTTGACTTTATGAAATTAAAAACAAAAAAGTATGAATAACCTCTTCCGTAAAAATGTCACCAGCTTCAACGAAGGATTGTCTAAAAACCTAAGATAAAAAAACACACAATGTTAAAAATACTTCATTTAAGATTGTAACCACTCTTTAGTTTTGAAAAATCGAGTCTGAGTAACTTATAAGTAATTTTAAACATATTTCTTACCCATATTATCATATTTAAAGTTCGTATGTACTGTCTTTCAACAACCATCATGTCTTTTACAATATCTTGATGTGTGTATGGACGATCTTCAATGGACTGAAAGTGTGGCAAATAATTTCGCAAATCAAATCTTCAACATTGCTTAGATATAATATTTTAGTGGTTATAAAGTGAATGGTTTAAACCCGGGAGTATCGTTACATGTTTGTAGATGTAGATCGTCCAGATTAGTGGAGTGTTGAGAAAGACTCTTGATGTTTATTGATATTTTGACAAGCTTAGCAGTAGTCATCTTCTGAGTAAACTGAAAAGTAAACATCGCTTGACTTTTGTTTATCAATAACTTAACTCTGAAGTCAACATTAACATCAACAGTGTTTCTCTGGACTTCACTAACATGAACGATCTACTCTGAAGTCAACATCAACATCAACAGTTTTCTCTGGACTTCACTAACATGAACGATCTACTCTGAAGTCAACATGAACATCAACAGTTTTCTCTGGACTTCACTAAAATGAACGATCTACTCTGAAGTCAACATTAACATCAACAGTTTTCTCTGGGCTTCACTGACATGAACGATCTACTCTGAAGTCAACACTAACATCAACAGTGTTTCTCTGGACTTCACTAACATGAACGATCTACTCTGAAGTCAACATGAACATCAACAGTTTTCTCTGGACTTCACTAACATGAACGATCTACTCTGAAGTCAACATTAACATCAACAGTGTTTCTCTGGACTTCACTAACATGAACGATCTACATCTACAAAAATGTAATTTTGATGTTTTTTTAAAAAAACTGGGAAAGACGCGACATAAAAGATTCTTTTAATCGTCACAATTTATTCCATAAAAGTGCATTGTTGATCTCATCCATGTAAACAAACAAAATTTAAAAATAATATCTACACACACTTAATAACTAAATGAAAACAAACCTCATCCACTGATGACGTTTCTAGATCTACACACACTTAATGATTGAATGAAAACAAACCTCATCCACTGATGATGTTTCTTTAAAAATAATATCTACACACACTTAATGATTGAATGAAAACAAACCTCATCCACTGATGATGTTTCTTTAAAAATAACATCTACACACACTTAATGATTGAATGAAAACAAACCTCATCCACTGATGATGTTTCTTTAAAAATAATATCTACACACACTTAATGATTGAATGAAAACAAACCTCATCCACTGATGATGTTTCTTTAAAAATAATATCTACACACACTTAATGACTGAATGAAAACAAACCTCATCCACTGATGATGTTTCTAGATCGTCACTCTCAAACATTTCTAACAAAACCTTGTAAATAGTTGTAAACACATATCTTAGTAAAATATTGAAGTATTTAATGTAAAAACATTGCCTTTAACACATGATTTTGGTCACCTTATCAGCACACAATGCCACTTTAACATGTTGTTCAGTGATCACAGTATCACGAATGTTTTGCACATAATTACCAGCAAGCTGCACAAAAATATGACAATTAAAGTTCACAAAACTAATCATGCAGGTTTTGCAATCTAACAATACAATCAAATTAAATAAAAACTTTACTTTCAATATGTCAGCAGAGATGTACTCCAGAACAGCAACTATGTACATTGATACAGGATAGTCAATTTTATATCCTAATGCTTCCTAAGATGTAAAAAGAAAATTGTTATTATAAAGCAATAATACACTCATATACATTGTAGTACACTCATATACACAGTAATACACTCATATACTGTAGTATGCTCAATGACCTCAATATCAACTATCTGCATGTAAAATTTTATCTATGATACCATAAAAACTTATCTTCAGTCAATATTTTGTGTAAAATGGAAATTTATGATACCTTTTGTAAAAGTGGATGTATCTTATCAACTGGCAACACAAGTGGATTTTTTTTCTTTCCTTTATCAACAGCCTGTTGTCCTTCATCAATGCACCATTGGTCAATTGGCTGTGGAAATGTCTTCTTAACCCTGTCCTCGACATCTTTACAAGAATGTGGGTGGACAATACATAAGTGACCAAGAAGCTGTATTATTAACTTTTCCACATATTTTATGGCTTCATTTTCAATCTCAAGATCTGGCTGCACTTCTTTAGCAACCTTCGTTAAAAAAAAAGACAATCTCAAATTTAGTTAATTTGGTCATGCAATCAATGTCTAACTAAGGATGATGAAAAAGGCCTGTCTTAGTTACATCCCTAAAAATATGTACACAATGTAACCAAGTAAAATCATAAACATCCCCATACAGACCAAGGAAAATCCCAAACATCCCCATACAAACCAAGTAAAATCCCAAACATCCCCAAATAAAACAAAGAAAATCACAAACATCCCCAAATAAAACAAAGAAAATCATAAACATCCCCATACAGACCAAGTAAAATCCCAAACATCCCCATACAGACAAAGGAAAATCCCAAACATCCCCACACAAACCAAGGAAAATCACAAATATCCCCAAATAAAACAAAGAAAATCACAAACATCCCTATACAGACCAAGGAAAATCCCAAACATCCCACACAAACCAAGGAAAATCACAAATATCCCCATACAGACCAAGGAAAATAACAAACATCCCCATACAAACCAAGGAAAATCACAAATAACCCATATAAACCAAGGAAAATCACAAATATCCCCATACAAACCAAGGAAAATCCCAAACATCCCCAAATAAAACAAAGAAAATCACAAACATCCCCATACAGACAAAGGAAAATAACAAACATTCCCTTTAAGACTAAGAAAAATCAAGAACATCCCAATACAGACGAAGTAAAATTACTAAAGTCCAAAGACAGACAAAGTAATTAATCTTGATTTTGCACAGTCTAATACAAACCAAGGATACTTTTGGGAGAACTTGAGAGTTGATCAATGCAAGCTTGAGACCAAAGGTCAAGGGTTGCATCTGCTCGCGAGGTCTCACAAATGTGTCCAAGGTTTGCATAAGGCAGGGAAAACATGAAAAACATCTTTTATTTCTTTTATAAAATAACAATAATGCAAAACAAATAAAATTAATACAAATATTTTAATTTTTCTTCTAACATAAATTCATGATTGATTTGAAAATTCCCTTTGATTGCTTCATGAAAACATGTTTACAGACCAATCAACAACACATTCTATTGTGTTTTTTCTTATAAACGTCAATGTTTCATAATCCTGCTGATTTAAACATTACACAACATTTTAAAGGAATCAGTTCATTTCACTCCTTCAAAAATCATGTCATAAAATCGATTGTTAACTTATGGTGATGTATAATTTATGTTTGTTGTTCACATGTGGTAAATCTTTTTGTTGCTATGCATGTATGAAAACACATTTTCATTCAATAAATATCTTTGTACAACATCGTACGTTGTTTGAGATATATGTTATATTTTACTTTGTTTGACATTTTGTGTAAAAAGAAATCAAAGATATCAGTTCCATAAATTTCTAGTTAAAGGCCTTAAAACAACACAAGAAAAGGCCACAAGTATTTACCAAATTTTCAAAATGGCACATCAATGCATATGTATTGTTGAAATCACATGAAATAAACCTTTGAACTAAAGGCAAAAACTGCATGCTTATATACATTTCTTTATAAGGATATCTCCATGTACTTGCCAAGATTAACTTATACTTAATTGTTACAATCTCAAGAATCTATCAACAAAGTTCAAGAAATCTCATCAAGTCAACAAATTGTTAACACAAAAATTTTGAGTCAAAAATTGGGAACGGTTTAATTGGCGTTAGATTCTTGGAATACCTCTGTTCAATGAAATATTTGAGAACTAATTCAACTTTCTAGGAAACTCTAGCAAAAAGCGAAATGGAAGACGAGTTCCAATTCTCACATCGATTGAGTAGAAATTTTCTAAATGCCATTCCCGTTAAAACATGAAAATCAAAGTATAACAGAAACAAGATTTGGCAACAGATTTCATTTTCAAAATTTAACTTATGTAAAAATTCGCAAAAGAAGCGCTGCCAATTGCTTCTTCTAAAATGAACTTGTGAAAACAAGGAATAATTATTACAATATCTGACCTTCTTTAAGGTAGCCAAAAAAATTCCATTCCACTTTGACAAGTTTATATCACCTCCGTCAATGAGTGGCATTGGCTCATCAGGAATGAAGAGGTGAAATAAAACTGTTGACGATAATTTGCAAAATATAGTGTACTGACTACAGACGTACGAAGAACATTCAAACTTCAGGTAGAATTATGGAAGTTTACATTTGATCCACCATTATAGTCAAAGCAATTGCACCTTCACCGCATTTTAAATAGTTCACTCTGTGCCCAAATTGTTTCGTCCACAAACCATTCCTTCCAACGCATAGCCTAACCAGTTTGGTTTCACTTGTAACGCAAAAGGATTAGTCCATTTTCAAGATATTTAATAGCAGAAATAGCCAGACAATACCACAACATATGCTTTGTATAGTTAGTACTAGGTTACGTAAAATAACTTGCTGACTTGCCAAGATGCGACATGCCAACCATCGCTAAACATCGACATACAATAGGAAAACTGGTAACGAGTGCCAGACTTCACAATGTGTTAATACGTCATCAGGAGCATTCAGTCATCAAGTCCTGTGGTAAAATCTTTTATATAAATTCATTTTTAAAAATTCTTAGCATTCAAATAAATATATTATAAATCAACAGCAAAGCAACTATATATTAATTTCTAATTAGACATTTAATTACATTGAAACAAGCCATTTTAAAGAAATAGATACAAAGACGACGAGGAAACTTAGTAGAGCTGCTATGTGCTAAAAGTGCTGTTTTTCTGTTAAAATAACCAAAATTTGTATGGGGAGAGTTCTTGAGGTTAGGATCAAAATTGGATAATGGTATAGTGCCATCTCAAAATTGCATGTTTAGTGCTTTGAACCGGAAGTAAAAGTGTAGGATGAATATATTCAAAGAACTTCGGCAAACGTGAAACAAAAAAATTCTTCTTAAAATTATCGATCAATTTCGACATTAAAATAAAATACTTCTAGCAATCATTTACTAGGTATACTGACTATATGGTATTCGACGTTCGTCTCTTGTCTATCAATTCTTTTCTTGAATGAAATTATAATTAGTAACAAGGAAGTCTCTAACTATAATCAGTGTATCAACTGACTAATTTCATCTCATAAACATGATTGAGCTGCGCGTGAACTTTGAACTAAAACGTTTTCCATATCTCCTATCATACATGAATCCTTAACACGCGAATCTTGAAACTGTTTTATGTACTTTGCAATGTCTTTGTTCATGTCTTTGCTCAATATCAAAATGATAGTTTGATGATCACAAATTGTTATTGCTTTAACAATCTGTTGTTGCAATCTTCAGAACACTTTCAGAGAGAGCTTAACAACTGAAACAGGGCTGATATTTGTTGCTATCTAACATCCATTTCCCAGTCTTGCGGACGTAGAATGAAAGGGCTTAACACAAGAGTCTGTCCCAGACATGACCAGTCTCAGTGACGGATTACTAGTTACGGGGCCTGCAGGCTAAGAAAAAAGGATTCAGGCATTGACATGATATCTACGTATTCCTCGCAGTAAATTCAGTCTTTTGATGACATTTGCGTTTTCGTATTCCTCCGTTTTTGTATTTCCTGACTTGTGTTGGTAACGGATAGTGTAAACAATAGGGAAAATTTTACATTTCAAACGAAATATAAAAAATCATTTGGAACCAGGAAAACACATGCACTACTTTAAGAGTTCTGAGTATTGCACATTTAAAAAGCAGATTGCGCAAAAGTTCATTACAAAAACTAGATACTAGTTACGTCTAAATACAACGGGCTTCTCCAAAGTCTGGGCTTGCAAGCTTCAGCCTACTTAGCCTTCTGGGTAATCCGCTACTGCTGAACTAATGTTGTTTTGTTGGTGGGAGAGCATTTGATGGTCATCCTTATGAGTAAGCAACTGCGTGTGACCTTCATTGACTGTGGTTGCATTGCTGGTTCTATAACAAGCGGAAGCTTGCTATTGCATCTCCAAAGTTGGATAGCGTGGAGGGGACGAAATCTCCTATCAAAACGTTAACATGCGGCGTTCTAGTGCCTTGCGCTTAAGAGGGTATCGGGAAGCATGGACCGAAAACGAGGTTTTTTGCTTTTGAATTTTATCTTTTTGTTTACAAGAGTTATTTTCATGAAATAAGCCAAGCAATGTTTCAATTAACTTCTTTTGACACTGCTTAGACAAAAGAATTGCCAGGAAATCCGCCCACTGATACGATGACTTTTCGTTAAAGAAATGTTATATCTCCCATGAATCCATCCATTTATAAGCTGCTTGAGTACAGTTATCTTGATGTGCCATTGGTCCGGACATGCCGTACGAGAGACCATGAAACATGTAAAAACTAAAAACGGAGAAGGAGAAATTCTTTACGATAATTATGAGCAAAACAATGAATGAACAACCGCTTTATTTTTCTTATTATTGTATAAACATTGAGTCATTTTTATTTAGCTATTCATGTTACTTGTTCTTGGAAAGTAGTATAATTTTTGTTTAACGTGTAGCAGTTGACGTATTTTGATCAGGATTGAAATGACGTTGAATCTTAAGTACTTATATAGTCCAGTGTAGTGTCTTCATTAGGAGTGATTTGATGCTGAATCTCGAGTCTTTATTTCGCTTAGCCATATTTCATTTTATGCCGCAACTCATACATTGACATTTACCTTATGATGCACACGATAAAAACAAGCGACACAAGTGAATAATAAAACATAATTCTATAAGCACTTGGTTCCACGTAAGACGATATACTTTGGAATAAATACTCTAAGATAACTCCTAAAATGAAAAAAAACAAACTTAATGAAATCAAGTGAAGCATGACATAATAATGGTATGGTATCGTATGGTATGGTATCGAATCGTATGGTATGGTATGGTATGGTATGGTATGGTATGGTATGGTATGGTATGGAGTCGTGTGGTATGATGCAATATGGTAAGATGAGAAAGGGAAGAAACAAAGAACATCAAACCTGCAAACATCGCACTAAACAAATAAGCTGGAAAGTAGTGATGAAAATATAAAACTCTTCCCATTAAAAAAAATGGAAAGTAATGAAGAGCCCATGCAAGTAGAAGCCAACATATAGCTGTGGTGAACTTTTGCTTGCGAGCTGCAACGTAAAAAATCGTTACACAAAAATAATTAAAGACATATACAACTGCATATTTATTTAACATAGTTTTGAACAATACATGAACTTAATCATTCATTCCTGTCAGTCATTCCATTAGCTATCATCAGAAAAGTTGTTCGAAAAGTATACTAGTTTAACAGAAAATACATAAGAACTCGAAAGACTTCACCAACCTTTTTCTTGCGGAGTGTCGACATAGCCCCGTTTTGTCCGCACTGCATTATAGACGAATATTGAGAGAAATAAAGCGACAGTAGCTAGGATTAACCACCAAATAACCTAAATTATCACAAAATTATACAATGATGTAAGAAACATTAGACTACTAATTATAAATGCACAATGAAAAGAAAAACATGTCAATCATACTTCAGTTAAATATACATATCGAAGGCGAAAACATCTTGTTTTTATTCCGTCCAAAGATTTGTGAACATATATTTCGAACGATCATTAAATGGCGCTCAACGTGGGGCCGGTAAGTAAGTATACGACGGTATTCTAGAACAGCTTCATTCGAAAACCAAAGCAATGTCGAAGGATAATATTGAACGACTTCGCGCCAAACGAGGCGGTTATCGTGGCGTGTGTACAAGGCTTGTAAAAGAAGCACTCGAGCTTCATCGAACGATGTAATGTCATCGCTGAACAACTCGAGAGTAAGATGAAGATCTTAGACGAAATAAACGACGAAATCATTGGGATATGCGATGTAACGGATATTGAACACGAAATTGAAGAAGCAGCCGCCGTCTCGGATAGAATTCTAAGCACTAGACGTAAAATTGAAGCAGCAAGAAAACCGGAGATTTGTCAAGAAACTATAAAAAGAAGGCAGAGTCCTACACCACAAGTCGAACAGATTCCTTTAGTGGTAGAAACAGCAAGCACGAGTAACACAACGATAAGCAACGATGAGAATAACACGAACACGAATGCGCTTAATACGAACACGAATGCGGTAAATATGAACACGATTGCGGTTAATACGAACACGAATGCGGTTAATACGAACACGAATACGGTCTATACGAACACGAATGCTATTGATACGATTACGAATGAAGTGATTAATACGAATTCTACGATTTTGAATGCCCCTATCAGAACAACACCAGCGATAATGATGCCAAAGCTTCCCAAACTTCAATTGCCAAAATTCAGTGGAAAGATCACAGAATGGAACGCCTTTTGGGACTTATACAATGCTACAATTCACAGTAACGAGAGTATGTCTAAGGTAAACAAATTCAATTACCTATTCTCATATATGCAGAAAACTGCTAAAGGATCCACAAAATCTTGAAGAATACAATAATGGTATTACTGAACAATTGGCAGCAGGAATAGTCGAAAGGGTTCCGGCATCTGATAAGGATTGTGGTAAAATTCACTATCTTCCCCATCATTGTGTCATACGAAAGGATAAGGTTACTACGAAGCTACGCGTTGTGTATGATGGATCTGCTACGACGAACTTGCGTAACTTTTCACTAAACGATTGCTTACTGACCGGGCCGAACCTCATTCCACAATCTTTGATTTGCTCGTCAAATTTCGACAAAACAAGATTGGGCTAGTTGCTGACATTGAGAAAGCATTCTTAATGATTGGAATTGACAAGGAAGATAGAGACATGCTTCGTTTTTTGTGGCTAAGGGATGCTAGGGATCCTCATTCAGAAGTATTAAAGCTAAGGTTTTGTCGATTGGTTTTTGGTCTACGACCTTCGCCAGCAATTCTAGGAGCTACTATCAACCATCATTTGAAGACACACGAGAAGCAGGAGCCAGAAACTGTTGAACACTTGAAAAATTCTCTGTATGTCGATGATTTTGTGTCCGGTGCTGAAACCGATGAAACCGCTTTGCAAATATACAAGGGAACAAAGCAGTTGATGGCCAAAGGTGGATTCAACTTGCGAAAATGGAACTCGAATTCCAGTAACGTAGTGAAGTCTATCGAAGCGTTAGAAGGTAAAAAGAATTTGAGCTTGATTAGTGACAAGTCAAGCGTTAGTCAAGATGATCAGTCCTTTACAAAGTCGACAATTGCAAAAGAGTCACTGCTCACGGAACCCACTCAAGTCAAAGTACTAGGAATGGTGTGGGATACGGTGGAGGACACATTTCTAATCAATTTGACTGAAATAATCGAGTACGCCAATTCTTTACCTGTCACAAAGCAATCGTTGTTGAAATGGTCATCTAAAATCTTCGATCCCCTTGGATTCTTGTCTCCTTTTACGATAAGGCTCAAGATTCTGTTTCAAATCATGTGCTTGGATAGACTGGGATGGGACTGTGAACTGCATGGCAATCTGCGTGAACAGTGGAACGTTTTATTGTCAGAGTTAAGGTTTCTAAAATGATGTTCGTGTACCGAGGTGCTTTTATCCACCCCAACCGAAATACTTTACTGCACAAGTTCATGGATTCAGTGATGCATCTGAAAGTGCAATTGGTGCTGTTGTCTATGTAAGAACAGTCTATGAGAATGGTACCATCGACGTGAAATTAATCGCTTCAAAGACAAAGGTCGCACCAGTGAAAAAGCAAACGATTCCCCGTTTAGAGCTGGTGGCAGCGACTGTACTAGCGAAGTTAGTAGAGTCTTTGTTAAAGGCACTCAAGTGGAAGTTTTTTATTGGATTGACTCGATGACAGCACTTCACTGGATACGAAACGATCGAGCATGGAAACCATTCGTGCAGCATCGAGTGAACAAGATTCGAAGTATTTCGTTGACGGAATCTTGGAACTTTTGTCCTGGATCACTTAATCCAGCAGATTTACCCTCACGAGGTATTTCTGGGCAACTACTTTCGAATTCTTCCTCGTGGTTCAATGGACCCAAATTCTTGGCAAGGGACGAAGAAGAGTGGCCAAAACGTCCAGTTGGCAACCTCTCACAAAGTGACGAAGTTCTGAGGGAAATTGTGAAAGAGCATCCGAATGTCGTAAGATCACTAGTTTCGAATGAAATCAAACAACGAGCCATGCCAGATCTTAACAAAGCAATCGACATTACTCGTTATAGCTCCATGAAGAAACTTCTTCGAACAACTGCTTATGTAATGAGATTCATCAACATGTTAAAGAAGATGCCACGGTGCGAGCGAACGACAAACAAACTCACAACCACAGAAGAACTAAGCTCAGACGAAATAAGGAAGGCGCAGCTGCTGTGGATAAGGTCTACTCAACAACTATCCTTTGAAAAGGAAATACTATTCCTTCTGTCAAAGAATGTCAATTCTTCAATACCCATTTACGTTAAGCAATTTGGGCTATTTCTCGACGGTGATCACGTGCTGCGGTGCCATGGGAGACTGAAGAATTCATCGCTGAATCTGGAGAGCAAAAATCCTGTATTGCTTCCAAAGGAATCAAGATTTGTGGAGTTATTAATATACGAGGTTCACCACAATGTGAAGCACAGCGGGATTCGTGATACACTAACAACCATTAGAGAGCATTATTGGATAATCCGTGGTCGAGAAGCAGTAAAGAAAATCGTCAGGAAATGTGTCGTTTGTCGTAAAGCCGAAGGTCTTCCTTATGGGGGAACGCCTCCTCCAGATCTTCCTGTTAGCAGAGTGTCGGATGATCCCCCTTTCACAAACGTAGGTTTGGACTTTGCCGGACCTTTGTTCGTACGAGAGAGTTGTGAAAGGAATAATTTGTCAAATAATCCAACAAAGGTGTATATTCTATTGTTTACGTGTGCGTCTACTAGAGCCATTCATCTGGAGCTCACTCCTTCCTTAAGCGTTCCAGCCTTTCTCCGCGCGTTCCGCAGATACGCTAGTCGACGAGCACTGCCAGCTCTTCTTATTTCCGATAATGCTAAGACTTTCCGAGCTGCATGCTTAGAAATTCGCAAGTTATGTCGTTCTGAGGAAGTGTTACGCTATCTTGCAAACCATAAGATTACATGGCAATTTATCGTCGAAAAGGTCCCTTGGTGGGGAGGCTTCTGGGAACGTTTGATTCGAAGCGAGAAACGTCCGTTGCGAAAGGTAGTTGGTAGAACCAATCTAACCTACGACGAGTTGCATACTATTGTGGTTGAAATCGAGGGCGTAATAAATGCACGACCCCTAACCTACGTGTACGATGATGAAGAAGCTGTATCTCTTCCGCTAAGCCCGTCGCAACGATCAAACAAAACGTATCTTTTGGAAGGTGGCGAAAGTTGAACAATTGTTACTAGGTGGCGATGGAATTACACGAGCTGCACAAGTCAGAGTCCTTCGTGGAGACTCTAGTCATTCACACTTGTTGCGACGTTCTATCAGGCAACTTATTCCAATTGAGGTTCATCAGGAAGAAGACAGTAACGAAAGAGTAGAGAACGATAAGAAAGGCGAAGAAGAACAAGTGCTTCGTCCAACTGATCGACCACAACGCAGCGCGGGAATAACAGGACAATTGCGAAGATTGCAGAATACAAACAAGCTCTAAACAACTGTACATTCTTAGCTAAAAATAGTTTTCTTTTTTTTGTTTTGTTTGTTGACAACATTTTATTATGTCAACCCTGGGGAGTGTAAGAAACATTAGACTACTAATTATAAATGCACAATAGAAAAGAAAAACATGTCAATCATACTTCAGTTAAATATACATATCGAAGGCGAAAACATCTTGTTTTTATTCCGTCCAAAGATTTGTGAGCATATATTTCGAACGATCATTAAAAATGACAAATAACTGTAGCAATAAAAATTTTCAGTGATTGATTTCAAAGGAAGAAATACAATATGTATATGAATGATTTGTTTCTTACCGGATTCCCAAGTAAGTAAACACGCTGATTTCCACCAGAGAAAACTTGACCCTAGGATAAAAATTTCTTTTTGAGCATTTAACGAAGTTTTTCTCCACAGTTCTTTCTAACAAGTTTTCCGCTCATAAAAGTTAGAAACGGCTTAAAAAAATTTACCCTATAGTTGATTGGCCACTGCCATGGTTTTGATGTCACTTCACCTTCTTTCGGTTTAAAACCGCTGTTTGTCTTGAAATGAAAATAAACAAAAATAAATCTGAATATGGTTATGTCGAAATCGTTGAATTTATTAACTAATGAACCATGGATGATAAAAAGTTTTAAACGAAAACTGCATTGAAAAATTGAATAATGTGAATTAAACGGCAGCGGTTAACACCTGAAAACAATACTGACCAATCAAACTCGAAAAAAAGTACAATCGTCGATCTTGGACGCTTGTAAATAAAATAGAAATACCTGGGCCATGACGGCATGGGATTCAAAAACACTTTCAAGAAAAGACGGGTGAAATAATTCAAAAAAAAACTCCTTCAACATTTCCTTCTCCTTCCAATTTCCTTCTCAGCTACATTTCCTTCTCAGCTACATTTCCTTCTCAGCTACATTTCCTTCTCAGCTACATTTCCTTCTCAGCTACATTTCCTTCTCCTTCCTTCTCATATTCCTTCTCAGCTACATTTCCTTCTCCTCCTCTCCTTCTCAGCTACATTTCCTTCTCAGCTCCTCTCCTTCTCAGCTACATTTCCTTCTCAGCTACCTCTCCTTCTCAGCTACATTTCCTTCTCAGCTACCTCTCCTTCTCAGCTACATTTCCTTCCCAGCTACATTTCCTTCTCAGCTACCTCTCCTTCTCAGCTACATTTCCTTCTCAGTAATCTTACCTCGATTGTTCACATGAGATTCAACATTCCATTTGCTGTTACTGTGCGTCTGTACTGGATTACACGTCATCTCCAGTTGCTCCCATCCCCTAACAAAAAACGATGAGTTATTAAATGAGTATCAACCAAGTGAGACTAAGCCTTAGGTATCGTGTTACCAAAGCAGTGTCGTGTTTTGAACAAAGTTCAATTAACTAAATTAAGAAGGTACAACAGCGGCAAATAGAATAAATATTAAATGCAATTCAATTTTCAATATGAATATGATAGTCCTACATTAAATAGATCTAGATATAAAAGAACAAAAAATGTATAATTACACAAGGCTTAAAATCTATTTAAGATAGTTATATATTCACATGGTATTGAACTACACATTAAGGTTAAGACATGTTAAAGTAGTTTAAAGGGACCTTGAGTACAAGAGAAGGTTCGCGCTTATGTATGAGAAAGTTTTCGTAGATCATGAGCTCGTAATTGTCAACGAAAGAGAAGAGACTCAAGAAGTCATTAAAATCGGCAGTATGAGCTGTGTTTGTTACATAAGAAAGAATAACGGTAGGTAGATGGTAGACAAGAGGGTCTAGAAGTCATATATTTGAATATCATATTCATATCTGAAACTCTCTTTACGCCATGCAAATCTCTGAACACTAACCATTTTGGTAAAGTATTTGTTCCACCATACAATGCACAACCCGTTCCAACGTGTATAAGACGAAAGACTGTCTTCACAGTCTTCACAAGATCTCCGTCTTTGCCATTAATGATTTGAATTTGCCAGAAATCATTGCTGTCGCCTTCGCCGTTCTATAGAAAAATACCAAGGCTGTAAATTTCACTTTATCGAAATGAGTTTTACCATGGAACTTTATGACATTTTGGTCAGCTTGAACGCTAATTTATTGTCATATTCTTTATTATTTTTGGGAAATTTTACAATGTAAAATAAAAGTTTATGCAAAGTACCTCCCCATAACATGATACTTGATAATGATGTTGAGTTAATGCAGATTTCTGAGCATGACTGTGAAGATTTCTCTTTGTACTAAAAACAAAAAGAAAGCTAGAATGATGAAGAGGGTATTATTAAAGCAAAGAAAAAGAATCATAATGGTACAACGTAACAAAACAATTAATATTTCTTCGAATGATAAAACATCCGGGTTTATTTCAAAAGTTTCTTTATCACTTATTGAAAAAAATTATTTAGCAAAACATCAAATTCTAAAGTGCAAGTGGTCACGTGTGATATTGTCATGACAACACACGTCAAGAAATATAAATATTACTAAAATATGTCATACAAAAACTAGAAATTAGAAAAGGAGGTAGACAGTAATAAGTAAACAAAATGTAACATGAAGTATTCACAGCATATTTCACATTAAGGTTTGCAAGACTTACGGAATGTGCTCAAGTCGAATAATATCCAAATGTTTTACGTACTCTACAGGAGCATTTGGATCTAATAAAGAAAACAGCAATATAAGCATCTACTCATACATCTACAAGCAAATAAATGAGTGAATCACAAAAAATTTGCAGAATATACAGACAAGTTTTAGTGCTAACGTAAGAACTGCAACAGTTATTGAGGACTAAGTGAGTGTGAAAATACATTTTTTTGAAACAAGTCAAAGAATGAAGGCATGCCCAATCTGAATTCATAGATACGGCAACGACTAACAAGCTCACTTGGTCAAAAATTATAAAAAAATCTTCTGAGCATGTGCAGTACACGGAGACCGCGCCTTCCTCTAGAGCCGGTGAACCTTTTCGCGCTTCTTTTGGAGTTAAAATCTCCTTCTAAATGTTCTAATTGGAGCAGGTTATTTGATGTCTTGAAGTTTGTTAATAATGTATACAGTTGAATAGCTTAGCAGAAGTTGAAATCTGTCACGTAACGTCATGATTCAACATCTTATTTTAAAGATATTATCACAAAAGGGGTTAAAGCTAACCATATGATTCTGTAGACTTCTTTACCAACCAATCATTGTTAGGATCTTTATGTGAATAACCAGTCACTTGCTGTTGTGTAGGCGGATGTTCCTCTGGATACAAATGATGATGAGAATGAAGCAATGCTCCACCTGGGCGATTATTTTTTAACGTGATCATCGAACCGTAAGCCAAATCTACATTGAAGTAATACATATGTGTAAAATGCTGGTTAGTATCCAAGGTTTTTATATAACATTTAAAACTAATCATTTGCAATCATTATTTTTTATTGTCCATTCTCATTATCAATCTGATAAAATTGTCAATCCTTTTCAATCATTGCCAATCGCTCTTTATCCTTTTTTATCCCTCTCAATTTTTCTAAATGCATACTTTCCACAGAAAAACAATTTATTGGTGATTAAATCATGGTACTTACGCTCTGGTAAAGACGTCTGATACAGTTCGTTTCCTTTCAATGTCGACTGAAATGCCGAACTGAAAAAACCATCACCAGGACCACTAAATAAATATAATATTATATAATATATGAGTCTGGAGTGAGAAAGATTTAACCTCATCATGTTGTGTGTCTAGCAGTTATAACACAAACTTAACTATATAAAAACTTTGAACATAATGGAAGAAATTCTTCTTTTGTAAATTTTGTTTTTAACTAGGCTAAAAGAAAATCAATTTCAATATTCATTCTGTTTTACCTGGTCTTAAGGATGGTGAAATGCACAGCAAACCAAAAGAGATAAACAAAGATAGGAAGCAAAATAAGACAAACAACTCTTGCCATAAAATGTTTAGCAATTGAAAACAATGACATCCCTAGATCACCCAACATGTTCCATAAGTCCACAACAGTAACAACACCAGCCCAAAGAATGACAAAAAGTCCAACCCATTTACAACTAAATGTCAACACAAATTAACTGTTGTCAGACAATACAAGTGTTATGGAAGATCAAGTATGTTGATTTCTTATGCATTGATAATTTTAATTACAACATGAGATAATAAATGTTAGTTCTTTTGAATTCTAACAAAAGAAAACCAGTCCATGTACACTAAATTCTTCAAGACTAGAATAAATCTGTAGCTAAAACTTCTTTTGTTACCTACAGTAATGACAAACATAGTTAAATTAGCAGACATTAAAGTATATTGTCTTACCTAAAGGCATTTGCCAAATTGATGCCAGATAAAGTCAACCAGAACCACCATTCAAAACTCCAAGGACTAAATGTTTTAAGAAATTGGACATTACAGTAAAGTACAGTTTAAAAATAAATAAGAACAAATCTACCTAAACTTATCACAATGAAACTAAAAACAGTTCATATTGACCAGAACAAAGAGTTTTCATAATGTTCCAGCCATCCTTCAGCCAACAAAATATAGCAAGAATAGTAAAAAATATCATATTATAAACTATACCTGCAACTATGCGTTTGAAATTTTACCACACAAAAAACAGCCAACATGATATAGAACATGAGAATAGGATCCAGTAGGATGTATTGGGATATTGTGAGGCAGCCAGTATCTATAAAGATTTGCATCCAAGAAAAACAAAGTAGGTATAAATGGAAGTCTTCTTAGTTCATTCTGGGGTCACAAAAAAATCCTTTATCACTATGTGCTAGAACACACAGATTAGCAGAATAAGTACTTTTTAGCTCAAAAAACTATCACACTTTACTTGTATTTTGATTTTAACATAAAGTAGTAAAAGACAGTAATAAATTTATAAGGGAAAGTACAAGATCTTACCAAATAAAATAAAAGATGCAGACATCAATGATGCACTTGTTGAACGTGTCCATTCCCACACAATAAGATATGCCAATGGAACACACAAAGAACCCATTACTGCACAAAACTAAAAAGAATAAGACAATCTCGATAAAGAATAAAGAGAAAATAAAGTAATATAACTTCCCACTTACGTACCACACGCATTCCAATGTAAGTGCTATCATCATATTGATCACCAGGTTTTTCAAATGGAAAATGTCCATCATAACCTGTGAGTAAACCAGCCCATGCAATTGACATCTAAATAAAATATATTTGGTTTTTGTTAAATGTATTTGCTCCAAGTTAGTCCTTTGCCCAACCGTTATTCCAACACCATAAAAACAGTGATACATATTATAATACCTACCTTGGCCAATGGTGGATGAACATCAAAGAAGAACTGTCCGGCAATGTAGAAATTTGCATGCTTTCCAAAATGGGTTTCATCCCAGCTAAAGAATGGTCAAAATTAAAATGGTTTTATATAGATAAATATATGTAACTCAATGTTATCATATTAAAGTTTCTGTTTTTAAAATCTTTCTTTAGTACATGTGTAGCATTTTAACTGATATTGTATATTGAAATTCTACTTTCTGGATAGCAAATTTTGCTTTTTAAAACAGTTTGCAGATTCAACTGCCTACATGTACGTATATTCTAAAAATCTAAGGAGTTTTATCACAAAAATTTAAGCTTGCAATTCGATTTGATAATTTGAAATGATAAACCTACTATGCATCCAAATAGAAATTTTTTTGGCTTTAATCTTTATTATTACAATTCACAAGTATTTTCTTGGTCACTTCCACTGACTTGAGATGCTATATACTTTTCTCATACGTAAAACTTTATTAAAAACTCACCATATATGTTTGGGTTGGTTTATTACATAAAATCTTGTGATGAAAGTAAAAATTGTCACAGCTATAAATATTGCAGTTCTCAAAACATGACTAGGTAAAGACAACCCAAACATTGGACTGGATTTTTGTTTGCACACGTATTGAAGCTTCTTGGACACAAAATCCTCAGTATTTTTAAGCATTTTACTTGAGCAGTCCCGTTCCATAGCATATGCCCTTTTTTCAATTAACAAAATTGTTAGATACTTTTGCGAAAATAAAATATATTAAATAAAGTTTAGCAAACTTTTTGCATAATTTTCAAATTCAATTAAGAAATCGCACTCTCCTTCTTTCTATGCTAAAAATTGCGAATACTTGGTGTTATTTTATTATATTGACGCACGAGATTTTAGACAAAGTCCTGAGAACGAGAGTCATAAGTCAAGTCGTCAAGTCATTTACTCTTCATAGCCAAGCATCTATTTGATGGAGAATCGTGCTTTTCAGAGTTTCAGAAGCTGGCTCTGATTGTCAGGTTGTTTGGTAAAAAGCTTACTGTCAGTATTCTAATTCTAACCTTTTCATTCTCTTTGTATGTTGTTTTACCTAGGCTGCAATGATCGAACCCAGCTAATAAACTGAGAACTTAGAAATCTGGTTTGTTCTTAACAAATAGGTTTTTAATTCATTTACAATATGTTTTATCTTGTCTTGCATGATCATTTGTTAAAGTCAGAAAGAAAAAATAAAGGCGTGGAAACCTGTGAGTCACGTGGTCTCAGACTCTTAAAAATGAACAAATTCTCCAGTCATTATAAAAGCTCTTTAAAATTTCTAAAACTCACCAAATATGTCTTGGTTCTGTTAGTTTATGATATCGAGAAAACAAAGTCAACAAAGTAAGAACAAGCAACACTACAACGCGACCAACATTTGGCGTACATTCACCAAAGATCCATTTCTTAATAAATAGTGAATTTTTTATCTTATACCATGTCATGTAAGCAAAACCTTTTTTTTCATTGTCATGTCTGACAATTTTCCATGTGTCTTTTCGTCGTTCATATTTAGTTGGTCGTCGTCTGGTTTACACAATTTCTTTTCATAGGTCTGCTTTTCTACGGCATTTCTCCTGTCATCATCGTTACTTTCTAACGAGTTCGATTTCTTACTCTTGCTTGCATTTACATTGCTCTTGTGAAACTTTTTCTTGGCCATTTTTGATGGATTTTTATTGGAAAAATAAGAAAGACTGCATTCAAAGTTAATACGCGTAAAAACAAGCTTTTCAAAAACAAACTGTAGTGTTTGTATGTTACGTTTAATTTTCAATACATTTATAATGCTGAAAATAATTAAATAAAGATACAGAAAAGGACGACACGTCGATGTAAGAAATTTTCAACGTCATAAATTCTTCTTATTTCATGACTCAATGCTATGGTAACTATGTTTATTAATGTATCTTTTTTGTTTGGAAATCATTGAACGTACAGTGTTAACAATCGCTGTCGAGTAAAGTCTTTACATAATTTGAAATACAGAAGCATTTTGGCGATAAATTAGTAAGATCGGTAAAACGTACCATGTCATCAACAATCATAACGCAGCCAAAAAAGCTTTCTTGACCGTCAGTCAAAAATATACTTCACGGAAAAGGACCGAAAATTTCGAGAAAAATTCTCACAATTAAAGATTTACATACAAGCCGGCTTTTTCGCCTCGCTTTTGACTTTTTGGTTCATTGATTGAGCAAGATGATAGAACATACTCAAGTTGATTTTTCAATATGTGCTTGTAACTACACATCATGATATTAAATGCATAATGAAATCTGATAAAGGTTTAACTCGAAGCGATATCCCTGCGGCGATATTTGTGCATATAACTGTGCTAAATAATTATGTTTTTAAAGAATACTGCACAAAGTTAGTATTCTTCTTATGCTGGTCAATAAGCAATTATTGAGGTTGAGCATGATATCAATAATTATTCAGACCGATGTCATTGTTATATCAATAATTCTTGATATCATGCGACAAAGAATTCAATAATTGTTTTATTATTCACTGAAGTATTATCAAAACATATCAATATAAAACATTTTTCAAACCTACGCTAATTTGTTTTTGTCAGACTTATTTTGTCAGATTAGGTTTATTCAAGTTCGTCTCGTTTAAATATGTTGTAAATGTGTTCAAAGCCAGCTTCGCCGCTTTTTTAGTGTTTTCCGCATCCTTTTCCTTTAAAATCTTTCACATCCTTTTTAGAAACTGTGGCAAACATCGCTGTTGTTTGCTTTGATTTTTTTCAAAACCTTATTTTAATGGCGGCCATATGACGTCATAACCTACAGTATCGAGAATTATCTGCAGGTAGTTGACCAATCACAGCCGAGAATGCTCACATAGTGAAAAATAATACAAATTATGGTGTCGTGCTGTGTCGTGCACTTGCGTCGTGCTGCCCGTGCAAGGTATTTATTGGATTTGTAGTTTGCACCATCTGGCCATACTGACCATACTATAGAAGTAGGTTGTACCGACGTTGTGTCGTGATGTCAAAAGAAAAGGTGTAAGTTCAGTGGAAAGTCTCTTTTTGTGACAAATTAATTGTCCTTCTATTTTTCATATAATCGTTGCTATTTTAGAGCTAAATTGGATTGCGTGTTCATTCGTCGCTTCAAAAAATGCCTTGCGATCATGTTTCCTTCGTGGACGGAAACTTCAACCATTCTCTTGGTTCTCCTTTTAGGCCTATCCTTTTTACGTAAGTAAAAAATTATAAAGAAGATGAAAATTTATGCAATGTTTTATTCATGATTTATGTCACAATCCAATTGCTGGCCAGGCTGCAGAGATGGTGGGCAATTTCACCTCAAGATTTTTTAGGTGACAAATTTTAGGTGCTTAACAGTAAACAGAAAAGTAACTAAATTTAAGCCGTTTGAGTACATTTGCACTGCTGAGTCCACTCCTGGTTTAATATTTTCTACCTTACCCCCCTCCCCCCCCCTTACCTCCAAGATCTCAGCAAAACAGATTTACTCTACAGTCTGGAATGTGGAATATGCAAAATCATCAGGGAGGGTTAAGGATGATCATGGATAATTTGTGTTAGAAACAACAAACACCAAGAAATGAAATGGTTGAATTTAGTCTTAAACTGCAATACTTAAAAATTATTAACATCTTATGTTCATGTTTCATTTTAAGAACAAGCATTGTACTACAATTCTGGTCTTATTCCAAGTCAATATATACAAGTGTTAGTGGATGAAGATCATGCTGAATTTCAAAATGTTGTCTTCAATTCTATTGTTATAATCATCAGTACTGCTTTGGTAAATGGAAATATTGGCACAAGTTTTGTATCATTATCTTTTGTTTTAAGTTTTTAATTTTTGTGCTAGTTGGGGTGTTTATTGTGAATAATCAACATCTCAGATCACCACTTAACTAATTGATCAATTTGTTTAGCAAATTTAACAATTTAAAGATTTTGGGGAAGGAGTTACCTTGTAGTTATTGAAAATTGACTGAAATTTAAGTTACTCATTTCGAAGGAAATACATACTTAATGGTGAATAAAGCATTTTTTTCGTAGTTAGGTAGTTTACATTTTGATTGCCTTGCATAGGAGTTGTTGTTTTAATTTGGAAACAAGTTAACAATTATGAGTTTACTATTTCAAACTTTGTTCTCATAACTGGAGTCAACTGTAAGCTTGGCTTATGATTCCCATCTTTGATAAGATTCATACTTGCAAAATTTTAAAACATCAGCAATGTGCTATGAGCTTTGAAATTGCAAGCGATTCTTTAACTAGTGTGCATAAAGTTGAGTGTCACATTAAAGGTTTTATTAATCATGCATACCTAAAATGTCTAGGTGAAAAGTCTGGTGATGTTTGTGGGTGGAATCCTTTACATTAATTGGCGTGGAAGTCTCACAAAGTTTATCCACAAATTTTACTTTGCTGACGACAACTATTATAAACTAAATGTCTTACAAAGAGACATTGACAACTTGTAAGTATGTCCAACTACATTGCAGGCAAACTTTAGAAATTCCCCAAATAAACGTTTTGTTATTATGTCACCAGAGATCAACGTATCACGCAAGATGTTGATAAGTTTTGTAAAGAGTTCAGTACCATTTTCTCAACTCTTGTCATATCCCCTTTTATCATTGGTTATTATACATATCAATGTTATGACAGGTATGGCTACCAATTCATTCCTTTCTTCACTTTGTTTTTGTCACAAAGATAATATAAGTATATAACATTTGTACTCTATAGTGTTTTTACAGTTTTACTTGATTATTGAGAAAGATCACTCTTAATGTAGAACTGCGGTATATAAGAAGTCACGATCAACATCAGATCACTCCTGATGATGACACTTAACTGGAGTTTATAATGACTCAAGATACAAGCTATACAACATCAGATTACTCCTGATGGAGACATTAGACTGGAGTATATAAAGACTCAAGACTTAAAATGAGATCACTTCAAATGAAGACACTCTGAAGATGAGCATCAAAATTCAGTACGGGAATTTTGAACGCTTCATTAAACTAATTAAAATATCCTAGTACCAAATACATCGGTGTTGTCAGTATTTATGGATATTTTATCCTTGGAACAATCTTCAATAAGATTCTCATGAGTCCAATCATTAAACTGGTCTTTCAACAAGAAAAACTCGAGGGAAATTTTCGGTATGTATCGATCTTTCCAACCTTCTACATTAGTTGCTTGTTGTTTTTAAATATGCTGTGAAACCTTGATAAAAAAAAACCTATAACATTAGCGTTTGTGTTAACAGATTCAAGCACATGCAAATTCGTGTCAATGCTGAATCAACGGCGTTTTACAAGTAAGTACATCAACTATCTTTACTTTCCACTCTTCTCTAATCCCCGCATGCAGTTAATATATGTACTTGCACAATTGTACCTATGTAGGCACATTGTATGTATATGTATGTGTCGTTCACTATTGTTGTTACCTATTTGCTGTTGTGAAATGTGCATGAAATGCTTACGTAAAAATCTTTTGCACTGTTGAAACTCGAAAGTCGTGTTTTTTCCCATTTTTTCAGTTCTAGTCTGTTGGAAGAAAAAAGGACAAATATTAAGTTGGAGGTATACCTAATGTTTACTTCTTGTTGCCTGATCCTTTTCTTGAGGAGATTTGAATTCATTCAATGCAGATTACCCTGTAGGCTATGTATGGTGACCTGTGCATTCTAGAGGTCCGTGCTTTCTAGAGGTCCGTGCTTTCTAAACATGATTGGTTTTGCTTTTTGCTATTCCAGAGTATTAGATATTAATGCTAAATGCGCATTATGAGGACCATTTATTATGTTGAAAACTGTAGAGACGATTGAATATTGTCAAAACAGATGATTGTCTCATCTAATTTTGCCTGATGTCGCGCTCCTAAAGTACAGGCCTTTCCAAGCTTCCCTGACCATCTCAATAATTTGCGAAATTTAGTCCTGCAATTTCGTCTTAGCCTACCGGCCCGTAACTAGTAATCCGCCACTGATCCAATGTTTGGACGTTTTTTAGAATTTGCTCCGAGTTCAATATAAATTGATTGCGTATCAATTATTTCTTCAATGTACGTTCTTATTTTTATGTACAACTTTAGAAACATTTATAATAAATGTGCTACATTTTAATGTCAATTATTTCATTTCATTCTCTTTCTTAGGCTCTGTAAACTTCTTTGATTACTCAGGCTCTATAGTCAGTTACATAGTCGTGAGTATCCCAGTATTTAGGGGTGACTTTCACCATCTCGATGCGGGCGAACGGGCTGCAGTTATTAGTAAGGTATCATGTAAAATGTTGCAAATGTATGTAGTGTGAATGTTAATTGTGTAAAAGAATCATGAGCACTTTTGATTTACCTCATATTTTTTTTAGTATTCATTTGTATCGATCTATCTCGTCAATTCTTTCTCCCAACTTATTGATTTGTCCAATAAAATTTCCGACATTGCTGGCTATATCTTCAGGTATGTTTTGGATTTGTTAGTTTTCACTTGAGTGGCAACATATTTTAAGCGGAAAGAAATGGAAGTTTTGCTTTGAAAGTGCATAGTATAGTACTGCTCATTATTTCGTATTGTCATTGGACGGTTAAAGATTCTGTTTTTACTGGTTTCTAGCGTTGTAATTTTAAGGCAGCATCGCCTTTCATATTACCATATTACAGATATTTTACGAGGCAAGAGGCTTCAGATACATTGTATTGTCAGGCATTGATTCCATCTCCACAAGCACGTGATATAAGAATCTTCATAACATAATGATGTATGTTGTGGAACAGGTCTGAAAGAATAGAAACAGAAATAAAACAAATGTTCAGTTAAGTTAGTTCTTGTATTGTCTAGAATTGGCGAAGTTTTGGAGTATTTTAAAGATAACAAGAAATCATTTGGCACGTCGTCTCAACAAGGAACTGTGTTTATTGATAATGACGATGATTTGTCAGACGGTGTACTATTCAAATTGAGAAATATCACATACTCTACACCGTTTACCTCTGATAAACAGTTAGTTAAAGGTAAATATCAGCAGTGTATTTTTAATCTCACGCTTAAACACCGTTTTATCCTCATTCATGATGTCACGTTAATGTTGTAGGTGAGAAAAAGGTCGATTATGGACATTTGAAAATATTAGCTACTCATAAACGTACTTCCATGTTCATAGATTTAAACCTCGAAATTGTACTAGAAGAAAATATTCTAATCAATGGAAAAACTGGTGAGACCAACTCACTTTAGAAACTGCTAAAAAAACGAGTTGTCTGTTAAATATTTTGTCTCCAATTCCAAGATATTATTAATGAGTATTTTACAAATTTTCACGATTCAATAATCGTTTATTTGTGTAGGTAGTGGTAAAACATCGCTGCTACGAATATTGAGTGGAATTTCTCAACCTGACTTCGGTAAATATTTATTTGAGAACTGAGCAATTTAACTATATCAGAGAAAAGTTTTTTATAAAGCTTCATTAAACCTATATTCATAGGTAATTGACCGAATTTGATGTTATGTACTAGCTTGTCTGCCGTAAAAATATTCATTGTTTTTACATTGGGTTTATATGTACAATGGGCTCTTCTTCCAACAGGAAATATTCTGAGGAAGAAAAGTGTTTTGGAAAAATTGTCTGTCCTGTTTCTGCCTCAAAAACCGCTTCTAACCGACGGCTCTTTAAAACAACAGGTTATAGACTTAAATGAAGTATTTTCGAGTCTCCTTTCATTTTCTACAAAATCTCCAAAATTTAAAATAAGGTCATCCTTATCCATTCAGGGGTTTAACGAAACCTAAATAGCAAAATTGGAACAAACATTTCATTTTTTTACGGTCAGTTTTTCTTTAGGTCATATACCCAGAAGATGAGGATGCTTGTTTAGACGATCTCCTTGGTAATTTTACTTTTTTCATTTCTTTTAAATTTATATATCTTCCATGTTATGTATACAACTCTTGTCTACTTTACTTCCATACCATTTAAGAATCAAGAAGAAACGAAAAGATCGAAAAGTATCTTGAACTCGTTAATATGGTGAGAGAAGTGACATCTTTCTTTGAGTCTTTGGGAACATTGGTACTTATTCAAACTTTGACAGGATGTTCATTCTAACAATTTTTTATGACTAAAGTTTTCATCATACAAGAAAGATGAGGACGAATTTTGTTGACAAGATAATAAAATGAACGAATAAAGAAATTTGTCATACAATATCAACGACTTTAAAAGTTTACGACTTACGACTTGAAATATAATCGATTTTGTTCTTTCTTGTTCGTCGTCTAGACTGAAGTTTGTCAACGTGTTGGTGGTATTGATCATAAGGTTGAATGGAACTGGTAATAGAGCGATCTTTTTGCTCATTCGTGTTCAATTATCACGGAATATTTGCGCTAAAGTTAAAACTGCTTCTGCTAATATTATATATTTGCACAATTTAGGCTGATTTCTCTTATGTAGGGAGGATGTTTTGTCTCCTGGTGAGATGCAAAGATTGTCGTTCGCACGATTATTTTATCATCAACCTGTTTGCGCGGGTAATTATATATTCATTACTAACCCTTTGTCTTGGTGACAACTTCTTACACCTAAATCGTCTTCTTCATTTATAATTTTTAAATACATTTATTGTAGTACTTGACGAGGCCACTAGTGCGTTAGATGTAGAAACTGAAAAGGAGATGTATCAACTGTGTCAATCTTTTGAAATAACACTCGTCTCTGTAGGACATCGTGACTCATTACACCAGGTGAAAAAAAAGCTCTTTGTGAACTGGTAAAGTTGTTATGCTATCTGTTTTTCTGGCTCACAACTTGTAAATTATTTCTATTTGTCTAGTTTCATCGGAAAATTTTGTTTCTTGATGGTAATGGTGGCTGGCTACTGCATGCTCTTCCTCAATCATGACATTTTTTTATTAATCTTTGCGAAAAATTAAATGAAATTTGTTTTTATCTTCTTCAGTGATTACCAAGCAATAACTGAAGCTGTAAATTACTTTAAAGGATTTATTTGCTATTAATTTCTGTTTAGTGAATTGAAAATCATTATTGAACTTTCGCTAAACTTTCTTTTGTTTGTTTTAAATTTATTAATTGACGAAGTAAATCATCTGTTTATACAACTAAAAAAAATACTTTAAAAGAAACACACAAGATCTTCATTTTGTAACTTTGACCTTTAATAATAAATTTTCAACAAACCTTTTATTTTCAAAAGATTAAACCACTAAATAAGTCAATCATATGGACTCAACAAACAATAAATCTACAGTGTCAGTAAAATTAACTAAATAAACCATCATCACATTTTTCCTGTAACTTGGAATACACATAATGCATATCCTGGTATAGATAAATCTTTCATGTTGACAAAACTGGGCTTTACATCATGTGTGTAAAACTTTAGTTGTGCCTTTTTTATACCCAGAGTATTTTCAAGATCAATTTTTGCTATGTCTTTGACAAAATTGAGAACTACAGCAAATCTTGATGTTTTATCATTAAATGTAAAAGCAAGCACATTATTTGTAGTTTCGATAGTGAAATTTGATAATGGGGCATCCAAGAGATCAATAGCATTCTCCTTACGAAGATTTAAAGCTTTTTTTAATGTCTTCAAAATGCCAAGTTGGTCAAGCTCGACATTCGTACGAGATACATTACCAAATTCACCAAACCAAGTCTTATTGGAAGACGTAAAACCTGCAAATGTATAAAGGTGGAATGTTAGAAACAATACAGTACAATGTTATGTGATACACATTTCAACAACAAAATGACATTCATTATTATTATGAAATGTAAAGTATAAAATACGTACCTCCTTTCTCATTTCCATTCCATTGCATAGGAGCTTTATTGTAGTCCACTTGGTTAACAAGTGGGCTTGAAACATCTTTCATGCCAATTTCATCCCCATAAAATAAAATTGGTGTCCCAGGTAACACCATTAGAAGTGATTGCAATGATTTGGCCAGTTTGTAGTTAACATTAGATGCAACACGTTGATGAAACAAGCTGCTCAGTGTCCAACTAGGCCAGTTTCCCTTTCTGAGTTTGTTAATATAACTATCAATGATGTTCTTAAAATTTTTAGCATTGTAAAAGGTATCTGATTTTTCTGGTACAAGTTTTAGGTTAACCACAATGTCTAGCTCTGGTTGGCTATTTGTTCCATAAAGTTCAAGATTTGTTGGATGTGATGTGCCCATGAGAATGCTATCTGGAAGAATCTTCTTTGTTGAGTTATGCCATTTTTGAACAAGCATATGTATTTTGTCCCACTCTACAAAAATACATAATCATAGTATTAATAACCACCAGTTACTGTCTTTGATATGTTCGTGTTGGTAATGAATAGACACAACACATGTCACTCTCTGATCATGCATAATTTATGAACAACCTTTGCCCTCTAAAGTTCATTTTTGAAACAAAGACAATATATGATGCAACATTTGACTTTCACATGCTTTAAAGAACACCTCTCTATATCATACAGTTTTCCTTCATTGCACACCTTCAACTTGAATTCTCCCAAACTATACGACTAAAACCTTTCATAAAATTATTTAACATCTACATTACCATTTATTGGATTTCCAACAAAAAGATTTTGAATAGAAACAATATGGAAACCATCCACGTTCTTTTTAAGCCAAAACTCAAAAACGCTTTCCATCTCCTTTTGAACATCAGCATTTGTCCAGTTGAGGTTTGCTTTGCTATGGGAATCGCTTGGATGTAAATAATACTGTCCTCTTTCTATGTCATTGAACCATTTTCCTTTTGCGCTAGTTTGATTATTGTCCATCCATACATACCAATCTTCCTTACCATCTTTACGCTGTTGGCTTGAATTAAACCACGGATGTTTTGTTGACGTAACTGCAGGAATGAAATCGATGATGACTTTCATATCTTGTTCATGTGCACTCTCGACTAATTTTGAGAAATCTTCTATTGTGCCATAATCGCTGTTGGTGTCTTTAAAATCTATGACTGAATATCCGTAATCAACAGTCTTGTCGACATGGAAGATAGAACTTAGGTAAAGTATATTGACACCGAGACCTTTCAGATAGCTAAGCTTTTCGATGATTCCTTTAAAGTCGCCAACACCGTCGTTCTTTACAGAGTCTTTGAAGGATCGAGGATAAATGTTGTACATAACACCAGATTTGTACCAAGGCATTTTCTTTTCGGGCTTGCATCCTTCTGTCGTTGCCATAAGAATAACTATTAACAATAGCAAGAGAATCACTACCAAGGCAAATATGACCATAACAACAATACGATGAATTCTGTATTCGTCTATTTCTTCACGGCTTGGTTTACGAATTCCACCGCCAGGCTCCTTAAATTCGCCTCCATCGACCATTTTTACTTTGTACTCGTCGCCTTTGCTGAATTCCACTTCTCCCATATTGCCAACGTTTTGATTCAAGATGAAAAATGTTTCGAAAAATTGATAACACAGTTCTTCTCAAAGCTACCTACAAACTGAACGAAACGTGGCCAGCAGAAAACGAATATTGTTATTAATCATATGGTCACGTGGTGACATTGCACGTTGTATCCATGTTGTATCCACCTGCTAATTTCTCACGTACGTCATTTAAGTACGAATGAGATGACTTCACACGTACATTTAGCGAAATTTGCGAAAAACGAATGCTTCATAAATGGGGAATCCACAGAAAAAGCAAAAAACAAATTAGTCTTTTTCTCTTTGGACAACTTACTTCAAACATCATTACTGCAAACCAAACAACCATGTCATGGTCTTACATTTTTATAAATTATGTATATAAAATTTTTTCTGCACTCATTTAGTAGGACTTAGGAGTACATTCAATATGTGTTGCAACCGTTAGCTCATGCCACTTCTTTTAGTCTCGGCACTTGCATCTTTTTACAATTTTTTTCGTGGCTCGTGCTTCTCACACAAGACCTCGTTTCTCTCAGAACCCCAAAAGGCCCAAACTTTCCTGCGTGTTTCTATAACTCTATAGAAACAAGGGAAATTTTCTATTAATTGCAAAAACCAAAAAGAAAAAGAAAGTCAAATAAATAAAATTACAATAATTTGTTTTATGGTTTTTCGTCAGCCGCGCTGTAGAGGCCTGGGTACGAGATTGAAAACTATGGAAATATCATGGAAATATGTGCATGATCGTCATATGATTTTCTTTTTTTTTTATTTATTAGGAATATCTGACAAACTAATAGTATTTCACCGTCCTATGTCCATGTGAAATGGATTTTGAAATTTTTTTAACTGTGTTTCTCCTATATGTCTGCAAATGCTCATTATCATTGCCAACTTACAGCGATCCTGTATTTACACAGCCGGAACAAGTTCACATATCGGCAACAGGTAAAAATCCCTCTTCATGTCACTATTTATGTTCATGTTATCGTTAAAATATCATCAAGCGGACTAGTTAATTTCTGATAAATTTATGGCCAAATTTTAAATATGTAAATTTCATGTCTATGTCTAGGAGATGAAACAGAAATGGTTATCACTTGGGTGACATTTGCAAAAAATGTCGATTCTATTGTTGAGTATGGTTTGGCTGATCATGCACTAGATGGAAGGAAGTCAGGATCTGCAACAAAGTTTACAGATGGTGGATCTGAGCATCGTATTTTGTATATTCATCGGGTTAAACTTACAGGCTTGAAACCATCCACATTATATGGTATGTTTTTTTGAGCTGTGTTGGTTACATCATTAGATTATTAGCTGGGTAGGTTGAAACATAGGGGTATTTGTGGTGGAAAGTAGCGGTGTGCAGGTTGAACCATAAACTTGGCAAGAGGGAACATAAGAGTTTGTAGGAGGAACATAATAGAGGTTAGGAACAAAAATAGGCATATTGGCACAACTCAACTTCATAAATTGCAACAATGATATAATTAGCACCAGACTTCCTGATTAAATCCCCTTTCTTTTGTAGTTTTATAACTTGTCATATGATTGTCATTATAGACTATCACTGTGGAAGCATGCAAGGTTGGAGCACAGTTTTCAGATTTAAAACATTTCCAAAAGGAAATAAGTGGAGTCCAAGATTATGTCTCTATGGTGATATGGGCAATGAAAATGCCAAATCTTTGGGTTATATTCAAGAAGAAGTGACACGTGATGATTTTGATGCCATCTTACATGTTGGTAAAGATAATTATGATGTCTCATGAAGCAAGGAAACCTGAGGATACTCTAGGATACTTAAGGATTTTCTAGGGAATTCTTCGCTACTCAAGAATACTCTAGAATAATCATGCATGCTTAATGTTGTTTCATGAATTGTAAATTATTGAAAATCCTGAGGACTTTCACCATTTTTTTGCAGGTGATTTTGCCTACGACATGCATACGGTTAGTGTAAAATAAATATTATTTTCTATTCTTCCTTGTCACCATTTGTCACTTGGGCAGTGAACCAAAAACTACTGAAAGGGCTCAAATGAAGTTTGATAATGGCAATAAAGAAACCATTCAATATTTGTTTAGGATAATGCAAGTGTTGGTGATGCCTTTATGAACCAGATTGTTCCCATTGCATCAGCCAGACCTTACATGACATGCCCAGGAAATCATGAAAATGCCTAGTAAGTACAGTCTTTGCCAACAATTTTGCTTGAACTTGATGTACATGTGTGTCTGCACCCTGGACATATCACTCTTTTCCAATTAGCAATTTCTCCAACTACCGTAATCGTTTCTCAATGCCTGGCGACTCCGAAGGCCTGTACTACAGGTAAGTGTCATGTAATTATTCATAGTCATTGTTATTTTGAGTTAGAATATTTTCTATCTTTCCTTCATTATAGATTGCAATTAACACTGGTTTTTACTTGTTTCCCTAATTTTAAGCTTTAAAATTTTAGCTTTTTTACATTTTCTTGTATGTTGCTATGTATCCTCACTACAACATAAACTCATGGTTTTGAGAAAGGCATTTTTATTCAAAATTTTCTGGAATGAGTGAAAAAAGTTGATTGTTTTAAATATTGTTTTTATTTCTTTAGCTGGAACATTGGACCGCTACACATAATCAGTATTTCTACCGAAATCTATTTTTATGGGATAATAAAAGACCAGCACATGTTAAAAAATCAATTCAATTGGCTTAAAAACGATTTAGAGGTATGCGTGTCTTGTCTATTGTTAAAAAATCCAAGGGCAATACTTTATCATAAATTGCAACAGCTTAGTGAGACAATTTTACTTTGGAATGTAGATTGCAACATCACCAGAAAATCGTAAAAATCAACCTTGGATTATGGTGATGGGACACAGACCCATGTATTGCTCCGACACTGATAAAGATGATTGTACCAAAAATGATAGTGTTGTATGTATTTACTAATTTGTTAAATAAGAACTCAAGACTCAACATCAGATCACTTTTGATGAAGATACAAGATCCAGTCTTGAATCAGAATGTAAGAACTTGATATTTAACATTGGATCACTCAAGATGAAGACATTAGATTGGAATATATAAGAAATCAGGGTTCTACATTGACACAACACACGTTATTAAGCATATCGTTTGAGTAAAAAAATACTAAAGATTCAACATGTGACTATCCCTGATGAAGAAACAGGACCTATATAACATATTTTTAATAATCCCTAGGTTCGTACTGGCGTGTCACCTCTTCATTTGTTTCCTTTAGAACCCCTTTTTTACAAATACGGTAATGTTGTAAATATTCACAAAATTTCAACTAACCTTCATTTTTTATGAAAACGCTGCACGTTTGAACTTTTTGAATTATTTCGTCATGTGTACTGTAGGTGTTGATTTATTGATCTGGGCTCACGAACACAATTATGAACGGTTGTTTCCAATTTACAATCTAAAGGTATGCCATAAAAAATAACATTTTACATGTTATACAACATTCATTCTTAACGTCAACGAATATAACGTCAAACGAAACATTTAGTTGTTAGTAAGAACTCGAACAACGGTTTGTGTGTATTTATTGGACCATTTTATGAAACAAGTTAATTGTGAAAAGTCTATCCGTCATTCTTTAGATTTTCAATGGTTCGACTGAATCTCCGTACAAGAATCCTGGTGCACCAGTTCACGTGACCACAGGCTCGGCTGTAAGTCAATAAAAATTTTGCTGATCGTCCATGTTCAGTATATGAAAGAGAATGAATGTATTCTACTGATTCAACTGGCCAAATGATTAACTTCTTGCAGTAAATTTTTGTGCTACTTAGAAATATTGTCAAGAATGGTTTGGAATATCTGAATACTATTAATGTTTAGTTTATCCTTTAGTGTGCAAGAAAAGATTCCCAGCTAATTAAAAAAGCTCAAATTTAATACTTTTTCTTTATGTTTCTATATTCTGTAGCCAACTGGTGATTAGTATAACAGTAAAGCTTTCAGCCAAAGCTTTGCAGGCGACGAAGTTTTTTCTTACCGGATATTTTGTATATTATGCAGGGATGCAAAGAGCGCCATGACGCATTCACGAAAGATGCACCATATTTTACAGCGTTTAGAAGCCGTGATTACGGTTACTCAAGAATGACTATTTACAATTCAACTCACCTGTATTTTGATCAAATCAGCGTTGATAAGGTTAACTAAATTTCTTTGTAGACACTTCTTGATGTATGTTTCCGCGTTTTTTTTTCAATGCGCAAACAGATTACCTGAATAAATTCATTATTTTCCATTTAGGGTGGTAAAGTTATTGACAAAATGTGGCTGGTCAAAGATTTGCATGGACCGTACAGCTAAAAAAATATGTAACATAAATGTAGATGCATTATCAAATGCAAATCAATCAAAAATTGTTTACCCAACTGAAATGTACATGATTGTTAGCAACATGAAATGTTTTTACTAATAAAATATCAACTATACTTCCTGTACAGTTTTTTTTATATTTAAAACGTTCTGACGCTGTTGATTTTTGATGTTTGTACGTTAACAATTATCAACTAACACCTACATTATCTCACGGGACGTGGTACTCAACATCTCCCTCGTTGTCGCGCAACTTTCGTATTTGAAGCGCGTTTTCCTTTTGATGGAAAATCTGGAATTCTTGGTGAAAAATCAAGTAGAATGTGGTCGTGCATAGAAATTTGTTTTTTATAAATTTCGGACAATCTCTTGAAGTTGTCCTCAAATTGGAAATTTCGAAAATTTCGATTTTTTTTGTTCCTTTTAAACGATTTCTGGTTTCTAGTCTGTGAAGATTTAATCGTCCACACTCAACCATCTACACATCGAAAAAATGGCGGGTCTTTGGTCACAATATTTTCAATTTTGCGGACCTATGAATAGAAACGCAGAGCATTATTCTCAAAGTCCAAGTGGTAAGTGAAGAGCAATAAGAGAAAGAGGAGTAAATTATATTCATCCATTTAGCAACCATTAGCAACAGCGGGCATTCGTTTAGGTCGTTCCATTTTGACGAAGAGCATTCCCGAAATTCAAACTGGTGTTTTTGGGCGAAAGGAGAGCGCCCGAAGTCTGGAAAAACTTTGACAATTTGTCCAATTATGAACAAGAACAATTTAAGGTGGAGTCAATCACATTCATTATTCCTAAATCAAATTTAATGGCATAAAACAAGTTAAACATGAAATGTTCGAAGACAACGTTTTCAGTGTTAAATCTCAATTTTAAAATCGGATAGTGCTTGCGAATTCCGACAGTTTTGGGTTATTCAAATATGTTAGAAAGTTTGTTATGAAGCACTATTTAGCCAATACCTCAAATTTAATTTGTTCAGTTAAAATCCGAAATTTAAAAAGGGCATCACGCAGATTATATTCTTGCCAACATTCAGTTTCTTGTTTGTCTTCGATGACTGAACTTCTTTACTGTTTTCTTTCCTTTGTCATTTGACTACTTGCAACTTTTACTAGGTAAATTTCATTTGACTAATGGGGAGATTCAAACTCACGTCAGTCCTTAGTATAAACTCGTCCATCAAATAATGTCTTTCTGGTTGTCGACAGTTGTGCTTGTCGACATTTCATGATGTTCGCTGTTAAATATCGTTTGATTTCCTTAATTAAAATTAAATAATACATTTATTTCACCCATTGTCTTAAGGACTCTGGAAACTCCACATAATTACACATTTGATAGTTCATTGAGCAAAGTTCATTGGTCAAAATTCGCGCGTTTTACAGTTTTTTAAAATCGTTTATTTAAATTTCCATATTTTTAACGGTTTTTCATCGTTATGTACAATACACTATGCAAATAAAGATGCCTGCACAGATTATTCTGACAAAAAACATTTTCTCGGGCATAAAGTCAGGTCGTGTTGAGACATTAATAAAAAAAATTCTCAGAGAGAAAAGTGAAATGTCTTGATCATATCTAGATATATTGTTTGTTGTGAAGCAATGGTTATTTTATACCATTATTCATTTCTTTTACAATTCAATATTTACTGTTCGATGCACATTTACAGTTTGTCAACTTAAAAATACTAGCGCTAGATTTCTTATTCTCCGTGTACATGTCACGTCACGGCCGCCATGTTGGTGGTTCAATATAAAAGAAATTTTATTAATGTTATGGTGGGGAAGGCACCACCTGGCATGGGCGAGCCACATTGTTTGATAATTCCCGGCAGGTTGGTTGCAATCCAAGATTGTAGAGGCTCCAAAATAAGCATTTCAAACTGTACACTATAAACAAACACGGCTAGTCACGAAGAATATGATAGTTTACTTAAAATACTGTCAAAGCTGAGCAAGCGAATCGACATACTTTTGAGTACGCCAATGTTTCAGTCAGTAATTACAATATTACTTATCGTTTACATAAAAGTAAAAGTATCATTTAAAGATTGTCATGATGGACATGGTGTTACCATGGGGTGTTACGTAAATATCCTTACTTATCCATTATACTTACATTGTCATATTTTCTCATTCTGATGAAGGCTCGAAGCAAGAAGTCGAAAGCTCAATAAAATAATTTTTTAAAACAATCCGGAATAACTTTCATTTTTTATGTATTAAATGCTTGGATTACCAATTTTCAAACTTATTCTCATAATTATATATATATAAATAATCTTCATTTTTGGTCTAGATTGTTCTTGTTATGTATAAAGGTAATTAGTTATTATATATTATAGATCAATTATACAATAAAAGTGAAAGAACAGCATAAAAGGATCGACAATTCCGAGTAAAAAATTAATGATGAAGAAAAATGACAACGTATAGAAAAATATTTTCTTCATTATCTTTTGAGGAAAACCTTTTGTAAATTATACTGATATTTGTGCCGTTTCCGACTGTTGCTTTCCTTTTCCTGTTAAAATATGCACGATTCACAAAATAAAACGACCTCCCAGAGTTTCTCTGTAGTACATCGAACAAAGGCTATAAAGCGTCGTGTTCAATTATTTACAATACATTCATCGAGACGTAGTTTGAAATATTCTGAAATATATTGAAATATGGCACTAAAAACGCCAAAAGGAAGTTTCTATCTTCAAAATCGATTTAACGGATTAGTACTTCAATTAGATAGCACTAACAAAGGTGGAAACGGTGTATGTTTGAAAGAAAAGGTTGACGACGGCTGCAACGATCAGTTGTGGTATAAAGATGGAAATTTCATTAAATCTCAAAGCAATAATTTAGCATTAACTATGAACCCAGGAATTGCTGCAGTTGGTGGGAAATTATACGTTGCCTGTTGTCAGTGGAGTCCTTATCAAAAGTGGATCACTAAACGTAATTTGCAAATAGCGAATTTAATGGAACAATGTAAGAACTTAAATAAGTAAAATCAAACAATATGTCAATAAATTAAGATTGATTGCTTGAACATCAAATAATTTATGTTCAATTGAATCAAAATGAAACCATCCATTTAGCTAAATTCTTCTATTTCATTTTAAAGGTATGGTTTTACAAACAGACGAAAATTCTAACGTTAAAGTGAAATTAGAAAATTGGAAAGAGGACACGAAACAACTTTGGGATTTTGTTCCGTTAACAGCGGAAAACACGAAAAAAGAAGATAGATTTCTATCAAAAAGCACAGAAATAACTGAGATAACACTTTAACAAAACTTTAACAAACTATTGATGTGTATAGCATACATTCATACTTCATTATTCTATTTACAAAATATATAAGTTACTTATGATTAAGTTTATGAATTAAATAACTGTTACATACAAAAGAATGTTAAATGCTATCACACCGGCCAGCGGTTGCAAAAGTTCTGACGTAAGGGTAGCATGTGACTGTGTGTAATGTGAATCTTGAATGGAATGGGGTTGCAAAATAACAGTCTATTTATATATTATTCTTTATCATCCAGTAATCAGTCAAGACAGTGAAACATTATAAAATGCTGACGTTCAACCTTGTACTCACGTCATGTCAATCACGATGATTTCAGTGTGCTGATGATTAATATCGTTTAATGAGGAAAGATATCGCTTTAATAATCAAGTACTATACTTGCATCACCACTCAATCAATACAGCATTTAATACAATATTCCACATTAATCATTGAACAACACCTAAAATTGAAAAAATCACTTTTACGAACACAATTTGTATTCCAAGTCATTTGACTGGTTGCAACTTTTGGTAATAAAAACTCTTTTAATACATTATATTGACGTCATCTGAAAGTTTGCGAAAGACATTTAGAGCGTGGTGCGTCAAAACTTTCAAAATTTCGTGGTAGATTTAGTGTACCTTAGACTTGAGACCAGATGTTAATTAAATTATCAAGACCTAGAAGATAACCATCCTCATGGTTGCCTTCTTTCCACATACTACGATGAGTGAGTTCAACACCCTCCTCGACCTTCGTTGTCTTTGCAAAATCAATCATCCAAACATTGACGTTGCCTTGTGTGTCATGAACGAAGAGCAGTGAGCTGCCAATTACCTAATAAAACGTTTAAATGAGTAATGGTAGAGGTAGTGAAGGGTAGGAACCAGTAATGGTAGAGGTAGTGAAGGGTAGGAACCAGTAATGGTAGAGGTAGTGAAGGGTAGGAACCAGTAATGGTAGAGGTAGTGAAGGGTAGGAACCAGTAATGGTAGAGGTAGTGAAGGGTAGGAACCAGTAATGGCAGAGGTAGTGAAGGGTAGGAACCAGTAATGGTAGAGGTAGTGAAGGGTAGGAACCAGTAATGGCAGAGGTAGTGAAGGGTAGGAACCAGTAATGGTAGAGGTAGTGAAGGGTAGGAACCACTAATGGTAGAGGTAGTGAAGGGTAGGAACCAGTAACGGTAGAGGTAGTAACAAAAGCAATCCACCACTATACTGCTAATAATTTCCTGTTATGTTACTGTCAATAGCTTTAAATATAAAGTAAATGGTTTGAACCCGGGAGTATCGTTATATGTTTGTAAATGATGATCGTCCAGGTTAATAAAGTCCCGAGAAGGACTGTTTTTGATGTTGTTGACTGACGTTTCGACAACCTTAGCGGTAGTCATCTTCAGAGTCAAAAATTTTTGACTCTGAAGATGACTACCGCTAAGGTTGTCGAAACGTCAGTCAACAACATCAAAAACAGTCCTTCTCAGGACTTTATTAACCTGGACGATCATCATTTACAAACATATAGCTTTAAATATAGTTGCACCAAGTAGATAATAAACTACGTACAAATCATGTGAGTCATGTGCTGTGCTCAAAATAATGGCCAAAATGTCTTAGGTCAACTCAAGCTGGTTGGTCAACTCAAGCTGGTCGGTCAACTCAAGATTGTTCGATCAACTCAAGATGGTCGATCAACTCAAGATGGTCGATCAACTCAAGCTGGTCGGTCAACTCAAGATGGTTGATCAACTCAAGATTGTTCGATCAACTCAAGATGGTCGATCAACTCAAGCTGGTCGATCAGCTCAAGCTGGTCGATCAGCTCAAGCTGGTCGGTCAACTCAAGATGGTCGATCGACTCAAGATGGTCGATCGACTCAAGATGGTCGATCAACTCAAGATGGTCGATCAACTCAAGATGGTCGATCAACTCAAGATGGTCGATCAGCTCAAGCTGGTCGGTCAACTCAAGATGGTCGGTCAACTCAAGATGGTCAATCAACTCAAGATGGTCGGTCAACTGAAATTTTTCTCGGTCAAAGTCAGTTTTTGACTGATCACTCATACACATAAATCGCATGTTTGTTGATGTATATCGTCTTGGTTGATGGAGTCCTGAGAAGGACTGTAGATGTTAATGTTGCTGTTAGTTTGACAATCTGATGGTAGTTAGCTTCAGAGTCAAGTAAGAAGTAACTTGTACTCTGTATATCTCGCTTGACTTAGAACTTTGATTTTGACTACCATGGTTGTCAAAACATCCATCAACATCAACATCAACATTAACAATCTTTATCAGTACTTGACTCGTATATCTCACTTAATGTTTTAAGCTTTAAGATGTTCGTGAAGGTGTGGATAGTTTGACTTACAAGGTAAAAAATTGGTCAGCCAACAAGCTTTTTTGGTCAGTTATTGTTTTTAGCCCTAAGATGGCAGTAAACATACCTCGTGTACTTTGAAAAATGATGATGATTCCAAAACAGCTCTTACAGCTTTTAGTCTCTGTATGTATTTCAACTAGAAAGTAAATACAAATGATTTAAACAGTTCATATGGTCTTTGAAATACATGCAAACAGTAATGTGATGTAGTACCTTGATGCTATGGTCGTTATCAATAAAATTTTGAAATTTACTACTGACATCTTCCATGGAACATGTTGTTTTGAAATCCTTGTTTGGTATATCATTGGCTTTCTAAAAAGAGTGATATTTCTTATTCTTAATTACTAAAAAAATCCAAGCAAACCTTTCAGAAAATGCATAGTTAAGCCAAGTTAAATAAAAGTTTCCATCAAGTGACAGCAGTGTTATTACCTTGATTCCTTCAATCCTAAAGCCTAGAGTAGCAGAAGAGCTAAGTTCTTCTCTCCATTTCATGTATCTGGGTTTAGTAATACCACCATGTTCATGTTCTTCCTCTGTTGGTGCATTGGGATCAATATCCATCATTTTTTGATAGAGATCCTGAAAATCAGCATGTACTAATCACTACCATTGAATAAATGCAATGGTGCCAAACTTGTAGCGGAAGCTTGAAGGAAGAAAATCGACAGATGATACTTAATGTAATTATGACTGACCTGTCTTAAAGTTGGCTTTTTTCTTGCTTTTTCTAATTCATCTTCGGAAAATGTCCTTAAAATAAGAAATAGCTTGAGTAATAATGAGAACAGTGTTTAGCATGCACATCAACACAGACACATATCCTTCACAATACACCAGTGTGTGCAAGCTCCGGTTTTGTAAATCCTGAACTCTGGCTTTGGTTATTTTATAACTTGAATATCTGTTTGTGGCTGGTTGATTTTACAAGTCACTGTACAGTTTAAGGCGTATTGTTAGTACAGAATATTGTTCTCAAGACATACCTTACACCCATTTTGCAATCCATCACAGATGGTGAATCAAAACCATAAAGAAGATCTTGTAGTATTAGATAGCCTTTACAAATCAGTTAAGAAGGTCAACTAAAATGAACTGATTTCAAGCATTAAAATGAATCTTTTCTCAAAGAAGCAAGGGGTAATAATGATGTGTAGATTTGGGGGTTTTTTCTTGTTTTATTTCCATGTATATGTGCACAAGCAAAAGTAAGGATGATGAGATATTTCCCTTTAAAAGTTTAATTAAACACAAAGGATACTTTCATTAGTTTTTGAAACTTCTCCCTTAAATTCTGGAACATAAGGCCTCAAAATGTCTTTCATAAGTTTCAACAAACAATTTCTCTCAATATCATTGGCTTTCTTTAATATTGTCCCTGCTTCTCCAGCTTTGAAATTCCCTGGGTAACATATTATAAAGATAATGAACTTTTACATCATAAATAACTTATAATGTGTGGCAGTAATGTAGTTTGTTAACATTATAATATAAATATTTAATGAGCAAAATGCATAAAGTTTTTGTTAACAAAACAATAATTAATACCTTGATGTCCAGCAAGCTGTATCCAAGGTATTTTCTTCTTATAACTCTTAGCAAATGGAGTCCAATACATCATTCCTCTAATCTTATTCCAATTGTTTACTTTCAGTCCATTCTAAAAAGTAGGTATAACATTAAGATAATTTGAACAAAATGAAAAACATTGAAGCATAATAAATGCTTGGTGTTACATTTGAAATTTGAACTCCCAGTGATTTAAAATCAAACATTATTTTGTACAACATATTACAAATTAAGAAGGGAAAGGTTAATAATAGGTATTTAACCTGTCTTTCAGGTGACGTAGTACGTATTTCAATAAACAATTTTCAAAAAACGTGTATTGTTTATACACAGAATACATTCAAGAAAAATTCTTTCATTCCACGACTAAACAATACATCTAAAACTTCTAAACTTGGAAAAATTAAAATTTAACAGTGGATCAAGTACGAAACGTGACATCAAAACAACTTTTACACAATATTATAAATTTGGATTGTTGAAATTTCAAATTCAATTTTCCCACCAAGTTTCAAACCTATATTTATCTAATTCTCCGTGGTTGAATAGGCCTCTTATTTCTATAAATTTATATTGTCACAGTGCACTAGTTAAAGCTCGCCATCACGATTCTTCAATGGCAAAATCTACATAATTAATCTTCTATATAAATAAAAGTCAATGTATAAACTAGATTTCCTGATACATTAAATATTCAATACAAACTATTCAATTATGTGCAAAACCTCGATAAAACAACCTTGAATAAATACCAGATATGTACCTTTTCATAATCTGCCTTTTCATCTTTAGTAGAAGATCCTTTAAATTCGCACTCGTCGTCACTTAATCCTTCGATTTCCATAATAATACTGTCCGAACTACACGCCGAACCTTCTCTCGTGAATGGTGGTCTATTTCCATCTCTTTTTCGACTGAAAGTTTCAGTATTGGATACAGGGTTGCCTTCAGTGCCATTTGATAGAGTTTTACCTATTGCGGTCCTTGGTATTTCACTCTTTGTATCATTCATACTTTCTGAATTCAACTTAAATTTCGGCAGATGGCGATGACGAAAATCATTAAATGGCCGTTGTTTTGCTGCGTTTTTTAGCTCACAATCAGAGCATGAAGAAATAATAGGTTTTATCGTTTCCGTAGTAATGTATTTGACTGTCTTAGGAGACTCTAAATTCGAAAATTTGCTGACAAAATCGCCATTAGTCGCATCGTCTTGCAAATGCTCTTGATTCACCGAAATACTTTTTGTTAACTTATTAATATTTAACGAAGTAGATTTGCTGATCACACTTGATGTGTTGTATTCACTCGGTCGCACATAAAATTCCGTGCGACTTTCCTGCATGTTATCTGTGCAAGTCTTATCAAGGCATTCTCCATAACTCCTAATAAAATGACTCTTGCTTTTAGCAGTACAATAACTTACAACGCTTGCCTTTGCTGTCATGTCGTTGATTTGAAAAGAGACCTCACTCCTGTGCATAGAATTTGTTTCATCGGTTATTCTTGATGTGACTACTTTTTTTTGTCCATTTTTTTGCACTTGATGAAAATGATGTAAAATGTTGTCCTCGCCTCCACGACTTGGCGGATGATCGACTGCGTGAATCGTAACTTTATATCTTCTTTCACCATTCATTTGATCTACTCTGATGTTTATTGATATTTGATGCTCTTTACACCCACAACAAATATATTATAAATATATTACAGCATGATGTCATTTTCCATAAACCGTGAAAAATTTACTTCACAATAAAAAATTTGCGTTTCTAAAGATGATTTGGCTTTTATTTTTTAATATTTTTGAATTGTACAAGTCCTACGGCTCGATGTGAACATCACATTTATTAAATGCCAAGGGACTGTTATCTTTTAATCAATTTGATGTTTAAATAAAAATTCCGATATTCTGCTGGTTAGAACGTTTGATCAATTTACTAAAATAAAAACTTTTCAAGAAACTTTCAAAGTTGTATTTGTTGTTTAACTAAAAGGTGGATCATCAATAACTTTCTGCGTCTTTTTCGCGTTCAACTACTAGTCATTGAAGTGAATTCTTTTACTTCCTGATGACGAAACTATTACGGCATAAAAAAACCGCCAAAGGTGTTGCCGTAAAGGTGTTAATGCTTCGAAAGTTTAAGTGCATGTGCATCATAGTATATAAATGACAAATTTTCCATTGACAGGAAAACAAAGATTAATAATTAGGAAGGCCACGTTTTAAGTAATAATTACTCATTCATAGATGTCAGGTCTGAATATTGTTAGTAAGAGATGAGTTTGAGCAAAAATGATAAATGGTCATTGCAAAAGTTTGCATGCAATAAAAAACAGCTTACAAATCAGTTTTCATAGCCAACTATGTAATATCACTTTGCCTGACAGAGTATAGTTGGGCTATTATTGATGTAAATACAAGCAACCCAGAATTTCTTTCTTTACATATATTAAAAGCAACATAGTTCAACATGCATTAAAATGATCTTTTAAACTCAGCCAGGCAGCAAATGCTATAAATCATCTCCTCTTGAAATGCCAGTAATTACTAGTCCATCATCCTCACCATGAGGTCCTTCCATAGCTTCACAACTAGAATCACTACCCTCAGGTGCAGCCACAGTGCTTTCATCTGATCCTACAAAATAACACAAGCTATATGTCTGTGTCTTTACATAAAAACAATATTATTTAACTAAAGTAAGAAATATTTGCAACCAGCTTGCTACTAAAGTGTGTTAAATTAAACCACCCCCTTTAACAAACAATAACCAAGCAGGTTGATTGAAGTAAAATATTATTTTGTAGTTATACATAATTGTTAATATGGTCAAATGTTAAAGTTGACAATCCTTCCTTTAAAGATAATGGTTTGAACCCAGAAGTATTGTTACACATTTGTAGACATAGATTGTCCAGGTTAGTAGAGTCCCAAGAAAGACTGTTGATGTTGATGTTAACTGACATTTTGACAATGTTAGTGATAGTCACCCAGTAAATAGTGAATATAAAATGAATAAAATTTTATAAGCATAAAGATAATTACAAATTAACATATGATTAAATATTACATCTTTCATAAACATACCAGTTGAGATACAAATATCACTTCTAGCAATCAAACTGACATTTGTAACTTGCTGGGGGGCAAACCTACAATATTTGAACAAGGAAGTTTAAATATTAAATTAAATATTTACCGCACTGCATAAAACATTCATACGAAGTTTAAATATGTTACAAAAACAGTGTTATACACATGAATGAAACTTACGACATTTTTGATTTCATGTTCAATTTAGCTGGACTGTTTAGCAATCCTAAGAAAGAAAAAAAATGAATTCTTCACAACTATTACAATTCAAATAATATAAAATATACAATAGTTATGAATTTCAGCCATATTGGTGATCTTATACAAAAGAATATTTCATCAGAATTATTTGGAGCACCACACATCATGCATGTTAGGATATTGTTTAATAAAGCACAAGAGTATAGTTGCAAGAGATGAATACAGGATAGAAATTACTCAAATTAGCAATAACACAGCCATGGCTAGTATGTTATTATATAAATGCCTTGGTCTTCCCACGGACTCACGTGGTCAGCTGATGGGCAGAGAATACAGGATAAAACTACTATCCACAAAGAAAAAAACGATCAAACAAAACATTTTTATGTATTAATAAGATATTATTAAATATCCCGAGTTCACATAGTAATAATTTTACCACAAAAAGATGCCAACGGCCGAGCAGTTTCACCATAACATAACTTTTTCCTTAAGATGGACACGTGCTTACTACATGTAAGACCATGTGCTTTATAACCATCTAACTGAAAATGATGAAAGTTAATCAGAAAATACGGTATTTTATATACGTGACAGGTATGTTCAATGATCGCTTTCTTACTCTTAACTGTTGAGCAGCTCGAAAACTTTGTCTAAAAATCCTCGCACTTGTCGCCATATTGAATTGCACAACCTATGTGTTGCAGTGTTAGTACTGGTGACTAGTAAATATGAATTATTGAATAATCAGAATAAATTAAATAATAAACCTGCAAAACGAGTAAAAATCTACACCTTTCGATTTGGGCATCGCGGCAGTTGAACAAAATGTGAGCGAAAGTTTTCCATTTAAAATAAAATTCACATCCATAAGTTTATGCAACTAATCCACGGATGATTTCGGTAAATACATTTATTCCGTAATCATCCAAGTCTTGAGTTTCTGCTGAAAATGTTTTAAGGTTGTATTAAAAGTTCGTTTAATAGATGGAATTTGAAAATCTACAGCGTTTCTCCAACGTTATTAGAGATTCAATTTTAATGAAGATTTAAAATTCAAATACGTATAACTTTCTCTTCGTCTACAAGCTAAAAGCAACTGTAAATAGATAACTTCCTCAATCTGAAGAAGGCTTGAAGCACCGAGTCGAAAGCTCAATAAAATCACTAATAAAATCCTGAGAAACTTTTATTTTTCAACTTTCTCTTCATATAAAAACAAAATATTTCCAAATTCTATAAACGAAAACATTACGACGAAGAATTACCAGACATGAAATGCTTTCTCCTGGTGTTATCAAACCTTTTTCTTCATAAAATGTGACCATTTAAAGAAGTAGATAAAATCACAAGGTGGAGAAATATTTTATCATCAGTAAGCATTATGTGTCAGTCATTTCTATGGATTCACTCTGAACACAAACATATGATTTTTATCTTTTTCTCTCAAACAAAAGTTTCCGTAAAGATTACCATGACAACATTATAAACAGACGGTAATAAAGTTATTGAAAATATGGTCGTTTTGTGTACTTATCAGTAAGAACATTTTCAAGCATCGTTCGCAACAAAAAGAAAGAACATCTTGACGTTGGTTTCAACTGCCAACAGTCCTTCATAATTCTATAAACTTCTTCAAGACAACTACGAGGTCTCTCCAGACGCTTCCCATCTTTGAGATGATTTAAAAACTGAAAGAAATCATTTTTGAATTTTATAAAGAAAACAATTATTCACAATGACTAGAATTATTTCTTTTTAAAGGGCCTTCTTCTTCACTAAGAAAGTTTTTTGTATTTTTACCACTCGTGAAAATTATCTCCTTAAACAAAAATTTATTTTATTTACACTAGAAAACTTTTAATCATTTTTATAAAAAAAACACTTGTGTCACAGAAATGAAAATGCAAGCATATTGAAGCGCTACACTTTATTGATTCTCCACTGGGTACAGAAAACAGTAACAATCTCCCCCCCGGATAGATTTTTATTGGAGTCTTCTGTCGAGCATCTTAAATGTATCCGGGGGGGGCGGAGAAATTACGTTTTTCTGGAAATTGTTGAATGGTGAATCAACTGCGAATCGTACTTTAAGGAAGATGGCGCTGTGTGTTTGTATTCTATTCCTGTGTCCTACAAGCGGTTCGTGCTTCACTTTCATGCTCAAGCACTCCAGTTCAAAAACACTGACCTCTGTCGGTCCGGAATAGTTCCAGTCTTCATAAGGTCTTTGGCCGTAAGAAAACATTTCCCATAAAGTGACGCCCAAACTCCAAACATCGCTATTAACAGTGAACTTCTTGTGTTCCAAGCATTCAGGTGCCAACCTTAGGAAGAAAAAGTAAGTTGAGATGTGTGAATAAAAATTGTTGAATTGTTTCAACGAGTCTATCTACATATAATAGTTCAATCAATCCAGACATATTGAGTTCAACAACGATTGATGTTTGTATAATATTAATTACCATCTTAAAGGTAGTTTTTGATTATCGCGTTGGCTTCGGTAGTACTCGTCGTCGTAAATTCGACTCAATCCAAAGTCACTGATTTTTACATGATTTTCCGCGGCAACAAGAATGTTTCGAGCTGCGAGATCACGATGAACAAGTTTCTTGCTTTCCTATAAAAAAAGCCCGTTAGATTAACTTAAGAATATCGACTGCAGTTAAAAGGAATTAAGTTATAAAAGCATGAACATGACTTATGAAAACAGCACATTATAGGGTATAAAGACCTAAACCAAAGTATATAAGAACTCAAGTTTCAACATCAGATCACTCCTGATAATGACACTGGACGTAAATAAAAATTTAAAAATCAACAAGAGATCATTCATAATGAAGAAAGATAAAGGATCAAAAACAAATTAATGTTAGCTTGTAATCGTCCTGTTTGATATTTACCAAATATTCCATTCCCATTCCAATCTGAATAGCAAATTGCAACAACACTTCACTTCCAAGAATTACCTAAATTTCACACAAAAATTTTACTGTTCATGATAGCATGATAAAAATGAATTTCAAGAATTAAAATTCGTTGATAAAGATTTTCTTACAGCATTTTTTGAGTTCTGCAAGTATTTGTCCAACGATCCCTGTGGCATAAGTTCTGTAATCAAAAGTAAATTCTTTTTCTCGTCTAAAAAGAATAAACAAAGTTAAGACAATAACTACTGGCTTTCTTTTATTCCATGTGAGCTACCAAACATAAAGAACATAAAAATTGATATTATATTTGATGACACAACGTATAAGCATATTAAGACTAAGATCACTCATGATGAAGGCACTAGACTGGAGTATATAAGAACTCAAGTTTCAACATTAGATCACTGCTAATGAAGACACTAGACTGGAGTATATAAGAACTCAAGATTCAACATCAGATCACTCCTGATGAAGACACTAGACTGGAGTATATAAGAACTAATGATTCAACATCAGATCACTCCTGATGAAGACACTAGACTGGAGTACATAAAAACTCAAGATTCAACATTAGATCACTCCTGATGAAGACACTAAACTGGAGTATATAAGAACTAATGATTCAACATCAGATCACTCCTGATGAAGACACTAGACTGGAGTATATAAGAACTAATGATTCAACATAAGATCACTCCTGATGAAGACACTAAACTGGAGTATATAAGAACTAATGATTCAACATAAGATCACTCCTGATGAAGACACTAGACTGGAGTATATAAGAACTCTAGATTCAACATCAGATCACTATTGATGAAGACACTAGACTGGAGTATATAAAAACTCAAGATTCAACATCAGATCACTCCTGATGAAGACACTAGACTGGAGTATATAAGAACTCAAGATTCAACATCAGATCACTATTGATGAAGACACTAGACTGGAGTATATAAGAACTCAAGATTCAACATCAGATCACTATTGATGAAGACACTAGACTGGAGTATATAAAAACTCAAGATTCAACAACAGATTACTCCATGAAAACTATACACTAAAATGTACAATGTAATATCACAAGATTCAATACAATGATTTTCCTTAAAAACCTTAGGTAAATAAATAAAGAAATTCACGTCAACTCACTATAAGATACTCCAAGAAATCTCACGATAAACTTATTCTCCAATTTCATCAAATTTATCGCTTCTTGTTTAAAATTGTTCTTGTAAATTTCAGTTGCGTCTTCCAAACAGCATTTCACGGCAACATCCTACAACACATCACAACATTTATAACAACTGAACATAACAGTATTTTTGAGAATGCATTAATGAATTTTTTTAGTTAATTCGATCATCCAATGAAAACCTTTGATGATAACGTAGCGAAAGTTGACGTAAGTCTGACTTTAAGGATTTGAATGTAATAAATACTTACGATATAGAAAAATATCAATATACATAAACATCTCAATTATCTCGTGATCATCGGATATTAAACGGTAAAGAAGAATTTGTAGACAAAACCAAACATAATTGAAATGAAACAAAAACATCAAACTCTTTATAAACACTCACTAATGAAACACGAAAAAATATAAGATAAAGAATACACACAAAACTTTATTTTACCAATGGTGTCCTTGATTTATGACCATGACTTGGTCTCGTCATCTTTGCTTGTGTCACATATCCAAATGCGCCCTGAGATAAAAAAAACATCGACTTTAAGACTTCGTTTACACTGCATCGCATTTACTCATAACACTATAAAGATGAAACTCTTCGAAGTAAAAGCTTATTAAGTTGACAGACTTTGTCTAATAACCTGCTACGATAGTAATCTGGCATAGTGTAAATGGGCCTAAAGCACAAATAATGTATTTTGTGTAATAGAAAGAATATGCATCATAACTACTAAAATGAAATTAATCTAGAAAAAATAGTCATTTGTCGGAAGAAATCCATCAAAATGGCAACTTTTTGAGTTTACATAAAATTGCGCCAATCAAATCATATGTGATAACGTTAATCAAAAGAAATAATGACTATGAAAGGAAGTTTCATACGAGAGTTTAAACTTTTGCGACGAACTACAATAACTTTCTTACCTGTCCCAGCTTTCTTCCGAGGGTCAAATACTCAAATGGAATTTGATGAGATCGCATATTGTCTTCAAATGTGTCAGTAGGTTGAGGTTTATGCGTCTCTGACATAGAAAGAAAAGCAATCAAAAAAGTATGACTTAGAGATATGACTTCAGATCGATTTAAAAATTTTAAGGCAAACTGAACGCTCAAAAATGATTTTGCCTGTCCTGGTTGTGATATAAAAAGCCTAACCCAAACCCAAATACGTAGCAATATTTATACATGCATTGGGAAAATGAAATTACTGAAAGATGATAAAAAAAAACTCAAAATCATAAAAGCTTACCTGTTCTTAGAAAAGACACCTCAACATCTGCATCATTAAATGGGTCAAGAACAATTTGTTCATTTTTGTTTTCAGAAACAAGTTGATCACGTTCATCATTAGACCCAGACTCTCCGTCAGTAACTCGTTCATCTGGGCTCACAACTCTCTGGATGGATATCTTTGCGTAACTACTATTAATGTCTGACTGTTTACGTTGCCTGTTAGGCTTCTTATCTGGAGGAGACTGGCCCTGTCGATCATCCTGGGAAGAGAAAAGAGGGCTTGATACCTGAGCCGCGTTGTTAAAGCCGTCATCATTGGTAAACTTCTCTGCCAACTGAGTAGCACTCTGCCTCTGCATCTGAAAAGAACTAGTAGGTTGGCTCTCTGGTAGACAAGCATCTTGACGTTGTTTTTCATGTAGACAAGCCTCTACGGGCTGTTTCTCCGGTCTAGACAGAAAGTGAGAGTTGACTTGCTCCGACCCATTCCAAATATCATTCTCTGGTTCAATTCCAGGAAAGTTGTGTGGTCTTTCAGTTGCGGAGATCAATACTGTATTATACTTGCTTTCGGTGTAGTGCTTTGATCCGTCATTTTCTGTCTTTCCCGAGGATTCACTCGTTTGTAGATGTACGTGGTTATTTACCAAATTAGCAACAGAACACGGTTCATCTTTCTGTGGCAAAATTTCGGCAAAAGGATCTCTATTTTCAAATAAAGTATCATTGACATTCCGTTGGCGGTTATCCATGTCAACATTACCTAACTTTATCTCTGAATCACCATTGAAGTTACTGATGTCTGGAACTGGCATTTCTACAACGGGTTTATCTGAGCCTGTGACTTTCCTCTTACTTGGTGTAATACTACTAAAGAAATCCTCGAGACTCGTGTGTTGTGAATATTGTAACGAGTTGAGACCTGTATCCTTATATGACTCAGTTTTAGTATCTACTGTCGGTTTGTTTATTGTTCTGTACTGTTTACCGTTTTCGAAATCAACTTCGAGCGAAGATTTTTTCCTTGACTTTATTTCAGAGTTGAAAGTGGTTTTGCCAAATAAACTTGATGACGATGTAGTAGAAAAACATTTTGTTGAAGGTAATACTGTCGAAGGATTCAATCCGGGGGGTTCTTTAGTTTTAAGATCCTTTGACTTGCTTGTATTATCCAATTCGGCTTCAGTGAACAATGTTACACCTGTATGTTTCATCGGTTTTTGGGCAAAAGGATCATAATTAGCAAATGAAGGCAGAGAAGACATTGAATCCAGCGTAGATTTTCCATTAAAATGATCATTATTTGGCAATCTTTCGGGCAGCCTATTCTTTGTACAACCATTATGATTCAAAGTGTTTATGTCAGATCTTCCTGACACGGCAACGTAAGCCGAACCCTTAGTAGTTAGACGAAAGTTTGTGCTTTCAGGCATTTTGGAAACAGACGTCGTTAAAGATTCAGTTTTATTTAAAGTAGAATAAGAATTTCGATTCTTAACTTGGTAACTTCTACTTGCGTTAGCTGGATTTGATTCTGAAAGTTTCAAAGCAAGACTGCCTAAAGAAAGCTTACCCAATGTTGATGTCTGCCTGTCACGTGATAACAACGAACGCTCGTCACCAACTGATAAAGATTTCAAACTTGGGTGATTTTTATCCTTAGTTTTATCATCACGAGGTTTCAAAGCTTCCGAGAACGGATCTAATTTAGAAAACTCTATAACGTTAAGCATGTTAGGATCAAGTGATTTTGAAGCACAATTTCCACGGGTTGAATCCCTTTCAGCTGCACTTAAGATAGGTCGAGGTATGTTAGTACGCATTGGTGTATAACCGCTAAAACTTTTTGAAGGAAATGTACTTTTCAACTTGCCAGAATCAGCAGATTTACTGTATTGGGAGCGCATCAAGACGGAACATGAAGGATTTTTTTGTGTCATTTGATTTCCTGAAGAATTTTCTCGTCTTTGCGGGTTTGTACAACACGTCTCAACACGATACGAAGTGGACAAAAATTCGGACATTGGATCTCTGTCTGAAAACGCTAAAAGACTTTCGCTTACAGAGGAAGCAGTTTTCCCAAAATTGCGCTCTACACCAGGGTCTAAATGCTTGATAGATGACGATTTATTGTGCAATCTATTCGCTTTCATTTTATCATTTGAGGATGCAGCGAATGGATCAAGATTAGAGAACTGTTCAAAACCATACATCGTATTTTGTGGTTTCAACTTTTTATCATCTCTAATATTTAAATTTGCCGTCAACACATTTGTGACATCGCTTACTTGAGATGGTTTTTCTGAGCAATTCTCTACGTTTCTAAGAATATTTTTAAAACTTCCTGATTTCAATTCAGTGTTTGCAGCAAACGGATCGAGACATCCGAAGGAAAAACTTGTACAATCCGGTTTTTGCAAAACACAATGATCATGTTGCTCCTCAGGTACATTAAACTGATCCCCAACATCCGCATTATCCATCACGGTCCCCTTCAAGGTCTCTGTGTGATTTTTAACAATGAGCGGATTGTTTGCGTTTTCAGATCCTAATTGTGTTGCAAGAAAATCCATATGATCCATGGTTTCAAATGAAGAAAACAACGAGTCAGACTGATCCGATTCTGTTATATGTTCATTAAATAACGGCTTCTCTTCGATTGGGTTTACTTCTGAATTATTTTCTTCACTTCTGGCTAAAAAATCTGTGTCCATTAGAGGTACATCCGTTTCATCTTTATCAATAAAGTTCGTCGGTCTTGGAGAAAATTTTATGTAAATTTAATCTCATTAAAGTTCCATTAAGATAAAAGTGTAGTAAAAGATGAAGAGACTATCATATACACATGTAAACAAAAGTTCTTACTAACCTTAGTTCCATAGTAAAAGTATCTTTTCCATTGAGCAAATCATTCATTTGGACACTATCATGGTAAGAAATATCGTTTTCCCTTATTCTATCATACGTCCTTTCTTCCCCGGTTACTTCATTTAATGTAACAACAGATCTTGGATATTTTCCTGTAAAGTTGAAGAAACATTTAGTCATCAACAACATTAAAGAAGTCGTGTGAATAAATGAGATAAAAAAGTGCCAATAAGAAACTGAAAGTGACAATAAAAACTAAATAATCTCTATGTGCAAGGCGTACAAATATACGTTAATTAAATTATATTTAACTCAAACATACTTTCCAGTTTTTTTAACTCAATTTCTTCGTTCGACCAAATTTCAGGTAAATCCTTCACCGGAAGAAGATCCACATCGGCATCGTCTAACATTGACGATTCATTACTGTTCCATACATCATTTACGTTCTCATCTCTATTGTTGCAAGATGATGTTCGAGGCAATTCTTCGTTAAATGACAATGTAGAACGCTAGAAAAAAAGTTTTTGTATCAAGTACCACGTGTCTTTGATACAAATGCAAGCAATCACATTCGTGGTTTTCACATCTTTCAGTTCAAAAAAATACATATTTAATGGTGAATTTTGGACAGTCACAAAATGACATGACGTGTTGTTTATTTTGTTGAAATCGCATCGCTATTATCAGAAAGGGACGTTCAACGTTCAACTTTAATAAAACGAGAAATTCATTTGAGTGCAATCAATAAATGCACTTGAGTAAAATGAAATGTTTATTTTTATAGTTACCTTCTTCTCAATAAAACTAAGAGGTTCCATTGTAAATTTTTCGTCAATTTTCTCTGGTATTTTTCGTTCCTTTTGACTCTTGGACACTGACAACAAACAATGAGTTAGTTTTCTTCAATCAATAAAATACCATAACATTTTAGTAAAGTAAATGGTTACAAACATATAACATTTTAGTGTCGTTATTTACTCACACGAGTTGACAATATCGCGCAATTTGAAGACAATTTGTCCAAACGTTGGTCGTTCCTAGAACACACAAAAGAAATATAATATATATATTATTTTCCGCCTACTGAGAAACAAAAAAAAGCCAAAAATGTTTTTTCACTCAACCTTGGGAGGTGAATCGGCGTGGAAGGTGGTTTAGGTTATATTAAACACATTTTGTTGTTGCATCCGGACAGCTTGAGACTAAAGTCTCACCTACCCACCCCACCCCCCATGGAACACTATAGACACATGTATATTAGTTATCAAGAGTGTTCAGTTTAGGTTACTCTAACGAGCAGGGTCGTTCAGTCGATGTAATGCCAGCTGCATTAGTTGTTTTGATGGGTAACAAATATCAAGCTTGCGGCGGATTGCCTGCAGCAGCTCCTGTGTGAGAAAGGTATTTTTTCTCCTAAGTTGTATTTATACCATATTTTACTAAATTTAATGATTTGCTCAAGAACAAAAATGTTGGAATCAAATCTTGTATAAGCGAGTATACTCGACACTACCACTTCTAACCTTTGGATCATTCATCCAACATGATTTCATAACTTTCCCGACCTCATCAGGACACCATCTAGTGAAGACAGTTGTTGTTTACAAATAATAGTGTACTTTTCAATATGACGAAATAAAGTTCCTTTCTTATTACATTTAGTCAAGATTTCTTACGGAGAATTAATTTATTCTATAAAAACTTATAACGAATCAAAATGGACAAAAACATTCTTCAATATAATGAGTAGAAAAATATATGTAAATTATAAAATATGTGTAGTGATGTTGAGAAAAATCACAAAACTACAGATTCATCCCGACAAGCCTGTTTCGTGATTGCTCACTCTTCAGGGGATTTAATGAATAAATACTTAAATGCTTGAAATATTTATACAAGATGACGGAAGTTAGTGTAAAGTAAATGGTTTGAACCCGGGAGTATCGTTACATGTTTGTAAATGTAGATCGTCCAGGTTGGTATAGTCTTGAGAAGGACTGTTTTTGTTGTTGTTGACTGACGTTTCGACAGCCTTAGCGGTAGTCATCTTCAGAGTCAAATGAGGAGTAAACACAATGACAATACACAATGACAATACACAATGGCAATACACAATGACAATACACAATTGACACCCACACATTACAGCTAAAAACATCACACCTAAATCACACTTCACAACTAAAAACATTTCACTTCACACTAATTCACAATGACAATACACATTTCCTGTACACACAATACAATGACGTAAGAACCAGATAACCTGACGTTTACTCCTCATTTGACTCCGAAGATGACTAAACGAAACGTCAGTCAAAAACAACAAAAACAGTCCTTCTCAGGACTATACCAACCTGGACGATCTACATTTACAAACATGAAAGTTAGTGTATTAATCAAGGTGTATAGTTACAAGTTAGATGACGGAAGTTAGCGTAATAATAAAGGTGTATACTTACAAATTACATATGGGTGTTTTGGATCTATGGCGACAAGAGGAAACAAGTTCGTTGCGTTTATCGAGGGATGATTTCCTCTTGTCGCCATAGATCCAAAACACTCCTATGTAATTAGTAATCATACACCTTGATTAATACACTAACTTCCGTCATCTTAAAGATATATTTCAAGCATTTAAGTATTTATTCATTAAATTCCCTGAAGAGTGAGCAATCACGAAACAGGCTTGTCGGGATGAAATTGTAGTTTTGTGATTTTTCCTCAACACCACTACACATATTTACGCTCTGCTCTCGGGCATCGAGTACTGTTTTATACGGAGAATCATCAAATATAAACTTCCTAAATTATAAATTACATATAAATAATACATAAATTATATATATAAATGTATAAATTAAGGGACTCACTTTGGATAGGCTAGATGATGACCTTGTTGAAATCTATGAAGGATCTACATGCAAAATAAAACAAAAACAAAAAACAAGAACATCAACATATGAATATTTTCACTGGTTAAGCTTTAGGTAAACTCTATATTCAGGTATATAATCAATGTCAATAAGAATACTGCACACCCACCTCCCCGGTAACAATCGTCACTATATCGCAAGCGAACACAAAAGTTTATTTGCCAAGAAAGCTAAAGGTTTCGTCAGAAGTTACATTTAGCCAAATGGCCAAAAGGTATGATTTTAACAAAATTGTGTGTGGAAAGAGTGTTTTGGAGGGGGCATTGTGTGTTGTCAGGGGGGAAACTATGTCTGAGGGGCAATGGTATATTGTCAGGAGGGTACACTATGTCTTAGGGGAAATAATTTATGAAAGGGTGTTGTGTATAAGACTTTACCGAATCATCTTTCATGTTAAGGAATGGTACTGTCTTCATGAACATCTCCCAAAGAACGACACCAAACGCCCAGACATCTGATTCCTTGCTGTAAGGATTACCTTGAAAGCATTCGCGTGCCTTCCACGGACTCCTAAATCACCAGAGACACAATTCATTAGTATAGCGTAAACAAGATGGCAAATGATATTTAATCTCCCAATGCAAACCAAGTCACCTAATCACTTCACATTTTGATAGCCATAAATCAGCCCTAACCCTAACCCAACCATAACCCTAACCAACCCAACCGTAACCTGACTATCGTAGCAATACTACCTGTTAATAGGAACACTTTCGTCCAACAAATCGTATTGTCTTAAACAAGGTACAGAGACATCACTAAGTTTTACATGTTCTTCATTTACAATAAGTATATTATGAGCAGCCAACCATCCGTGTACACAATCTTTATCGTGTAAATACATGCAAGCTTCAGCAATTTGGGCTGCAAACATGAGAACCGTCTCAACTGTTACTTCAGTTTCTCTAAAATGGTTACATAAATTATCATAGTAAATTAACGCATTTCTAAAAGTACAGTGTAGTGTGAGAAAAATAGCTTACCTTTTGAGATACTCATCTAAAGTTCCACAATCCAACCATTCAAAAACAAGGTATATGTTTTGATCGTCGTAGAACTGGATGCCATGAAATTGAACAAGATTACGATGAGCCATTTGAGCCATTTTTTCGCCTGTCTTTTCAACTTTCTAAAATGAAAAAATAATGTAAATGATCGACAATGAGACATCTTTCCTCACTCCACCCATCTACAGTTTTACTGCCATGAATGAGTAACAACTGTATAACTTTCCTCACCACACCCATCTACAGTTTTACTGCCATGAATGAGTAACAACTGTATAACTTTCCTCACCACACCCATCTACAGTTTTACTGCCATGAATGAGTAACAACTGTATAACTTTCCTCACCACACCCATCTACAGTTTTACTGCCATGAATGAGTAACAACTGTATAACTTTCCTCACCACACCCATCTACAGTTTTACTGCCATGAATGAGTAACAACTGTATAACTTTCCTCACCACACCCATCTACAGTTTTACTGCCATGAATGAGTAACAACTGTATAACTTTCCTCACTCCACCCATGTCAAACATAATAACCTGTCTGAAGTCCGCTGAACGAGAAGTTTCCAGACGACGACAGAACACTTCTGTACAACCGCCATTTTTGTCGGCTTTTAACCAGCGAGCTTTAAAAACACGATCTCCAATGTCGCCACACTAACGATAAAAATAGACCTTGGTAATATAGTCGGTCAACCAATGTTGTAAAAAATTTGTTATAATTCCGATTTCATCCATGGAATGCTCCGAAAATTAATCTTAAAACATCTTACAAGGGAGTTTTTTTCTCCTTGTACACAAACTAGAATATAAAAGCAAGGTACAAATCACAGTTTGAAGTAAAGACACAAACCGTAAAAGAGTGAGAAAGTTTCTGCAAGCAAAGATTGCCAATATGTTCAAACACATAGTCAGGGTTTAATGGACGAGAAGATGAAGGAACACACGGAGCTTCAACCAAGATTTGATCATCATAAAGTGCACACAAACCTGCGGAAAAAATCCACAACATGACAAATCATTGATTATGCAAGAACAGGATGTTATAAAGAAAAATTTTTGCACTTAAGCAGCACAGAAAGAGCTTTATATTTTCAAAAGCCATTTTCCAAAAAATATTTGACAATATATATGAAACAAAAACTTTACCTTCTTTTGGAATTGGACAATATTTCGTAAGTACGGTGGGAAAAGACGTCTAGAAAACAAAATTTAACATATTTCTACAACATGGGAACTGACATGTAACAAGACAGTTTAAAGTGTATATTAAATCAACTTTAGGATAGTAACGTGCTCAAAATTCTATTGCAGTCATAAAGGAGCACAAGATGAGAAATGAAAAAGAATAATAACACCTCGTCGACTAATTTGAAATGATAATTTGACATGTTACTGTAACTGTATTCTTTCAACTTCAACATATACGTAAATGTTGTTCATACTTTCATTGTATTCAGATCATTCTCTAATAAAACTCCTGACTGTTGGTAAACGTACGTAACAAAAAAGCCCACCTAGTAAAATGCTTTGTTATACAAACCTGTTTTGCCATGCATCCAAACCTGTCTTTCCATGCACAACTACCTGTTTTGCCATGCATCCAACCTGTTTTGCCATGCACAACTACCTGTTTTGCCATGCACAAACACCTGTTTTGCCATGCACAACTACTTGTTTTGCCATGCATCCAAGTCTGTTTTTCCATGCACAACTACCTGTTTTGCCATGCACACAAACCTGTTTTTCCATGTACAACTACCTGTTTTGCCAAGCACACAAACCTGTTTTCCCATCTACAACAACCTATTTTGCCACGCAGACAAACGAGTTTTTTCCATGCATACCAACCTTTTCAGTTTTATAAAACTCCAGAAGATTTTCCATACTGTGAAAGATGGGCCCATTCTTTAGACAATACTTGCCGTTGTCGACTATTATTTCGTAATGCTTTATTTCATTGCCGTGAATAAGTGACAGGATGTAACTGTCAAAATCTTTACGACTTCGCCGTATCATGTGAACGCCAGAAAGATTGCCGTTTTCTGTTTTTACCGCTTTTAACAGAAGATCAACCTTCTTTCGCCTAAAAAATAAAGGTTTCGTAAATTGCAGAGTAATACAAGAACAATGGAATTCTACTTAATGTAGAAACAAAAGTTTTCTAAACAAATAAATGATGCATAGGATAACTAAGCTTTAGAGTTGGAGAAAGGAAATATGGAGAAGATAAAGGAGATGAATGAGGGATAGTAGTGGCATAGAGGAGATATGGAGAAGATATAGGAGGTAAATGAGGGATAGTAGTGCCACAGAGGAGATATGGAGAAGATATAGGAGGTGAATGAGGGATAGCAGGAGAAGATATGGAGAAGGAGGTGAATGAGGGATAGTAGTGCCATAGAGGAAATATGGAGAAGATAAAGGAGGTGAATGAGGAGGGTATGGAGAAAGATAAGGAGGTGGTAAAGGGATAGTGGAGAGGGAATATATGGAATGGTGGATAAAGATAAGAGGAAATATGGAGATGGATAAAGGAATGGATGAAAAATGGAGAAGATAAAATGGAGGGATGTAAATAGGAAATATGGAGGAAGATAAATGGATGAGGAATGAAAAGATAAAGGAAGGAGGTGGATAAATGGAGAAAGAGGGATAAAGGATAAATGGAAATGGAATGGAGGAAAGGAGGAAGATATAAGGTAGATAAAGGAGAATGAGAAGATAGATAAAGGATAAATGGAAAGATAGAAGAATGAAATGGAAAGGAGGAAATATGGAGAGAGAAAGGAGGTGGAAATGGATATAGGAAGATGGAAAATAAGAGAGGATGGAATGATAGAAGAAATATGGAGAAGATAAAGGAGGAATGAGGGATATAGAAGATAGAGAATATGGAGAATAAAGGGAAATGGAATGAAAATAGGAGAATGAAAGAGGAAAGAGGATGGAGAAGTAAATGATGGATAGTAGTGCCACAGAGGAATATGGAGAAGATATAGGAGGTGAATGATGGATAGTAGTGCCATAGAGGAGATATGGAGAAGAGGAGGTGAATGAGGGATAGTAGTGCCATAGAGGAAATATGGAGATGACAAGCGAGGTGAATAAAAAATGTTAAATTACAGAAGATGACGCATACTATCATACTTTAATTTCTTCAACCCATATGTCATTAATAAAATTGCAGAAATTGAAAATTCATATCATGTTTTTCATTAGTTATCACTGTCGAAAAAACATATGTAATTCCAGAAATTTAAACATGTTTTTTCTTCTTTAGCTTACTCAATTGGTCCATGAATCCGAAATCTTTGACCTTGTTCTGAATTCAACAACCGTGGTTTATGACCAGACTCATCTAAGGAAAAATGCAATCAAACAAACTAATCACTACACCATGTGATTTTTCAAAGGACATTTATAAAGATCACTAATTTAAATGTACACCTAGTTGTAAAGTAAAGGACTATAAAAAATGTGTTGACTTACATTTTGTTAGTGTTTTATACTGGTTCACAAGCAGATGATAAAAGCCTTCAATCAATGTTATAAGGCTTTCCTTTTTCATCAATGAATTCCCAACAGAAATCACCTATCATCAAATTATAACTTGAATGAGTTATGTCACAGTTGAAGGTTCAAATTGCTTTTGCTTTAACAACATATGAATAGATGTAGGATACTATATCATTGTTAATACCAAAGGGGTGGAGATAGGGATAGTGAGTAGGGGTGAGGTAGGGGTTGGGGTTAAAGTGGGGTAGGGTGGAGGTAATGATTGGAAGTAGAGGTGGGATAGTGTTTCAAAATTAACTGCATGGGTGAAGGAATGTGATAGTGTGTACGTATCATTAGCTACATGGTGATAGGGGTGAGAAAATATACAACAATAACTGTATGTAATGAGGGTAAAGATGGTAAATTAGTACATGATGGTGATAGGGAGATACATTATTATTGAAGCAACATTGATAAATTTACCTCAAGAGATGCATTCTTTCTAGATATGTGGATTATTTCTTCAGACTGAGAAGGTTTGATTTCAATATATTCAATATCTTTATAATCACTGATCATCTCTTCAACTCTACTCGATTCATCGTTACTGCCATCCTAAAAAATGATAATTATAAAGATATGGGCAAGGAAATGTGAAGACTTAAAAAATGTCCAATATTGATACCCTATCTTCTTGGTAAGTACGTCTTTTTTTCAAACCATTTGGTGATATTAGAATCTCCCATTCTACAGGAAAGACTTTATCTTCTGATGCAGTTTGATAATAAAACTAAAACACACACACAGCAATTATAACATAATAAAAATATTTATGGAAGCATTAAGAATTAACAATAAATGTTACCTTTTTCACAAGAATTTTCATAACACCAAAATCAGGTTCACCTTCAAGGACATACAAAAATGAGTTTTTTGCTTTCTCTGCATTTGCTTGTGCAGTCCTGAACTGTGGAAGCTGTTTCTTCAGATGAGATTTTATTTCTCTTGGGCTGTAGTCTTTGTCCACAAACAGATGAGAAAGACCATAACGTTTTCTGCAAATATATACTTTAAAGATGATTGTAATTATTTACAGTTGAATTTCGATCATGTGTCATTAAGTTTTTTTCAAGCATGGCTCATCTTAAAAAACAAGCAATTTATTATAAATTCACAAGTAAATATCATAAGTAGATCCAATATAAAACCAATCTCTCAACAGCCTAAACTAAAGTTATAACAATGTAGCACTTACGGATTCTCAAGAATCTCTTTGGCATTTATGTTTTCTTCATGAGCTTGGATAATTGACTCAAGAACTAACAAAGTGAGATGATCTTTTCTGCATAAGTTGTTTACTCTTCCTTTGATGTAATCCCAACGACACTGAATGTAAATAATGAATAATATAAATTCATTGCAGTTGTCATTAAACAACTCAACAAGCAACCTAAATTAGGGCTATGCAATCTGCAGTTTTTCACCTCTGGCTATTATATAACATGAATATCTGCTTGTGGCTGGTTAATTTTGCCAGTCGCTGATTAAGGTGTATTTTTAGATAGCATGTGTCAAAACAATGTTGCATCATGCACAAAATCTTTCTTCTCGTGTTCATTATTCCATTTTAGCTGACAGTTATTGTTTGTTGATACAATGTTTTGATTGGACATGTTTACCAAAGTCTGACAGTATTTTGCACCACAAACAACTGTTGCTTAAGTTTTGTAGGCGATAAAAAAACTCCAGCTCTGGTTCTAATGGGCAAAAAAGACCGGAGCTCCAGTCTAACTCGAGCCTCCAGTGGAAGTAGAAGATGTAATTTATGCACATGACTAAGGTACCCTAAATCATCAACACCTCCAAATTGAAGTAATCCAGCAAAATCAATTTAAGGCAACACAAAAGCAATGTAGTAGTTAACTTTGAAAATCCATGAACAAAATTACATGTGTTACCTGCTTGACAAAGTAATCAAATGTGGCAACGTTGACAGCTTTCAAATCAGGACCGGCAACGGCTTTAAATGCAAGACGCAAGAAAAAGATTTGCTTGGAAATTTCTTCAGGATATAAATTTCGCTTAGGATTATAATAATGATCCTTTTGTCTGTCACATTGCTCTTTTGTTTGATTGTTGACACTGAGGCAATGTTCACAGTCTGTTGTCATTAATGTGAAGAAATCTAAAGCCACTGGGGCAATTCCCAACTTCTTGAAAATTTGGATACATACATCCTATTTACAAAAAACAATACATATTATTTGTACAAATTGAGATACACAGTTAAGAAAAAAATTCTTAATCGGGCTGAAATCTACTGTCTAGTGTCTCCATCAGGAGTGATCTAATGTTGAATCTTTAGTTCTTATATACTCTAGTCTAGTGTCTTCATCAGGAGTGATCTAATGTTGAATCTTGAGTTCTTATATACTCCAGTCTAATGTCTTCATCAGTAGTGATCTAATGTTGAATCTTGAGATCTTATATACTCCAGTCTAATGTCTTCATCAGTAGTGATCTAATGTTGAATCTTGAGTTCTTATATACTCCAGTCTAATGTCTTCATCAGTAGTGATCTAATGTTGAATCTTGAGTTCTTATATACTCCAGTCTAGTGTCTCCATCAGTAGTGATCTAATGTTGAATCTTGAGTTTTTATATACTCCAGTCTAGTGTCTTCATCAGGAGTGATCTGATGTTGAATCTTGAGTTCTTATATACTCCAGTCTAGTGTCTTCATCAGGAGTGATCTGATGTTGAATCTTGAGTTTTATATACTCCAGTCTAGTGTCTTCATCAGGAGTGATCTGATGTTGAATCTTGAGATCTTATATACTCCAGTCTAGTGTCTTCATCAGTAGTGATCTAATGTTGAATCTTGAGATCTTATATACTCCAGTCTAGTGTCTTCATCAGTAGTGATCTAATGTTGAATCTTGAGATCTTATATACTCCAGTCTAGTGTCTTCATCAGTAGTGATCTAATGTTGAAACTTGAGTTCTAATATACTCCAGTCTAATGTCTTCATCAGGAGTGATTTAATGTTGAATCTTGAGTTTTTATATACTCTAGTCAATGATCTGATTATAAAATGTTTCTTTCATTTTCAATTCAAATTCTCTGAAATCACCACTTCAAACGTGTTACTTATTTTTTCTCAATTTATAAAGATACAAAACATAAAAATGGAAAAAAATACATCAACAAATAGTTATTAGCATCCGCTCGAGTTGTGTAACAAGGCATTATCTAACAAAATTGGTTGAGTGAACAGGAAACCAAATAAAAACGGCGATTTTCTGTGTTTATTTCATAACGGAGTTATTAAGGTTAAACGTATGAGTAAACTATGATTTTCTTGTTTATAACACTTGTATAAGTTGTTTTAAGATAATGTATCAACGTTATACATACTCTAACACGCACGCTTTCAGTTGGTTCTTTCACTTCTATAGTAAAGAGTTCACCATTTGCTAAGCAAACTTTTCCCCGTCTATCAACCGGTCCTTCTTCTCGTCTGTAAAATGACATAATTCGTCCACAAATTCCCATTATTTTCAAAGCTAGATGGGTTGAACGAACTTTCGCAACTGCCGTTTAAGCCTACAGCCTGATTTCAGAGTACAAAAGACTTTTCTTTTCTATACATTATTCGCACATGACGAGTTTCATTTTTCCTTGTTGTGTGGATTGCGGAAAGATATTCTTGGAATACCTCATCAATGGCAATTTCCTGTCTATAAAAAACAAGAACGACACGACACCACATTGCATTTTTCGAGCCCGCGCTTTTTCCGCTGAAATCATCTAAAATTGACTTGTAAAATTTCCTCGATGAATTTCTTCCCAGAAGAAGTATTTTTTTGGTTGAATTAATGGTTTGTTTTGGAAATGATGCATCAAATGGGATCTCAGGTAGTGCATATTTACAATGTACTGTGTTAGCAAGTGAAATAATCAGATATATGTTGTATTTAGACATATAACTGTTAATTGTTTTCATTTTTTTTTATTTGTTATAATCTGAGTTAATTATTCTATAAGTTTATTGGTTTTCTCTCTCACGAAAATCAGTTTTTATTTTCAATCTAGCCGCGGCCTTTCTCCCATCATACGCAAGTAACACCGTTGTCTGATGGCGAGAGGGAGAAAATTTATTCTTGGATTATTGAGCTTTCCAATGCAGAAACACGAGAACATGCTTTATTGGAGCTAAGGTTTGTGATCTTTGTTTAAGAAATGGTTTCTTCACTCATCCATCCCTAGGATGATAATCTATTCATCATATTTTTGGTTTTGGCACTTTGATAGAAAATCAATTGGTCATATAATGATTAAATAACTAAAATAAGCATTAAGTTTAATAATAGATTTGATAATTGTCAATGTTCAAGATTTTCTCATTTCTATGAGCAGAATCTTATGTATTCTTTCAGTAAAAAACGTGAAGTTGTTCAAGATTTAGCACCAATGTTGTGGCATTCATTTGGTGAGTATTTTAACTTGCATGTTTTCCCAAAATCATTTTAAAAATATGAATTCTTATTTTACTCATGATTTATGTGTGCATCAGTGATGTAGCCAGAGGTGTAGCCATGGGGTCAGGCCCCCCCCTGGCCAAATGCTTGTTCCTCCTAAAATGCTTTGTTTTCCATATATTGTTTAAACAGCAATTATGGCCCCCTTCTGTTATGACTGCCTTCAGTTTGGGTCATGTAAGTTGAATAATATGGGACATTTTAGTGTGGGAATGATCATTGATGTTACATAAAACAATTTTATTCAAGTGAAAAGAAAACAATATTTAGTAATTTCACTATCAAAGAAACTGTCACATCAACCAAATTCCCTACCCCTAAAACTTTCCATATTTCTCTTTTCCATACCCATTTTTTTTGATTTCCTTTTCTCTGTTGCTATCATAGCCTTCCCAAGATTATAATCCATTCACACATTTTCTAGGAACAATTTCTGCTCTACTGCAGGAGATTGTAAATATTTATCCAGTTATTAATCCACCAAATTTAACTGTAAGTTGAATCATTCATGTAATCATATGGTGTAGTGAAGATTGGTGATGTTTGCTTTATGTTGAAGAAAACTTTTTATTACAATCATTAGATGAAGTATAATGTCTAATTGATATGTTTTTTCTAAGGCTCATCAATCAAATCGAGTTTGCAATGCTCTTGCATTACTGCAATGTGTTGCATCACATCCTGAAACTAGGACATCTTTCTTACAAGGTTTTGAAATTTTTCACTTGGATTTATCATTCATGTTTTTCTACTTTGAAGGATAAGTTATTTTTATTTGCAATCATAAAGTTCTACTGGATACAATGGAGTACATTTTCTTATTGCACGCTACTGACAATTTTTTATATATTCACTACATAGCACACATTGCATGCTACTGACAATTTTTTATATATTCACTACATAGCACACATTGCATGCTACTGACAATTTTTTATATATTCACTACATAGCACACATTGCACGCTACTGACAATTTTTATATATTCACTACATAGCACACATTGCACGCTACTGACAATTTTTTATATATTCACTACATAGCACACATTGCACGCTACTGACAATTTTTATATATTCACTACATAGCACACATTCCGCTGTTTTTGTATCCCTTCCTACACACAACAAGCAAGACAAGACCATTTGAGTATCTTCGACTTACAAGTTTGGGAGTTGTTGGTGCTTTAGTGAAAGTGAGTGAGTCCTCAAAACAGTTTAAAAATTTGATCATTTTTTCATTCATGGTGTTAGCATTATACTATTGATAGCCACAATATCATAATCATACACTCTATTTCTACCAACACTTCATATTTTAGAATGTACTAATATGATCTCTATGTTTTACAGACAGATGAACCTGAAGTGATTAATTTTCTTCTAACAACAGAAATTATTCCATTATGTTTGAGAATTATGGAGTCTGGCAGTGAATTATCCAAAACAGTTAGTAATTAAAATTTTGTGTTTGTGAAATGTCAGTTAAGTCTTTGCTATGGTAGTTTTAATTTCTTTATAGGTCGCAACTTTTATTCTTCAGAAAATATTACTTGATGAAACAGGTTTATCTTACATATGCCAAACTTATGAACGATTTTCTCATGTGGCAATGATATTGGTAAGAGATAAATGAATTATTACAGATAAATCATTTGTTTATATGTTACATTACCATACTGATCAACAGTCATTCTATCAATTTATTGTGTGTTTGACATTGATGCATGAGTGTGATTTTTATCCATGTCTTAGGGTAAAATGGTTCTAGCTTTGGCAAAAGACCAATCTGCAAGGCTTCTGAAGCATGTCGTTCGATGTTATTTGAGATTGTCAGACAACCCAAGGTAAACATTCACTACATAAAACAATCCTCAGTCTTTATATACTCCAGTCTAGTGTCTTCATCAGGAGTGATCTGATGATGAATCTTGAGTCCTTATATAATCCAGTCTAGTATCTTCATTAGGAGTGATTTGATGTTGAATCTTGAATCCATGCATGTATACTCCCATATTATAAGTACTGATTATTAGGTGATTAAGATAATCAATTTCTTCATTGTTGTTTAGATTTTTAAAATGATAGATGATACATTGTTTGTGTTGATATTCATTATTTGATTCTTACTGTTATTTCAGAGCAAGAGAAGCATTACGTCAATGTCTTCCTGATCAACTGAAAGATGCAACATTTTCAAACTGTCTTAAAGACGATGCGTCAACAAAACGATGGTTAAGTCAACTAATGAAGAATTTACTTGAGCTACCAGCTACTGATGCTAGGGGAATTCCTTTGCCTCCTTGAGTTAAAACATATCTTATTAATAATTTCGCCCACTTGTAGATTTGATAATGGACATATTTTGATAGAATTTGTAAAATATGTATTTTGAGGCTTTGCATTTTTTGTGGTGTTAAAAACAATCGCAAAATAAATTACACAATACATAAAGAATGGGTTGTTATCTAGGTATATAAAGTTTGAATCCTATTCAGAATATGACTTTGATTTGTTGGCATAACCTTCAATGTGTTAGAAATGGAGAAAAAAAGGAAATACTTCTTCATAAACTCTACTAAAATGGAGTTTTTTGAGAATGGAATCCAACATTCACTTTACAAAAATGATTTTTGAAAAAATGGTCTCCAATGATTTTTTCCCTTAAAAAAATTTTGTTTAAAATTCCCTATGAACCTGCCCCATTGTAAAAAGTAGCATTTAAATCGGCAGGGATTGGTATGGCTACGTGGAGATAAGTTTGTACACGATAGCTGAGTACACATATGTATAGCTAAGGATGGCTAAGTACATTTTGATGTCTACACTTAAAATTTGTCAAAAAAGAGTGAATAAGACATTACATTGAAATTTTATCATAATGAAAAGAAATAATTCAATGTTAGTGGAGAAGTTTGGTTCTGCTGATGATTTTTACAACTTTGCTGGCGAAAGTTCATCGGACGAAGAATTTAACAGGTTAGTGAATGTGTTTTGCAATATTTGCTTTCTCGAAGTTTTACTGTTTGTACTTTCAAATTGTAAATTAACACAGCTCTGATGACGATGAGGTAAAAATCGACTTTAAAAGAGATGATGGAGAAAGTGACAACGACAGTTTTGAGAAAGAGATGGAAATGGAGCTGAATGCGGGATTTGCTGATTACAGTAAACATCTTTTTGGTACAGCACTTCAAACGATTCAAAACAATGGTAAAGGTGTGCTTTAACAAGAGATGATGAAGTCAAAAATCAACATCTGTTAATCATGAGACTTGACTAAAGAAATGAAATAAAGTTTTGAAATCAACAGTTAATTTCTTGTGATTATAGGTAATGACACTGGAAAGAACTTAAATGATGAAGCAAAGAAGGGAATTAAAAATGCAACATATGATGAAATGTATTTCAGTTCTGGTGATGAAGAAGATGAAAATAATGTTGGTGGTTTCTCCTCAAAATCAAAGGAAAGACGAACTTTGAAAACTGATGATGAACTTTTATATGATCCTAAGATGGATGAAGATGATTTACAATGGGCAATGCAACAAAGAAATGTTGGACAATCGAAAGGTTTGTTCATCTTTTTATACTCAATTGATGTAATGAATATTATGATTTGACCACCTCACTTTTCTTTGGAATATGAGCAAAATTTTGCTTCTCTTTAGATGTAAAAAACAAAAGCAATAAAAAAATGAAGAAAAATCATGATTATGGAAAGAGAGATAAACCTTCAACAAGTGATGCTATTCTTTCATGTCCAGCATGTTTAACCACACTCTGCATTGACTGTCAGAGGTATAAGAATAGTTTCTTCTAATAAATTGAAGTAGCATTTTTTAATTTGGGTTTGAGAATGTGATCACTTATATCTAAAAAAAGACTGATTACTATAAATGAAAATGGGAGTACCTAAGAACTCAAAATTAAACATTAAATCACTCATGATGGTCATAAAATAATGAAAAATATAATTTCCACGTTTATTTTAACTTTTTGCAGGCATGACACATACAAAAACCAGTTTCGTGCTATGTTTGTTATGAATTGTAAAGTGTTATCTCACGAAACTTTGCGTTATGAAGCAAAGAAACAGAAGAGAAAAGGCACGAAAAATTTTAGATCCAAACTCAGAGATACTGGCAGTTCATTGGATGAACAATCTGAACTCTATAATCCTGTTCAATGTTGTTCTTGCAACACTGAAGTTGCTGTTTTTGATAAGGATGAAGTGTATCATTTCTTTAATGTAGTTGAGAGTTTACCATAACAAGAAATATAAAACAAACACAAAATTGTGACCACTTTTCCTGCGATATATAATAAATTGATAAAAGAATGTGCTTTAATTTATTGCTATAGCTAATAATTGGTGAATATCGACTGTGATTTTTTGTAGCTTTAGCGTTCCTTCATAATAATATCAAATAAATTGATTTTTATGGTTTCCCTTGAAAGTTTTAATAGGCATGGCCATTTAAAAAAACAATTTTAAATGTATTCTATTTAGAACTGTTATCTGCAAGAGCTTGCAGCAAAAATAAATATCATAAAAGAAACATTTTCATAGAGAACACACAAAATATCCTTCTTTGAAGGATGATTCTTATTTGTACCAGCCCAAAGAATCATTGCGTTACTTTAATGCTTAAAGAACAAGTGGAACAGCAAACTATGACATCATTTGATAAATTGTCATCTGTAATTTCATAAGTACCACTACAGCGACATTGCCAAGTATAATGATTATTCTCTACAAGTTTGAAAACTTAAATGAATCACATTGAATAAATGAATACAATCAATCAGAGCATCAGTACATTGAATGTGACACTAAAATTTAATGAACTGTGTGACTGTAAGAGAGTAAGAGTGTAGCAATCTGTTTGAAGTTGGAAAAAAAATAGCCATATAACTGATACCATTTATATACATGACAAGTTTTTTGAAAATAGACATGCTTCAACATCTCATGATGCCATCTTCAGTATAAGTGAAATAATAAATGATGCAAGGTTTATATAAAAGTAATATGATACATAAATTACAACAATAATAAGAAGATAATATAAATTAATGGGGAGCATGCGAGCGTATTATAAACTAAATATTGTATTGAATTTAAAAACTTGAACATTGAGGTCAGGGTTAGTTTTGTTAATGTGGAGTGCTTCTTTGATTTTAAGGGAGAATGAGGTGTCAGAATTACATCCCGATACATTGGCTAAACTTTGTGCCATTTATCCACCAGAATCATTTATTATTTCACTTTTATACTGAAGATGGCATCATGACATGTCAAAAAATGTCTATTTTAAAAAACTTGTTGTGTATATAAAATGCACATTAGCAATAGTGCTTTTACAAAATTATGATATCATTTACCTTTATCAAACTCCATATCTGCAAGTCTTATTTCATCATCTATGGAATAGTCCTGGATAAGCTGTTCTAACAAAAGAATATTATCTGGTTTGAAATTTTCATTTTTCAGTTTATTATTCCATCATCAAGACTGAATTTTATACATAAAATTGAAAGTCAAATAAATAGCACAGGTTGAAAAATCTTGTTTTGCTCAAGATTACCTCATTCACTAAAACTTTACATTGCTTTGTCAAGTTTATTTTGATTAAGATTATCCACACAAATACCTCTCAATCTTTCATCATATTTAGTTCTTGATCTGATGTTACCTAATGTCTTCCATGCCTCGTTCAATTCATGAAAATGCTCACAAGCAATTTCTTTAGGACAGCAAAGATTATCAGCATTGTACTTGTCTGGATGGTACTGATATTATAGAGAAAACTTTAAAACTAATAATTTTAATTTACACAAGAATAATTGAGTTGAATCAATCATGATGAACATTGAGTACCTTCAAAGCAAGCTTTTGATACATTTTCTTTATTTCACTTTGAGTTGCATTTGGATCAACTCCTAGCACTTCATAGAATGTATGATGATTTGATGAGTTATTGTATGTCATCATTTTGTCCTTTCAGTAGAACTTTCTCATGTCTAAACGCCAAAGTCGTCCATAATTCCAGAAACACACTTCTAGCAATTCTTTGAAAGAAAATTATCCTTCTAATTTCACTACTCACCACAAAAATTCTCTCGCGTGATCTCACGCGTGGCTAGCGTATTTCGTGTCCATCACACCATATTGTCGCGTGGATAATACGTGGTCAAACTAACATGGCGTTCGCTAGTGGGATTTTCAGAAAATCTTTTAACTCAATTTTTATACGACAAGGGAACAAGGTAATTTGTTCCTTGTATTTTTTTATTGACTTTCAAAAAATTTTAATGAATTTTTGGTTTAAAGATATTTTTTGCGAACTTCTTAAATTTTTAACAGAAATTAAAGGGTTGTCTAGTAAGAAGAGGGAGACTTCTGTAAGTGCAATTTGTAGTTGATTGAATATTACAGTAACTATTAAATACGTTCTTCAATTATTTTATAGACTGATGCAAAATAATCAAGATTGTTTTTCAACAATTAATCAACTGACAGAGGTAATTTTAACATTTACATTGTTTCTATCGTTTGTCTAAACATATATTGCTTGTAAAATACTTTACTCTTGGATTTCAGACGGAGGAGCGGCTCTTTTCAGAAGTTAACGTTGAAATCAAAGGAATTGATGAAGCTGTGTTGGATAGCTATGTTACATTTATAACAAAAGCAGCAGAATGCTTCTCCATAAACACAAACAAGTATGCCCGTAATGAGGATCTTTACTCCTCGTGCTATTAACTACAAATGGAAAAGCATTTCGGTGTTGTAGTAAATATTCTAACCAATACTGTGGAAATAAACCTCTGAAGGAAGGCTTTCTTGTGTTGCATTTCTTGTAAATTATACTACTGTACGTGACGATGACATGTATTGACTTTAAGATGACGTGCCTTCCCCCAATTGATGCCTTCCCCTCCCCCTTTTTTACAGCACTGTTTCCAACATTTTATAATTTTACTTTATAATATTTTTTTATCTGTAGAGTTGTGTTACCGCGACACATTGAACGGTACACAGTGCTAAAATCACCGCATATTTATAAAAAGCACAGAGCTCAATATGAAATTAGAACTCATCGTCTTCTTGTTCAGGTAACCTTTCGATCAATTTCCTAACCCAACACAACCTTCCTCACTCAGACCAAACTGTGATGTTCGTCTTTTATATATGCTCTTGATAAATTCAATATTTATTTTATAATTTAGTCATTGTTTGCATTGTTTAGTTGAAGGAGTTGACTGAAACAACATCCAACGTTTTTCTCGAATATATTCAAAGAAACTGTCCAGAAGGTGTATGTATGGTTATTAAACAGATTGAACGTGAAAAATTACTCATAAATATTCCGCCTGAAGCACTGGCCTTTTTAGAAAAGGAAATGGAGAGTACGACTGAAATGGAAGGAAAATGACTCTAAGTTATCACAAAATAATGTGTACATGGAACTGGATAATTACTTAGTGTCACAATTTCCCCACCAATGGAGAGAGACTGATGTACTTTATCAAATTTTCAATTGATTTATGGTGAAATTCTCTGAAAATCCATGCTTTCATTTTATATTTACTTATTTAATGAAAGAGTGGAGCTTTTTTCTTTTTTTTCATTGTAAAGTTTCAATATGACTGAAATATTCAATTAAAAGATCAAAAACCGAAGTATTATTTACTGTTAAGTGTGCAGAAATATTTTCAACAAGTGCCTATCATTTTTCATCGTTATTAAACACTTTAATAAACTGTCAATCATATGAAAGTTAATGCTTACATGAATGCTTTTTATTCTTATCTTACGTTTCTTGTTGACAACGCGTGAGCAATCTCCTCTCACGTGCCTCATGTGTGTTTGCAAATTTGACAAATTTATTTGCTCTTAATAAACCTTTTGACTCTGAGATTTGTTTGTCATTAAGTGTGGATGATTGTACTGTACTTAAAATATGCGGAAGGGGACAACTTTCCTCTCTGCTTTAGTGAGTTATGTTTATAAAGTCGGTTCAGCAGCTTTATGCTTTCATATCAAATACATATCAATACCACAGAATAGATACATATTACATATTTATGTATCTATTCTGTGTAAATACTACAAAAGTCGATCCCAGTCCCCCAGAACTCATTAAGGATAGTAATTGAAGTAAACCATCAATGAAGTAAACACAGTGACTATTCAAAAATGCTTGAAATTCAGATCACGATGGTTTACACTTTTTCACATGTTTGATTATCATAAATTTATACATTTACTCAAATGAACACGGTAATTGCTCAACTTTTTGTAAACAACTCCCAAAAACTGCGTGATCACTCAAGGGCTTTGCTTTTAAAAATCCAATTGTGATACAAGACAAATGCCATGCATGCTAGGTTAATGGTAACATTATTTTATCAGATTATTAAAGAGTTATGTGTTGACATCAATGATCTGATATAGATGTTACAAAAAAACAAGACATAACTACACTCGTATGTTTTTATAGATTAAAGTAGGATTTTACGATATATTAGAACAAAACACGGAAAGGGTGATGAACGTTCAACATCCTGTAAAGTTTTAGCTATATTTCATCCAGATTTTGTCAAATTAAAACTTTTACTACAGGTGCATTAAAATTAATGAACATTTTAATGATCGTGTCCTATCAATATGAACTATAGAATCATACCAGTAAGTGCATGGTACGTTGGTTATTTTAATCTAAACAATTTTTGGCGTTCAGATAATTGAAGTGTGTCTACAAAAAAAATATGAAACCTCCAAACTAAATATTCTTGTAACATAAAAAGAGTTGGTAACATGATTCCTTAACCTCTTTGTTTGTTTAACTAATTTTCAAACTATATATGGAGAAAAATTTTTATTTTTATCGAAACTCGTATAATTAATCATACATGATGGGCTCCAGTCTTGCTATTTTAGCGTTTTCTTATGTCGTTTGTTACGTAAGAAATTTGCCAAATATCGATAGCAATTGATAAAAATCCACGCCTCTAGTCAAGCCCTTACAAAAAATTGCAGAAATTTCAATGTCAGCCATGCGACCTTCTGAACAGATGGATTAACTTAACCCACTTTGAAAAGTTCAAGTAAACATTTTATTGTACTTTATAAATACCAATACAACTGTACTAAAACATCTCATCGTAATATGGCGTTATTGAAAACCACCTTGTCGTAAAAACTTGCTTTCAACTCGGCAATTCTCTTGCTATGCTTTTTAAGAGAGCTGATCAAAATTTCAATCTTCATGTTTAACGATAACGTTTTCGTAAAAAAACAGTACTTTGTCTAACGCGTATTTTCCTTATTGTTTTGTCAGAAATTTTAGTTTGTCAATAATGATGATGCTTCACTCGTGCCGTGATGAGCGATTGCTTTGATTACCAGATTTGGTGTTTTCAATTAAACTGGAGATTTTTTGGCTTAATTTTAATTCCTGAAAAAGCACTTCTCTCATCACTGCCCGTAAAATTTTTGCTTTTATTATATTCCAATTCACAAATTACGATTTTCAGATTGGAAATTCAAAGCTTTTGAATACTCGCCTTTTTTTTTCTTATTATGTAACTCTGCTGTTTGTCAGCCAGCAAAGATTGTAGTGATAGAGAAATGACATAACAGCAAGCTCACAGCAGGAACCATCAATAATTTTAAAAAAAGTTTGTTTGTGTCATATAAGTATAACACTTTTAAGCATCTATAAGCCGTCAACACACATTTAAAAGAAATTCTTTTGGTTTGGATATTTTAGAGTTAAAAAGTGCTGACATTGACTTTGTTAAAACGTTGACTATATATGTCAATTTCAGTCATGTTTGTCCAGTTATAGCTATTTCTGTTTTTTGTTTCGCGAACGTCAAAAAGCTATAAATATAGCTATAAACATCATATGCGAGCGAGAAATTGCCTGCAATGTCAACAAAGTACGAATTTCCTTTTCACATAAATGGTTGCATCGTCAATTAGCATTTGTTTGTTCGCGTGCTTCTTAGTTACGGCAAAGCAACTCCACTGATTGCCAAAATATTCAGGTTTTGTTAAAGTGCTACATAAATATAACATTCACGTATGTCTTACAATTTTGCTGTGGCCTACAGTTCTGTAAAATACTTTAATTGTAAGGTTTTCCATAAAGATTTCTTTTGTGCTTTTAAAGGTTCACGTAAAAATTTATATTAATGTATAAATAAAAACATTTAATAAAATTAGTTCATTGATGTGACATTCCCCCAATTCTGTGTATGATTAATCATAACTCTTCTTGAAATTTCTTTCATTAAAACACTTCAATCCATCCTTCAACGTAACTGAATTTAAAATATTTTGCGTGTTTCAACGGCATGAAACAATTTAAGAGTGAGACTGATGGGTTTCTTGCAATTATTCCTTAAATCTATCTTATCAACTAATAATCAACATGTATAATCCAAAATCAGCTGGATGGTGTTGGGAAATATTTAGCTACTGCTTTATTACTTCAAACTGTCACTGCGTGCATTCAAACATTGCGCAACATTTTATATATATTTAGATTTAAAGAAATGTTGATTGACCTCCTATGCCTACATACTAGAGGGGTGTTATGTTATTGTAAAAGGGTTATATTTGTTATTTTGCATGATTAATGATCAAACTTGAATATCAGACTATTTTTACTTGTATTAATTGAATAGATATTGAGTCAACCAGCTTTTTTATTTCATGTGTGTTTGAAACAAAGACTTAGCTAATTTGAAGAAGTAGAAGACCAGTTAAGTTTTATCAAAATACTAAACTTTGTAATAAATTCGATAAACAAACAACACTGGAGAGGTTTACAAATTACCATTTAATAAAATGATTAGCTTAACTACCCGTTACGATAGCTGTTTTTGAAAAGAAAATAAATGGCTTGAAAGTTGCTTGGATAACAAGTCAACAAGCTGCAATATAATTTCAGTATTTAATCACAAACGTTTCATGTTTTTTATTAGATATTTATATAAAGCGACGGGAATTTCAAATTCCTCCCATTTTACAAGATAAGTTCTGTTTTTTTTGTTTGATAATCATCATAACGATTGTTTTCGCCTCAATAAAATTACATCATAAAACATATATATAGTTTTTCAATAAATCATGGTGAAGTTTATTTTATCTTCAAAGTTCCTCCCATGAAACAATAAATTCTACGAGTGACGAGGTTGTATTAGTGAAGATATATACGTCAGTCGTTATTGTATTTATAAACCCAATCTTCTAAGGCATGTGGTATGAATGCCTTTGTATGATAATCCTTTTTATCTGCACATCTGTGCATGCTTCCTAACATTTTGATACTGTTGACAAACATAACCCACACAATGTTATATCTATGTAAAATATTAATGAAAGAGTTTTGATTTCATGTTTGATAAAATCATATTGCATGAAATTCAGACAGATTTTGACGAAAGTCACCATGCATATTTCCTTTAAGGAAGAACGAGCTTATGAAACCACAAATATACAAGAAAAACACGATTTGACCAATAATCTTGTTTCCACGTCTGATTTTACAACGCTTATCTTCTTAAGAACAGCCTATATAAGTGAATGTGAAGCTTCTTTTGGAGAGTCAGCTCTCATTATTGGTAAATGCAGCAGTTCAACTACTCTGCCCGCTGTTGTAACGCAACTTTATATGGAATCCTTGTAGATCCATCTAGATCGATTTTGTCCAAAACTTGTTTCATCAGTCAGCTTTATGAGATTAAGTGAATTGTTCGTGACGATTGTCGCCCTAAGTAAAAGCTTCAAGATTGTTTCGTCTTCAGTGATTTCAACTGGAAATTTATCATTACGATCTGCTAGTCTAACGTTGGCACCATGCCTCATGAGATATCTTACAATATCCAAGTATCCCTCGCTAGCAGCATAATGTAATGCTGTCCAACCTTCTCTTCCCTGTTTATTACAATCAGCTCCGAGAGAAAGAAGCAATTTCACTCCCTCTAAATTACCATCGAATGAACATTGCTGTAAGGCATTAAGTCCTGACGCGTTTAGTTCGTCAATGTCGAAGTGCTGGACAGCCTTTTTCAACTTTTCTAAAGTCTTTGCGCGATCCAATGAATTTGTGTATTCCCAAACAAGAAGCTCAATCGGAGAACTACGAACCCGCTTCACTTTCTTGTGACGACGTTCGTTTTGATTTTCCTTTATAATAATTGTGGACATGATCTGGCTTTATTTCGTTTCTCTCTCGTATAATTTCACTATTGTAATTTGTATGGTAACGAGTATTGTGTGTTGTTGACTTCACCTCAACTCAACATGATATTTGATTGTCGTTTCAAATTGCTCCTTTATATATGCGCTTCTTAGAATGTTATATTTCTCTGCGTCATTCGCGCTTGCTAAGATCATTAAATATGAGTTAAAGAGAGCGGAAATGAACGATATAAAGAAATCAAGTGAAACATGTTCTTTTTTGATGATTGATTGAAACAGTCGCCTAATCATATAAATTTCTATCCCGGGGAGGAGTTCATAATAGTTCTTCACTTTTCCGGTACATTTATTGTATATTTCTTTATAATTTCTGAGGCTCTTTCTTTAAAAAAACAAAAGTCAATCTTTTTATTAAAGCTATCTTTTTTTCGGATATCCGTGTGTTTGTCTAAATTTTTATGTCGGACATTACACATCTCCCTGTGAAAGAGTAAGTTAAACAACAATGAACATCATAAATGACAATTGTTTCGAGCAAGTAACTATTATCTTTGACATGAACTTTTTTGTTTATTTTTTGTGCTTAAAGCACCAGAATTCCCGATGGCAAAGTTCTTTGTAAAAAAACTGTCGTGCCAATTTTTCGATACATGTTTTGAAACCATGGCAATAATTGCTTCAGTGTTTTTACTTTGCATTTTACTGCTGCGAGAAAAATGAGTAGAAGGGAAAGGGGCTGTACGTGTTCCAAGAGTTGTTCGTGAGTGGATTTGATGTGTCAGAGATGAAAAGAGGAGATATTTATTTTAAACATTTTAAGCTAATGTATCTTTCACAATTTTTATACGATATTTATAAAACATCAATGAATATTAACGTCATTTATTAGTTAATAAATAGTTTTGTGATGAATTTTTTAACATCTTATAAAGGGGCATTCATAAATGAGTGTAAAATTCTTTTTTGTCGCTCGAAATTTTGATTTAGCTTCAATTTATTCCTGTATACGAATTCTGCTTCAATAGAAAACTTATAATCTTTATAGACCAAAAAGATTACGAAAAGATCAGAATTTTTTAAATTTCCTTATGATTACCGATTCCTCAAACCAATTTTGTTAAGACTACTCACCTACTACAGCAACTAGCTACTACTTAATAACACATATTCATCACATACATGTCTGAGAATTAAACTTCCTATTTAATTTGCATTGTCGTTCATTTTACCTTTAAATGTTACAAGCAAACGGAAAATATGTTTAAACGAGCACGAACATAATTAAGAGTATGAAAGTCTTTGTTATTAGAGTAATAACGACATTGTCTGATTTTGTAACAACTATAGGAAAACGACCATATCCTGCAGAGAAATTGGCTAATTATGAAACAAATCGTCTTTATACATAATCAACCTGTTTTGTGAATCATTTGCAGGAAAATTGAATAAGCATATAATCTCTTATTCTCTTCTTTGTGCCGTATCCACATTCTTACTCACACGTATTAAAAACAGTTTTTTCAAAAAAAAACTAGTGGTAAATGGCAATAAAATTGCTCATATCTACATTTCTCCAAGACAAACGTTGCTGCTTCATTATTTTTAATGTGGAGAAGTAAAACGGAGATATTACAGGGGCAATAAATGTCAGATTTTTTGGGGGGAGATGAAGTTATAGGGTGTAAGGTTACAGTTTACGACAACATTTTTATGAAGTATTGTGGATGGCCAACCTTACACGTTTACGAGAAAATTCTTAAAAAAATAGAATGAAATGTTGATCTTATTGCCTGTGATTAATTTATCACATGAAAACAAAACATTTTTACTAGTCTGTAGAAACAAAAAATATATTATTAAGAAAGCATTCTAAACTGATGATATTAACAAAAGTGAAAGCTAAATCTCAAGAGATGATTAATCACTCTTTAGTCTTCAACATTACAAACACTTGAAACTCGACAGAAAAGACGAGTTCGAACTGTTTACAAGTGTCATTAGCGAAAATTCGTGATAATGCCTGCAAATTTTTGCACATTTTTAAATTGCAAGGAATTTTCTAGTTAAATCGCTTGTGAAGATTTAATAAAAACACGACATAACATTTGTGGAGTGATTCATTAGAAAAAGAAGTCAATATGACGACGGATAATTTTTAATTAAAAACCTCTGCAGTCTGACTTTGCTACTGTTATTCTCACGCACATATATCTGCGCACGTGCAAGTCTATGAAACAGAACATATTACGTCAGTCATGACGTAGAAACCTGTTGAAACCGGTTGTAGAAGTTTTCATATACTCACGTAAAACCACTGGGGATGTATCGAAGACTTTTAAAATGAAACCTCGTTCATTAAAACGGCTCCCCATAGCTATAGGCCGTAGCATTCACAATTTTCAACCATTTTTATCTCGTGCTCAAACAACATCAGACAAAGCTATTATGAAAATACCAGATTGACAATAACTAACAATTTCCTGAAAGAGTGCGGCAAAACTTTGATGACGTATGTACGATCTTCACAATTGATGGGTGTTGACAGCCCATCGTGAGTGTTAAAATGTATAACAACTTAACGAAGGAAGGATTTCTGAGAAATAAAATTATAGCTAATTAAGTTATGTTTGATGTCGTTTACGAAATTTTGCTAAAAACGCTAGTTTGAACTCCAGTTATGTTTTACGGACTAAGATAAAACTTTTGGTAATTGGAATTTTACATAGTTGGCTTTGTTGATGACGTTCAGACCATCGTGCCACGTTTTACTAAAGCTTGTTTTTTAAAGGTAAATCATGAGTTAACGGAAGCTTTCGTGCTCCACGCCCTTGAGTAACATACATTTTAACATTGAACGAATAATTTTTTCAGACTTTCCCTCTTCAATTGGGTTCTCAATATTTGCTGATGAATGAATGAATTATAGAATTACTATAACAGCTAAATCTCTGTGTGTTCCTGCTAAAAGCTCTAATGATACACATTGTCATCTTATACATGGGTCTTGAGTGATGGCTATTTTTATAGAAAGACTTCTCACAATGAAAATTGTTTTAGTCTCTGCCGTCGAGTCTTTTTTTAATTCTAACATGTAAGCTATAGTGATCTAAATATCCACTATATTTAGTTTAGATCGATAAAGCACTTATATATTCATTTTTATATTCAGCATCTCAAACATTTTTTGATATTAAATTAAACAAACTGACAAATATTACTGAATTTGTGAAAAGCTGGACTTCGAGTGAAAATCTAAGATCATACATTATACTGGTCGTGCATTATCAAATCGAAGACTGCTCACCAAGTGACCGTGTAAACTGTTTTATAAAGGCGTAGATACTGGTCTGAAATGCTTGAATAGATATCATTTACCAAAGATAGAGATGCATCTTCTGTTGATTCAAATCTACTTTGTGGCCACTGGCCAGGCCTCCAAGTTCAATTAGAGCACCGGGAGAAAACATTTTTTAGGTGGCCCAAAAGTACAATACACGAACACAAACAGAAGTACACGAACACAAACACTAACACACGAACACAGACTTACACCAACACAATTACAAGTCCACGAACAAAAACAGAAGAACACGAACACAGAAGTACACGAACACAAACACTAGTACACGAACACAGGCGTACACTACCACAAATAGAAGTGCACGAACACAGAAGTACACGAACACAGAAGTACACGAACACAGAAGTACACGAACACAGACGTACACGAACACAGAAGTACACGAACACAGAAGTACACGAACACAGACGTACACGAACACAGACGTACACCAACACAGAAGTACACGAACACAGAAGTACACGAACACAGACGTACACGAACACAGAAGTACACGAACACAGAAGTACACGAACACAGAAGTACACGAACACAGACGTACACCAACACAATTAGAAGTGCACGAACATTAACAGAAGTACACAAACATAAATAGAAGTACACGACCACAAATAGAAGTACATGAACACAAACATAATTACATAAACACAAATAGAAGTATAAGAACACAAATGGAAATACACTAACGCTAGTCCATATTCTGCTTACTTTAACAATGACAAAATAATAAGAATACAGTTTACATCACAATTGCTAGCGTTAAATATTACGAGCTTACATTTTCAAGATTGAAGAAGCACTACGATAAATATTACTTTAGTAGAAATTATCAAAACAAAACTACAAGCATACTTATACGTTAGAATACTGTCATGTGCATTTTCAAAGCTTGAAAAAGTTTGGCGTAAATAATATTAAATTTATAATTTTAATTTAACTATGTTGATTAAATCTACTTTGTTCAGTAGCTATATACTTGCAGGCTACTAATAAGTAACCATTTCATACTTATCTTTCTAAATGTATGCCGTGTTTAATAAACTCAGTGTTTTGGGAGATATACCCAAAAGCCAAGAAATGAAAAAGAAACGTGAATATTCATGATAGCTACAATAAATAATGTTATGATAAATGACAATGACGCTTGGCCCCAAATGTGGACACTGTTTTTTTCAAAACAAAACGAAATGGGAGGGAAAACCGGTAGATCCGGTAAAAAACCCTCCAATAAAAGAAATGATCAAAAATTTAGAAAAATTTCCTTAAATTTTTGTAGTTTTATTATGTTTCATATTTTTGATGTTTTCAATGATCCTGATGATCTACTTTAACATGCAGCGTATTCAAATCGTGCGTAACATTCGCATACAAATTTAAATTTACAGAACGACTCGAAAGCAGGCTGACTACCCTATTGCCACAGCAAATATTTTGTGCACGAACGAAAGATACTCAAACTTTTGTAGCCATATATAAATCACATGAAAAAATTATTCAGTATGTACGTCTTGACCATTCACATGCTAATAACAATGAAAAATGAAATGACCTAAGTGACGTCATGACTTGCATAAAAATTATTTTTGATGTCTACTATAGTCTTTATTAGATTTAAAATTTCCTATGTTGCTTCATTAAGACCCTTCGTTAATAGCTGGCTTTCACTCGCATATTTTGTCAGAAAATTTGACAATTGTGAAAATTTAGTTATACGAAAATTTTCAATTGGTGAATTGAAAAAATGCGTTATATTGTTTCGCTTGTAAACGCTTGTTTCTTGGTGATTTTCATTCATTGTCCAGTTATTAAGCCCAT